GATATAGCTCAATAACTACTTAATATTGATCTTAACAGTTCATGGACATGTGAACGCAAGGACGAAAAGTACCAACTAAATCAACTGAAATAAAACATCCTCAATGAAAACAGTTTTATCTGTAGGACTTAGGATCAAGTTTTATCTGTAGGACTTAGGATCAAGTTTTATCTGTAGGACTTAGGATCAAGTTTTAGCTGTAGGACTTAGCATCAAGTTTTATCTGTAGGACTTAGCATCAAGTTTTAGCTGTAGGACTTAGCATCAAGTTTTATCTGTAAGACTTAGCATCAAGTTTTATCTGTAGGACTTAGGATCAAGTTTTAGCTGTAAGACTTAGCATCAAGTTTTATCTGTAGGACTTAGCATCAAGTTTTATTTGTAGGACTTAGGATCAAGTTTTAGCTGTAGGACTTAGCATCAAGTTTTATCTGTAGGACTTAGGATCAAGTTTTAGCTGTAGGACTTAGCATCAAGCTTTATCTGTAGGACTTAGCATCAAGTTTTATCTGTAGGACTTAGCATCAAGTTTTATCTGTAGGACTTAGGATCAAGTTTTAGCTGTAGGACTTAGCATCAAGTTTTATCTGTAAGACTTAGCATCAAGTTTTATCTGTAGGACTTAGGATCAAGTTTTATCTGTAGGACCTAGGATCAAGTTTTATCTGTAGGACTTAGCATCAAGCTTTATCAGTAGGACTTAGCATCAAGTTTTATCTGTAGGACTTAGCATCAAGGTGGGTGCTACAAAATATAGTACAGGTACCAATGTGTTGTAAGTTCAGGTTTTTTACTTAATTTAATCAATAAATGATCAGGAATTGGTTCAGAATCATTGACCTTGATTCATGTATTCTACATTTATATCAGACTTGGCTACAATTGTTACAAGTAACTTAAATCCTTTGGATCAACATACCTAGCTGTGTATGATAAATTGTGATTTATTTACTGATATTTGTAATTCACAAGGAAGAGAAGTTTTCACTTTTGGTCTGTCCAGACTGATGACTTTTGGTCTGTCCAGACTGATGACTTTTGGTCTGTCCAGACTGATGACTTTTGGTCTGTCCAGACTTTGATGACTTTTGGTCTGTCCAGACTTTGATGACTTTTGGTCTGTCCAGACTTTGATGACTTTTGGTCTGTCCAGACTTTGATGACTTTTGGTCTGTCCAGACTTTGATGACTTTTGGTCTGTCCAGACATTGATGACTTTTGGTCTGTCCAGACTTTGATGACTTTTGGTCTGTCCAGACTGATGACTTTTGGTCCGTCCAGACTGATGACTTTTGGTCTGTCTAGACTGATGACTTTTGGTCTGTCCAGACTTTGATGACTTTTGGTCTGTCCAGACTGATGACTTTTGGTCTGTCCAGACTTTGATGACTTTTGATCTGTCCAGACTGATGACTTTTGGTCTGTCCAGACTTTGATGACTTTTGGTCAGTCCAGACTGATGACTTTTGGTCTGTCCAGACTGATGACTTTTGGTCTGTCCAGACTTTGATGACTTTTGGTCTGTCCAGACATTGATGACTTTTGGTCTGTCCAGACTGATGACTTTTGGTCCGTCCAGACTGATGACTTTTGGTCTGTCCAGACTGATGACTTTTGGTCTGTCCAGACTGATGACTTTTGGTCTGTCCAGACTGATGACTTTTGGTCTGTCTAGACTGATGACTTTTGGTCTGTCCAGACTTTGATGACTTTTGGTTTGTCCAGACTTTGATGACTTTTGTTTTGGTCTGTCCAGACTTTGATGACTTTTGGTCAGTCCAGACTGATGACTTTTGGTCTGTTCAGACTGATGACTTTTGGTCTGTCCAGACTTTGATGACTTTTGGTTTGTCCAGACTTTGATGACTTTTGTTTTGGTCTGTCCAGACTTTGATGACTTTTGGTCTGTCCAGACTGATGACTTTTGGTCTGTCCAGACTTTGATGACTTTTGGTCAGTCCAGACTTTGATGACTTTTGGTCTGTTCAGACTGATGACTTTTGGTCTGTCCAGACTTTTTTATGACTTTTGGTCTGTCCAGACTGATGACTTTTGGTCTGTCCAGACTGATGACTTTCAGACTGATGACTTTTGGTCTGTCCAGACTTTGATGACTTTTGGTCTGTCCAGACTGATGACTTTTGGTCTGTCCAGACTGATGACTTTTGGTCGGTCCAGACTGATGACTTTCAGACTGATGACTTTTGGTCTGTCTAGACTGATGACTTTTGGTCTGTCCAGACTTTGATGACTTTTGGTCTGTCCAGACTTTTTTATGATTTTTGGTCTGTCATGACTTTGATGACTTTTGGTCTGTCACGACTTTGATGACTTTTGGTCTGTCCAGACTTTTTTATGACTTTTGGTCTGTCTAGACTGATGACTTTTGGTCTGTCCAGACTTTGATGACTTTTGGTCAGTCCAGACTTTGATGACTTTTGGTCTGTCCAGACATTGATGACTTTTGGTCTGTCCAGACTTTTTTATGACTTTTGGTCTGTCTAGACTGATGACTTTTGGTCTGTCCAGACTTTGATGACTTTTGATCTGTCCAGACTTTGATGACTTTTGGTCTGTCCAGACTTTGATGACTTTTGGTCAGTCCAGGCTTTGACCAAATTAAATTGCCTAGTCATGAAATACTACAAACGCCTAAACTCTTTACACAACAATGTCTCCTCAAAAGATGTTTTCAAGTTGTTAGAAATTCTCGACTTGATCATAGTGACGAAATCTCCATTATGTACATATAATGCACGACTCCTACATTATAATTCACACAGTGTTGATGTATTTGTGTATATATAGTTATTGATGGCGTAGTATTTTATGTGAACTATGTACCAGAACAGAATACTTAAAAGGAACTTTAAACTGTCAGCAATGCTGTATATTATAAACTATAAAATATCAACACCTTTCAATTACACATGACTCTGTGGTGTCATGCAACATTGATGTTGTATAGAATGTGTTAGCTGAGGCTTGAGGTCCAAGTCAGAAATAGGAATCATTATATTTGTCACAAGGAAATAATTGTCTGTGGAGTGGGGGGGGAGGCTACAGGATTTCATTCTGGGGGGGAGAGGAGATAGGAGGGGGAGGGGGGAGGGGAGGTAGGAGGGGGAGGGGAGGGAGGAGGGGGGGGTCGGAAGGACCAGAAGAGGAGATAGGAGGGGGAGGGGAGATAGGAGGGGGAGGGGAGATAGGAGGGGGAGGGGAGGGAGGAGGGGGAGGGGAGAGAGGAGGGGAAGAGGAGATAGGAGGGGGAGGGGAGATAGGAGGGGGAGGGGAGATAGGAGGGGGAGGGGAGGGAGGAGGGGGAGGGGAGGGAGTAGGGGAGGGGGGGTAGGAGGTGAAGAGGAGATAGGAGGGGGAGGGGAGGGAGGAGGGGGAGGGGAGGTAGGAGGGGGAGGGGAGTGAGGAGGGGGAGGGGAGGGAGGAGGGGGAGGGGAGGGAGGAGGGGAAGAGGAGATAGGAGGGGGAGGGGAGATAGGAGGGGGAGGGGAGATAGGAGGGGGAGGGGAGGGAGGAGGGGGAGGGGAGGGAGGAGGGGAGGGGGGGTAGGAGGGGGAGGGGAGGGAGGAGGGGAGGGGAGATAGGAGGGGGAGGGGGAGGGGAGGGGGGGGGAGGGGAGGGGGGTAGGAGGGGGAGGGGAGGGAGGAGGGGAGGGGAGATAGGAGGGGGAGGGGAGGGAGGAGGGGGAGGGGGGTAGGAGGGGAGGGGAGGTAGGAGGGGGAGGGGAGGGAGGAGGGGAGGGGAGATAGGAGGGGGAGGGGAGGGAGGAGGGGAGGGGAGATAGGAGGGGGAGGGGAGGGAGGAGGGGAGGGGGGTGACTTTGTAGATTTATTAGTATTAGTAGTGTTATTAATATTTCTACAGGATTTCATTCCTTTGAGTCTAGAGCACCAGTTTAAAAATTTGATGAGTTTAGTTACAAAGAGAAATAGGGGATTATCCGAGAGTCCAACAACAAAAGCATGAACGTTCTCAAACCATCGGTTATGTACAGGTTATGAGGGTATTCCTGTTGGTTTCTTTATTTATAAGGAATGTGTTAGAACATCCATAATACAGTTGTGTATGTGAACAGATTGATGGATTAATGAAGGATGGGGTAGCTTTTATAACTCCAGTCTGTGATATATATATATATGTAATCGGGGTAAATACTAGCCGCAATATATGACTCGGCTCATGTCGACTCAAGTCTTCATTGTCTAGTTTTAACATAATAGTTGTCACAGGTGGAATTCGAGAGAAAATAAAAAGTCATTTTGCAAAATCAGTAGCAGCAAAATATGACAAATAAGATGTAGCATTTTCTCACCGCACAAAGAACTAAAAACAACAATGGAAATGTATATATATATATATACAATATTTATGTTAAGTTCTTGTTTACTAGCTATAAGAACACAAGGACCACTGGGTGGGTTCTCACGGCATTTTTATTTCCCATGATGGGTAATAGAAACAAAACCCTGCAATGTAAAACACAAAAAGACTATAATCTCTGTCTCTCTGACACATACATGTATATAATATAGACCTGACCGTGTTTAAACAAGGGAAATAACTCTTACGTTAACCTACGAAATAGCGCAAATTACAAAATTAGAAATGTTGAATAACTGTTATACGTTACAGCTCTGAACAAGTAAACTTTACCGGACCAGAACAATACAAACTAGTAGTTCATTTCATTAATAACGGGCTACATGGGCTACAGAACGTAACTGCACAGTAAAATATTTAATTAAACAGAAAATTTGAAACTAATTACTAAATAACTAGAATTAGTTATATACGACAGACACTTACACAATTAAACATGGTGGACAATGTTGGGTCTGATTTCAAGATAAGGCCGGTCTTGATTTATTGATTTTTGTCAGTACACTAAGCCTAGTGATATCTACCTGTAGATAACCTTGTGTTCTGCTTGTCTTGATTTATGATTTATGATTTTTGAACTTGTCAATGTTTATATTTTTCAGAACGATTGTACCTTGGAAAATTTTTCGACAGACTCTAAATGAGGCCCATCCAATCAGCTCAGCTCTAGAAGCCATGGCACTCAAGTCTACGATAGATTTAACTTGTAATGACTACATATCTGTCTTTGACTTTGATGTATTCACAAGGTAATTATCTCACTTTATTATTGAATTTTTTGTTTTTTCTTGTTTTTGATTTTATTTTAGGGGGGGTTTAAGTCCATGCAGTAGCCAAGGTCACATATGTGTGGATATTAGTGTCACCAAAAAAGAAACAAAAAATGTACACAAAAACAGATCAGACAGGAAAAAAAGGGAAACAATCAAGATATACATACATGTAGTTATAAATAGTTATAGGGGTCAACATAGACAGGGTCAGGTGAGGACAGGTGTGTAGGGGTCGACACAGACAGGGTCAGGTGAGGACAGGTGTGTAGGGGTCAACACAGACAGGGTCAGGTGAGGACAGGTGTGTAATGGTCAACACAGACAGGGTCAGGTGAGGACAGGTGTGTTGGGGTCAACACAGACAGGGTCAGGTGAAGACAGGTGTGTAATGGTCAACACAGACAGGGTCAGGTGAGGACAGGTGTGTAGGGGTCAACACAGACAGGGTCAGGTGAGGACAGGTGTGTAATGGTCAACACAGACAGGGTCAGGTGAGGACAGGTGTGTTGGGGTCAACACAGACAGGGTCGGGTGAGGACAGGTGTGTTGGGGTCAACACAGACAGGGTCAGGTGAGGACAGGTGTGTTGGGGTCAACACAGACAGGGTCAGGTGAGGACAGGTGTGTAATGGTCAACACAGACAGGGTCAGGTGAGGACAGGTGTGTAATGGTCAACACAGACAGGGTCAGGTGAGGACAGGTGTGTAATGGTCAACACAGACAGGGTCAGGTGAGGACAGGTGTGTTGGGGTCAACACAGACAGGGTCAGGTGAGGACAGGTGTGTAGGGGTCAACACAGACAGGGTCAGGTGAGGACAGGTGTGTAATGGTCAGCACAGACAGGGTCAGGTGAAGACAGGTGTGTAGGGGTCAACACAGACAGGGTCAGGTGAGGACAGGTGTGTAATGGTCAACACAGACAGGGTCAGGTGAAGACAGGTGTGTAGGGGTCAACACAGACAGGGTCAGGTGAGGACAGGTGTGAAGGGGGACAACAACAGTCAGGGTCATCTTTGTTTGTGTTTTTTACCTTTATAATGCATGGCCTATATATGCTGGAATGAATATTCATCTCATGATCTTAAGTATTATATTAAGTTTGTTAATGACAACATGGTTCTTTACTCTGTAGGCTATTCCAGCCGTGGATAAACCTACTGCGGAACTGGAATGTGTTGGCAGTGACTCATCCTGGTTATGTTGCTTTTCTAACTTATGATGAAGTCAAAGCCAGATTACAGAAATATGTCACCAAACCTGGCAGGTAGGTCAAGGTCATTAAGGAAATCAAGTTTTGTTGCCTTTTGTCCTATAAACAACCAGAGTGAGGGTTAAGGTTTGGGTGGTGGAGGAAAGCCTGATAAATGGGAGAAAAAAACTCTGACGTGTGGTCAATGACTGGCAACTGCCTCAAGTAGGTCTCAAACCAGCGGCCCACAAGGTCAAAGTCAGAGAAGTCTGTAGGTGAAGGTCATTAGGGAAAACCAAATGGTGGAAAGGTAATTTAGATTTCTGCGGTGACTACAGGACCTTGTGGAATCTATCTAGATTTTGATGGGTTTGTCCCTAGATTTACGTGTTTAACTATTAAACTATTTAAAACATGAAGGCATCTTGAATTTTGGGTTTAATGTTTGTTTTTGCTGTTTCTCAGGCCTATATTACTGTTCCTGGCAGTGCTATGTTTATGACAGATGTATCAAATGTCACTCATTGATAAATTTTTGATAGAGGACTAAAAAAAGCTAATTTTATTAAATTTAAACCTTTCAGAAAACTCTGTTGATACTGAATAATATAGGTAGTAGTAGTACACCGTATCATTTTCCTGTGGCTCTGTTCTAACAGGAAGTATTCTTTAATCAGTGAGTAGTAAAAACACTTCCTGTGTTAAAGATTTAGAATCATGGGGCATTGATTAGAGATTGGATAGACATAAGGAAGTGTATCTGTTAATTGTTACAGGCAAGAATAGGCAATAAAATGATTACAAAGGAGGGCTCTGTAGTGTATGTTATCGTAGGCAAGAATAGGCAATAAAATAATTACAAAGGAGGGCTCTGTAGTGTATGTTATCGTAGGCAAGAATAGGCAATAAAATGATTACAAAGGAGGGCTCTGTAGTGTATGTTATCGTAGGCAAGAATAGGCAATAAAATAATACATGTATCATATATTAATATATTTGTCATCAGGGAACTTTGAAACCAAAACAAATGCTACAAACATCCACATGATATCTTATTAGCTCACCATTACCAGATAGTGGGCTATTCAAACCACCTTGTATCTGTGGTCTGTCACTCTGTCCTTTAGAAATTCTTGTTACCTCTATTTCTTTAGAAGTGCTAGACGGATCTTTTTCAAATTTTATATGTGGGCTTCCCTTGATTCCTGATTGTGCATTGTACTATTTTTAGACTGGTAGCCATCTTGGATTTTGTCAGTAATGGATTGTAATTTATATTTCTAGAAAAAGTACAGATTGGATCAGCTCCTAGTTGTACCGTTTTGATTTTAGTACTGATCAGAAAAACAAAATGGCTAGCAGGCAGTCATCTTGGATTTTAACAAAGAAAGTTTGTTGTGACTTTTTTTGGGAATTACTGAATGGGTCTGTCACAAATTTCTTTTCTATCCCTAGTTGTGCCCATTCAATTTTCAGTTGGAGAAACAAAATGGCTGAAAGATTGCCATCTTGGATTTTGACAACGAAAGTTTGTTATTTCTGTTTCTTGAGAAGGACTTCATGGATCAATCCCAACATTTGTATGATAGTTTGGTTTGGTCCCTAGTTGTGCCATTTTGATTTTTAGAAAAACAAAATACTGACTACCACCTCTCTAGAAATAGTATCTTTTTGGGTGGTTGGGTGGTGCAGTGGTAACGTACTCGTCTTTCACTTAGCTGTCTGGTGTTTGACTTCTGGAGTGGACTTGAGAAGGTAAGGGTCAACTGCCCGACCATGAGGGTTTTCCCCAGTTTCCTCCCACAATAAGACTCCTCGCGCGCTTACCTCCGGGCCAACAGGAGTGATTAGTATAAGTTGACATAACTTGTTTCGTAATTGTTGTAAAATAAATAAAGTTTATATTTAAAATTTAACCTTTTTTTTGAAAGTTGATTGTTAATGCTGTTTCTAGAGAGGAATTCTCAAATTTCATATAATTAAGAAGAAAAAAGAGAAAAGAAGGGAAAAAATCTGATTTTTAAAACCAAAAATAAAGTAAAAGAAAAGATCCTTTTGTGGTCTCCTGTTTGATCATTGATAAGCTCATCTCTTTAGTAGGAAATATTTAATTTTTGGGGACTCTTTGTCCAATTACAAAGTAGATATGTATATAAATATTCACATTTCTAGTGTGTATTTTCCTCGCCAACAGAATTGATGTTTACAATTCAGTATAAATCAAATCAGACAACCTTTCCCACCAAATTGGAATCAGCTATTATTCTGTTTTATCAGTCTCAGGCTGTTCCTTCAGTGTGTATAATGTAGATTTAGCAAAAATTGTTATTTTTACATTCCTCTAGTTGTTTGGTTGGTTGATATTAAGATATTGTTCCATTGGGCAGAAAATTGAAATATAAGGGTTTTTAGGGAAAGCAATTACAATGGTACCGTTTTCAAGAAACATCTGATGTCATTTGGTTGCTATGGTAACCACATAGTGCCCCTGATTAGATGGATCTTTCCTAGATTACTCCTAATGATAGGAACCAATTCAATGGAACTACACAGAGATGTAGGGACTATGTGTACATGTGTAAAAGTGTGCACAGCTAATTATAGCCGATTATTTGACATATTAGGTGTTCCAAAACTGTTACCATGGATACACATTGGAGGTTTCTGATTGGTTGAAATTGAGGTGTTATCTGATTAAGTTAAAAAAAATGGGCTTAGATGTTTGCAGAATCAAGCCATAGATTTATAGGTCAGTTCTTCACCAATTTCACTGCCTAAAATTTGACTACCCGGTATATATTCTTGTCTCAGTAACACGACCCAATTTTCTTGTTTCAGTTATGTGTTCCGATCAAGTTGTACCAAATTAGGTCAGTGGGCCATTGGTTATGTAACTGCTGAGGGACAGATATTACAGACTATTCCACAAAACAAATCCTTGTGCCAAGCTCTACTTGACGGCCAGAGGGAAGGCTTGTAAGTACAAAGTATTGCTGAAATGAAAGTAGGCCATGTGGGTAAAGTTTAATAACATTCATAGGAAAGACTTGAAAGTACAAAGTATTGCTAAAATAAAAGTAGGAAATGTCTTGTTTAATGACATAAGTAATTATGAGGCGAAATGTCAATCATGTTTAATAGTGTATAATGTTTTCTAATGTTTGGCTCAGTTTCACATAAAGTCAAAGCTTTATACCAATAAAACCTGCAACATGATTATAATGTAGTACAGACAATTCAATCTCGACCCTTCAGATCGATTGTGAAATTGATTGTGTATTTTTGGAGGTAAAAGCTTAAAAGAAATTGTATGAAGATTTTGAAAACTAGTTACAATCACTTCAGAATGATGAAGTAGTCATATTGACAAATGAACAGCCTATACTGTACACATATACATAACCATCTAACTCTACACATGTTTTGTCAGTTTTAAGAATCCAGATGGCCGGAGTATAAATCCTGATCTGAGTTTCCTTGTACAGGACTGTCAGGAAGACCACATACAAGTGACAGAGGAACAGTATGAACTGTACTGTGAGATGGGATCCACTTTTCAGCTGTGTAAAATCTGTGCTGAGAACGACAAGGATATTAAGATTGAGCCATGTGGCCATCTTTTATGTACACCTTGTCTCACACAGTGGCAGGTAATAATGCCTTCTATATCTTTTCATGCCTACCAAAAAATGGAGAGGGGAGGGGGTGAGGGGGCGGGGCATATAACTGTGCCCATGTCAATCCTGTACTTATTCAATGTAAGTACCTAGCAACTTCATTTTTTGACAGATTTTTGGTAAAACTGTATATAAAGATCAATTATCAGTATGCTTTGGTTGTGTTTCAGGGGCCCAAGGTCAAGGTCACCCTTGCTATCTATATCTATATATATATATATATATAATCATGAAAGGTTAAGGTCATCCTTGCTCTATTTATACGTTGAAATTATATCAGGATGTGATGGAATTCTACAAAGTTTCTTCAAACAAATTATCTGGACCCACTTTCAAGGTTACTGTGCCAAATATGAGTAAATCTATGAACATCTTCTCAATAGCAGAGGGGTCAAGGGTCATAATTTTATACCAGTTTTATGCTTAAATACACAATCTTTACACTAACAAGGTCACAGTTGTAAAATGCTATGGAACTGAAGACTACTTATTTTCAGTAGTTTATAATTATATAAGCCCAGTGTCATTGTGTTTGAGTGGTAGCGTTTTCTGGAAATGGGTTTTGAAATTTGCAAAATTTTAATTAACTGTTTAAATAGTCTTCCATGGGTGAGCAATTCAGGTCCATTGGGCCTCTTGTTATAAAAAGGACTAGTGTAAACAAATTGTAGATTTATCACTGCTTACTGTAAAATATCAAATTTTAGTGAGGAATTTATTTTCACTGAATTTATGGATTTTCTTAATTCACAAATTCATATGACCACAAATTCATTTAAAAACTCTTAAAGTCAGTACAATGCAAATTTTTTGAGAAATATTTATCAGTGAAATCAAGTTTCCAGGAAATAATTATTATTGTTTGAAAAATCATGAAAATAAAGCACCATGAAAATGTCTGAATTTACAGTAAGAAGAGCAGTGTAAAATGATTTATACAATATCATCTCTGTATTTCAGATATTTTCCTTTGTTTGTCAAATCTTAGATATGTTCAATGAAACTTTCAAATCTAAAATAATATGCTGATCAGCCCCGTTATAGTACAATCGTGCAGCATACAAAGCAGTATAAGGATTTTGTTATTTGATGCTGTAGAGGTCATGTGACCGTGAGTGGTTGGTAATAATGAAGAGTAGGTATGTGATAATGATACTACAACTTGTACACCAGGAAATACTACTTCACTGGGACATAATGACCTAGATTCTCTGACAGTTCAACGACATTGTCACACTGTTCAAACTTGTATCTCCACTACGAAGAAACTTGTTTTGTGAGTCTGTTGTCAGACTTTCTGTTGAGTACTTTTTCTATTCTACCGCTAAACCATATTTTTTATGAGGCTCAAATGTCATGTTTTTTTTTCAAAACTATACCATTTTCCTCTTCATCTCTTATCTTTCCTTGTCTTCTATTCTGTATTCTTTCTATAGCTACCTCTCCTCCTGTGTTCAGTTTTATATCTTTTTTTCCTTCTCTCCTGTTCTTTATTCTTTTCTATATCTATCTGTCTATCTCTCTCTTCTTTTGTATATTCTTTTTTATATCTATCTGTCTATCTCTCTCATCTGTTCTTTATTCTTTTTTGTATCTATCTGTCTATCTCTCTCTCCTGTTCTTTATTCTTTTCTATATCTATCTGTCTATCTCTCTCTTCTGTTCTATATTCCTTTTTATATCTATCTGTCTATCTCTCTCTTCTATTTTACATTCTTTTTTGTATCTATCTGTCTATCTCTCTCTTCTGTTCTATATTCCTTTTTATATCTATCTGTCTATCTCTCTCTTCTGTTCTATATTCCTTTTTATATCTATCTGTCTATCTCTCTCTTCTATTTTACATTCTTTTTTGTATCTATCTGTCTATCTCTCTCTTCTATTTTACATTCTTTTTTATATCTATCTGTCTATCTCTCTCTTCTGTTCTGTATTCTTTTTTATATCTATCTGTCTATCTCTCTCTTCTATTTTATATTCTTTTTTATATCTATCTGTCTATCTCTCTCTTCTGTTCTATATTCCTTTTTATATCTATCTGTCTATCTCTCTCTTCTGTTCTTTATTCTTTTTTGTATCTATCTGTCTATCTCTCTCTTCTATTTTATATTCTTTTTTGTATCTATCTGTCTATCTCTCTTCTGTTCTATATTCCTTTTTATATCTATCTGTCTATCTCTCTCTTCTGTTCTTTATTCTTTTTTATATCTATCTGTCTATCTCTCTCTTCTGTTCTTTATTCTTTTTTGTATCTATCTGTCTATCTCTCTCTTCTGTTCTATATTCCTTTTTATATCTATCTGTCTATCTCTCTCTTCTATTTTACATTCTTTTTTGTATCTATCTGTCTATCTCTCTCTTCTATTTTACATTCTTTTTTATATCTATCTGTCTATCTCTCTCTTCTGTTCTATATTCTTTTTTATATCTATCTGTCTATCTCTCTCTTCTATTTTATATTCTTTTTTGTATCTATCTGTCTATCTCTCTTCTGTTCTATATTCCTTTTTATATCTATCTGTCTATCTCTCTCTTCTGTTCTTTATTCTTTTTTATATCTATCTGTCTATCTCTCTCTTCTGTTCTTTATTCTTTTTTGTATCTATCTGTCTATCTCTCTCTTCTTTTGTATATTCTTTTTTATATCTATCTGTCTATCTCTCTCTTCTGTTCTTTATTCTTTTTTATATCTATCTGTCTATCTCTCTCTTCTATTTTATATTCTTTTTTTTATATCTATCTGTCTATCTCTCTCTTCTGTTCTTTATTCTTTTTTGTATCTATCTGTCTATCTCTCTCTTCTATCTTATATTCTTTTTTGTATCTATCTGTCTATCTCTCTCTTCTATTTTATATTCTTTTTTGTATCTATCTGTCTATCTCTCTCTTCTGTTCTATATTCTTTTTTGTATCTATCTGTCTATCTCTCTCTTCTTTTGTATATTCCTTTTTATATCTATCTGTCTATCTCTCTCATCTGTTCTATATTCCTTTTTATATCTATCTATCTCTCTCTTCTTTTGTATATTCCTTTTTATATCTATCTGTCTATCTCTCTCTTCTGTTCTATATTCTTTTTTGTATCTATCTGTCTATCTCTCTCTTCTGTTCTTTATTCTTTTTTATATCTATCTGTCTATCTCTCTCTTCTATTTTATATTCTTTTTTTTATATCTATCTGTCTATCTCTCTCTTCTGTTCTTTATTCTTTTTTGTATCTATCTGTCTATCTCTCTCTTCTATTTTATATTCTTTTTTGTATCTATCTGTCTATCTCTCTCTTCTGTTCTTTATTCTTTTTTGTATCTATCTGTCTATCTCTCTCTTCTGTTCTTTATTCTTTTTTGTATCTATCTGTCTATCTCTCTCTTCTGTTCTTTATTCTTTTTTATATCTATCTGTCTATCTCTCTCTTCTATTTTATATTCTTTTTTGTATCTATCTGTCTATCTCTCTCTTCTGTTCTATATTCTTTTTTGTATCTATCTGTCTATCTCTCTCTTCTGTTCTATATTCTTTTTTGTATCTATCTGTCTATCTCTCTCTTCTTTTGTATATTCCTTTTATATCTATCTGTCTATCTCTCTCATCTGTTCTATATTCCTTTTTATATCTATCTGTCTATCTCTCTCTTCTGTTCTATATTCCTTTTTATATCTATCTGTCTATCTCTCTCTTCTTTTGTATATTCCTTTTTATATCTCTCTGTCTATCTCTCTCTTCTGTTCTTTATTCTTTTTTGTATCTATCTGTCTATCTCTCTCATCTGTTCTTTATTCCTTTTTATGTCTATCTACCTTTCCAATTCTATATTCTTTTATGTCTATATAACTCTTCTATTCTTTATTCTTTTTATCTATCTATCTCTCCTATTCTATATTCTTTTTATCTATCTACCTCTCCTATTCTTTATTCTTTTTATCTATCTACCTCTCCTATTCTATATTCTTTTTATCTATCTATCTCTCCTATTCTATATTCTTTTTATCTATCTATCTCTCCTATTCTATATTCTTTTTATCTATCTACCTCTCCTATTCTTTATTTTTTTTATCTATCTATCTCTCCTATTCTATATTCTTTTTATCTATCTACCTCTCCTATTCTATATTCTTTTTTTCTATCTACCTCTCCTATTCTATGTTCTTTTTATCTATCTACCTCTCCTATTCTATGTTCTTTTTGTTCTTTTTATCTATCTACCTCTCCTATTCTATGTTCTTTTTTATCTATCTACATATCCTATTCTATATTCTTTTTTTATCTATCTACATATCCTATTCTATGTTATTTTATACCAGGTATCTATCAGCCTCTCCTATTCTATATTCTATTTATATCTATATATTTCTCCTATATTCTTTTTTTATGTCTATCTACCTCTCCTATTCTTTATTCTTTTTTATATCTATCAGCCTCTCCTATTCTATATTCTTTTTATATCTATATATATATATATTTTTATATCTATCTACCTCTCCTATTCTTTATTCTTTTTTATCTATCTACCTCTCCTATTCTATATTCCTTTTTATCTATCTACCTCTCCTATTCTATATTATTTTTATATCTATCTTCTTGTAAGCTGAAGAACAGGTGCCCAATTCAGGTCCTTTAGGCCTCTTGTTTAATATTTAGGTCCACTATAGGTTATTCACTTACATATCTTTTCTATTTGCTTGTGTATCATTTATGCTGCAATATTTTGGTTGAAGTAGAATTGGTAGAAGTAGAATTGGTAGAAGTAGAATTGGTAGATTTTGATAGAAGTAGAATTGGTAGAAGTAGAATTGGTAGATTTTGATAGAAGTAGAATTGGTAGAAGTAGAATTAGCAGATTTTGATAGAAGTAGAATTGGTAGATTTTGATAGAAGTAGAATTGGTAGATTTTGATAGAAGTAGAATTGGTAGAAGTAAAATTAGCAGATTTTGATAGAAGTAGAATTGGTAGATTTTGATAGAAGTAGAATTGGTAGATTTTGATAGAAGTAGAATTGGTAGATTTTGATAGAAGTAGAATTGGTAGAAGTAGAATTGGTAGAAGTAGAATTGATAGAAGTAGAATTGGTAGATTTTGATAGAAGTAGAATTGGTAGAAGTAGAATTGGTAGATTTTGATAGAAGTAGAATTGGTAGATTTTGATAGAAGTAGAATTGGTAGATTTTGATAGAAGTAGAATTGGTAGAAGTAGAATTAGCAGATTTTGATAGAAGTAGAATTGGTAGATTTTGATAGAAGTAGAATTGGTAGATTTTGATAGAAGTAGAATTGGTAGAAGTAGAATTGGTAGATTTTGATAGAAGTAGAATTGGTAGAAGTAGAATTGGTAGAAGTAGAATTGGTAGAAGTAGAATTGATAGAAGTAGAAGGTAGATTTTGATAGAAGTAGAATTGGTAGAAGTAGAATTGGTAGATTTTGATAGAAGTAGAATTGGTAGATTTTGATAGAAGTAGAATTGGTAGATTTTGATAGAAGTAGAATTGGTAGAAGTAGAATTGGCAGATTTTGATAGAAGTAGAATTGGTAGATTTTGATAGAAGTAGAATTGGTAGATTTTGATAGAAGTAGAATTGGTAGAAGTAGAATTGGTAGATTTTGATAGAAGTAGAATTGGTAGAAGTAGAATTGGTAGAAGTAGAATTGGTAGAAGTAGAATTGGTAGATTTTGATAGAAGTAGAATTGGTAGATTTTGATAGAAGTAGAATTGGTAGATTTTGATAGAAGTAGAATTGGTAGAAGTAGAATTGGTAGATTTTGATAGAAGTAGAATTGGTAGATTTTGATAGAAGTAGAATTGGTAGATTTTGATAGAAGTAGAATTGGTAGAAGTAGAATTGGCAGATTTTGATAGAAGTAGAATTGGTAGAAGTAGAATTGATAGAAGTAGAATTGGTAGAAGTAGAATTGGTAGAAGTAAAATTAGCAGATTTTGATAGAAGTAGAATTGGTAGATTTTGATAGAAGTAGAATTGGTAGATTTTGATAGAAGTAGAATTGGTAGATTATGATAGAATTGGTAGATTTTGATAGAAGTAGAATTGGTAGAAGTAGAATTGGTAGATTTTGATAGAAGTAGAATTGGTAGATTTTGATAGAAGTAGAATTGGTAGAAGTAGAATTGGTAGAAGTAGATTTGGTAGTTTTTGATAGAAGTAGAATTGGTAGATTTTGATAGAAGTAGAATTGTTAGAAGTAGAATTGGTAGATTTTGATAGAAGTAGAATTGGTAGATTTTGATAGAAGTAGAATTGGTAGAAGTAGAATTGGTAGATTTTGATAGAAGTAGAATTGGTAGAAGTAGAATTGGTAGAAGTAGAATTGGTAGATTTTGATAGAAGTAGAATTGGTAGAAGTAGAATTGGTAGAAGTAGAATTGATAGAAGTAGAATTGGTAGATTTTGATAGAAGTAGAATTGGTAGATTTTGATAGAAGTAGAATTGGTAGAAGTAGAATTGGTAGATTTTGATAGAAGTAGAATTGGTAGATTTTGATAGAAGTAGAATTGGTAGATTTTGATAGAAGTAGAATTGGTAGATTTTGATAGAAGTAGAATTGGTAGAAGTAGAATTGGTAGATTTTGATAGAAGTAGAATTGGTAGATTTTGATAGAAGTAGAATTGGTAGATTTTGATAGAAGTAGAATTGGTAGAAGTAGAATTGGCAGATTTTGATAGAAGTAGAATTGGTAGAAGTAGAATTGGTAGAAGTAGAATTGATAGAAGTAGAATTGGTAGATTATGATAGAAGTAGAATTGGTAGATTATGATAGAAGTAGAATTGGTAGAAGTAAAATTAGCAGATTTTGATAGAAGTAGAATTGGTAGAAGTAGAATTGATAGAAGTAGAATTGGTAGATTTTGATAGAAGTAGAATTGGTAGATTTTGATAGAAGTAGAATTGGTAGATTTTGATAGAAGTAGAATTGGTAGAAGTAGAATTGGTAGAAGTAGAATTGATAGAAGTAGAATTGGTAGATTATGATAGAAGTAGAATTGGTAGATTATGATAGAAGTAGAATTGGTAGAAGTAGAATTGATAGAAGTAGAATTGGTAGAAGTAGAATTGGTAGAAGTAGAATTGGTAGAAGTAGAATTGATAGAAGTAGAATTGGTAGATTTTTATAGAAGTAGAATTGGTAGTTTTTGATAGAGTAGAATTGGTAGAATTGGTAGATTTTGATAGAAGTAGAATTGGTAGATTTTGATAGAAGTAGAATTGGTAGAAGTAGAATTGGTAGATTTTGATAGAAGTAGAATTGGTAGAAGTAGAATTGGTAGAAGTAGAATTGATAGAAGTAGATTGGTAGATTTTGATAGAAGTAGAATTGGTAGAAGTAGAATTGGTAGATTTTGATAGAAGTAGAATTGGTAGAAGTAGAATTGGTAGAAGTAGAATTGATAGAAGTAGAATTGGTAGATTTTGATAGAAGTAGAATTGGTAGAAGTAGAATTGGTAGATTTTGATAGAAGTAGAATTGGTAGATTTTGATAGAAGTAGAATTGGTAGAAGTAGAATTGGTAGATTTTGATAGAAGTAGAATTGGTAGAAGTAGAATTGGTAGAAGTAGAATTGGTAGATTTTGATAGAAGTAGAATTGGTAGATTTTGATAGAAGTAGAATTGGTAGAAGTAGAATTGGTAGATTTTGATAGAAGTAGAATTGGTAGAAGTAGAATTGGTAGAAGTAGAATTGATAGAAGTAGAATTGGTAGAAGTAGAATTGGTAGAAGTAGAATTGGTAGATTTTGATAGAAGTAGAATTGGTAGATTTTGATAGAAGTAGAATTGGTAGATTTTGATAGAAGTAGAATTGGTAGAAGTAGAATTGGTAGATTTTGATAGAAGTAGAATTGGTAGAGGTAGAATTGGTAGATTTTGATAGAAGTAGAATTGGTAGAAGTAGAATTGGTAGAAGTAGAATTGGTAGAAGTAGAATTGGTAGAAGTAGAATTGGTAGATTTTGATAGAAGTAGAATTGGTAGAAGTAGAATTGGTAGATTTTGATAGAAGTAGAATTGGTAGAAGTAGAATTGGTAGAAGTAGAATTGATAGAAGTAGAATCGGTAGATTATGATAGAAGTAGAATTGGTAGATTATGATAGAAGTAGAATTGGTAGAAGTAGAATTGGTAGATTTTGATAGAAGTAGAATTGGTAGAAGTAGAATTGGTAGATTTTGATAGAAGTAGAATTGGTAGAAGTAGAATTGGTAGAAGTAGAATTGATAGAAGTAGAATTGGTAGAAGTAGAATTGGTAGAAGTAGAATTGGTAGAAGTAGAATTGGTAGATTTTGATAGAAGTAGAATTGGTAGAAGTAGAATTGGTAGAAGTAGATTTTGGTAGAAGTAAAACTGGTAGATTTTGATAGATTTTGGTGAAGTTTGATCTGGAATAAGATACCATCCATGTTTACCCCCCTAGCATCATCAGAAACCTATGAGACTCTGCTATATCGTTGGAGTGAAATGACAGAGTCTAACGAGTTTCTGACGGTGGTCCCTTAGGTGTATATCTTGATAGATCTAGTTGTAACTTTGATCTTTTGCATATTTTTATTCAGGATTCTGATGGTCAAGGATGTCCTTTTTGCCGATGTGAAATTAAAGGGACAGAACAGGTTGTAGTTGACCCCTTCACGCCACACGGTCACTGCCGAGGAAACGATAGTTATCGCCCTGCCAATACCCACACTAATATGGACGAGGATGATGATCCAGATGTTATGGTAAGCACTAATTTCAATCAGATTATGTTGACATGTTGGTATATTGTATTTGTTTATTTATTTTGTTGTTCTGGTCAATAAACTTAAGTTTTTACAGTTTATTTTGTTAAGAAGATTAAAGTCAGTTGATTGACTTGCCTGATGTTCTGCTACTGGTGATGGGTTGACTGACCTGCCTCAAATGAAAACCATGTCACAGGATGTTATTCCGATTTATTTTGGAAAAGAACAACTTCTTAAGAATTATCACAGAAGTTTCAGTCAAGAACAGATTACAATAAAGTTTCTACCATTTTGATTTTTTTGCACCTATATTTTCACAATATTTACCAGAATTATCATGCCTTAAGGATACAACATTGTACGGTGGGAAGAATTAATAATTGTACTGAAAACACTCAGATTTGATTGGTAGAACAATTGTAAAAATATCAAACTTGTTATTTTTACAATCAGTGGAAATATTACATGCTTTGTATATTTAATATCAATTTGGTTTCATTTTAAAATGCTGTGAAATTTGTATCAAATTATAATTAGAACTAATACAAGATTCTGTTTATCAGTTGATAGTTCTGAGATTTAACTAAAATCTACTTACACAGGATTCAGGTCAGTGGATGTCCAACAGTCTCCAAGCTCTTAGTGCTGTTAACAGGGTAAGTAACATTCTGTCTACAGTCTCCAGGCCTTAGTACTGTTAACAGGGTAACATTCTGTCTACAGTCTCCAGGCCTTAGTACTGTTAACAGGGTAACATTCTGTCTACAGTCTCCAGGCCTTAGTACTGTTAACAGGGTAACATTCTATCTACAGTCTCCAGGCCTTAGTACTGTTAACAGGGTAACATTCTATCTACAGTCTCCAGGCCTTAGTACTGTTAACAGGGTAACATTCTATCTACAGTCTCCAGGCCTTAGTACTGTTAACAGGGTAACATTCTATCTACAGTCTCCAGGCCTTAGTACTGTTAACAGGGTAAGTAACATTCTATCTACAGTCTCCAGGCCCTTAGTACTGTTAACAGGGTAACATTCTATCTACAGTCTCCAGGCCTTAGTACTGTTAACAGGGTAACATTCTATCTACAGTCTCCAGGCCCTTAGTACTTTTATCAGAGTAAGTCAGGTTCTCTTGCCCTGAACATGGGCATTTTTTTTAGATAGTGATTAAAATTAAAGAAACAAATTCAAGCATTCTCTTGTAACTGGGTGAATCCCATTAATCCCTCCAGGGCCTGCAATCATTTTATTTTTCTGCACCCCTGGGACATTTCATGGCAAACTTTAAGGCACATGAATAGTAATTAGATTAGATTTTTATAATTACAGGCTTTATAGAAATCTTGCATTGATATGAAAAACAATGCAAAGTAGTTTAGCAAAATATAAAGTTTTCAACTCAGAATGTTTTTTTTTGTTAGTGTCGAGACAACCGGTCACCGTTTGAGTCCCCCAGTGTTCCAAAAAGAGATTTACCCCCACCAGTTCCCCCTCGGAGAGCCTCACCAGCCCCATCACCGAATGTTTCACCCACATCATCACCAAAACCACCTCAGTAAGTATGTAATAACGTGTGACTGTTGAACCAAAATCTTTCAAGGTCACATGATCGGCTATTTTTAGTAGTATTGATTTTTCCTGAATGTATATTGAATTTATTGTTGGAAAAAGGAAGAAAAATCTGAGTCTCCTCCAACTTAAAATGTTGATGATATTTTGAATTCTGAAGTAACTAGACAAAAACCAACTTAATTAACCATATGTGCTTCAATAGAACTACAAACAAATGTTATTTCATTGTCCTGTGATAAGCCCACCCCAAACTTTAAGCTAGAAATAATTTGTTGGCTCCTGAGGTTATTGTAAGATAAATACATTAAAACAAAAATGTTTGTACACCTTGACTCTGTTATAAAACTGTTGTTAAATATATAACTTCTGTCATGTAAAGTCAGAGGTAGGTATACTACAGGACAATAAGTCGATAGGACAATTCTTTATGGGTCAACATATTACTTCTTACTCAGAGTCACTTGAGTGACAATAAGCCCAGTGGCCAACATATTACTTCTTACTCAGAGTCACTTGAGTGACAATAAGCCCAGTGGCCAACATATCACTTCTTACTCAGAGTCACTTGAGTGACAATAAGCCCAGTGGTCAACATATCACTTCTTACTCAAATTCAATGGAGTGACAATAAGCCCAGTGGCCAACATATCACTTCTTACTCAGAGTCACTTGAGTGACAATAAGCCCAGTGGCCAACATATCACTTCTTATGCTTAGTTAGTGATGGGCTTATTGCATGACAATAAGCACAGGGCAAGCAAATTACTTCTTACTCAAAATCAATGTTAGGTTTATTAAAGGACAATAAGCCCATGGGACCTACACACTACTTCTTAATCAAAGTCAGCGATTGTTTTGTGTTTTGTTTCCTTGTGAATGCCTTGCATCAACCATTGGTGATCAGTGACAAAATTGTATGTAGAAAGCTTTGGCATATTACAGTCGCAGACAGCTGCCCCCCACACCACCGGTAGAGGGCGCTCCACAAGACAAACATCTTATTCCCCAACCCGTGCCAAAGAACGTGTGTACAGAAGCCAGTGATGGAACAGGTAAGTAATCATACACAGCCTGGTCAGATGATTCACTTTCTGTCAACATTCAACTCATGTGTTCTAAAGTCCTCCTTTAATTATCGCCTGCTTTCTTCCCTCATACTTACCTCTGCTCATTGTTCCTTTTCACTTTGTCTCCTTATTCTTTCTTTTCCTTCAATTCCCTCACTTTTTACTATCCCCCCTACCCAGACCACCAATAACTAGCCTCTTCACCATCAAATGTACAGCCCTCTAATCCTCATCATTGATCTGTTTTGTCCTATTCCAAACCTCCTATTTCTGTTGATTTCCATTAATTTTCTCCCCCCATTATGTCTCACCCCCTACATTATGTCTCACCCTCTGTATCCCTTACTCCCCCCTACATTATGTCTCACCCTCTGTATCCCTTACTCCCCCCTACATTATGTCTCACCCTCTGTATCCCTTACTCCCCCCTACATTATGTCTCACCCTCTGTATCCCTTACTCCCCCCCTACATTATGTCTCACCCTCTGTATCCCTTACTCCCCCCCCTACATTATGTCTCACCCTCTGTATCCCTTACTCCCCCCCCCTTACTCCCCCCTACATACATTATGTCTCACACCTCTGTATCCCTTACTCCCCCTACATTATGTCTCTGTATCCCTTACTCCCCCCTACATTATGTCTCACCCTTGTATGTCTCACCCTCTGTATCATTATGTCTCCTTACTCCCCCCCCATTATGTCTCACCCTCTGTATCTTTTACTCCCCCCTACATTATGTCTCACCCTCTGTATCCCTAACTCCCCCCCCTACATTATGTCTCACTCACTGTATCCCTTACTCCCCCCTACATTATGTCTCACTCGCTATATCCCTTACTCCCACCTACATTATGTCTCACCATCTGTATCCCTTACTCCACCCTACATTATGTCTCTGTACCAATTGAACCAGTTTAAGTAACTTAAATAAGTCTGTGGTTGACTGATTTACAGTGACCTGTCAAATCTTTCAAAATGTCTGATGAGTTGCCTGCTGCACCCTGTAATGAACCACATATTTGTCTCTTGGACATCAATGTCTGCACCAAACATTACCTGTCATTGGTTGGCATTAAAATAGACTTGAGAAATATTTGACATTCAATCACAATATATCAGAAATTGGAATTATAAAAAACGATTTCACTTCCATTAAGTGTATGTATATATGTATTAGTTTTTGTTTCTGGCTGTGATTTCTGTTGACTTGCTGTTTCTTTGGTCTGTATACTGAGGATTCATATTAACACTTCAGAAAGTCACCATCTTTAACATCAAATAAAAAAAAGGTTATTCTAAAATTAAAAAACAAAATGAAAACATCAGTGAAAGCTTCACACTTTTTGGTTTTTAAATACGATCCATAGTTTTTTTATTTATCATACATACATGTAACATCTAGAGGTGAAATTATAAAGCATAAGATAATGTAAAAAGTGATATATTGTAAAGGTAAAAATAGCACAATGTAAAAACAAAAATAACATAATATAATGATAAAATCAATACATTTTAAAGAGAAAAATAATATATTTTTGAGACAAAATCAATATATTGTAAAGACAAAAATGATATATTGTAAAAAGAGAAAAATAATATATTGTTAAGACAAAATCAATATATTGTAAAGACAAAAATGATATATTGTAAAAAGAGAAAAATAATATATTGTTAAGACAAAATCAATATATTGTAAAGACATGTTTCAATATAAACAAAATGCTGATTAAATGTAATTCTATTGTCCTGATTCGTTAAAGTTTCAGTTTTAGAGGTCTAAGACCCCTTTTAAGCCTCACCAAACCTGTACAGCCTCAGTTTTTTTTTATTTGATTTAGATTTCAAAAATAAAAAAGGACCAAAATAAGACTGTTTTATTGGTTTAAAACTTCATAAGAAACCATATTACATCACCATGTTCCAGATAACCTCTGATATTTAATGAGACAAGGATAACAATGTTGATACCAGAAATATTAGTGTAACCATGGTAACATACTAGCCACAATACACCACTCGGCTAGAGAGAACTTCTCTGTAGCTCTGTAACCCTGGTAAAATACTAGCCACAATATACCACTCGGCTAGAGAGAACTTCTCTGTAGCTCTGTAACCCTGGTAAAATACTAGCCGCAATATACCACTCGGCTAGAGAGAACTTCTCTGTAGCTCTGTAACCATGGTAAAATACTAGCCACAATATACCACTCGGCTAGAGAGAACTTCTCTGTAGCTCTGTAACCATGGTAAATACTAGCCACAATATACCACTCGGCTAGAGAGAACTTCTCTGTAGCTCTGTAACCCTGGTAAAATACAAGCCACAATATACCACACGGCTAGAGAGAACTTCTCTGTAGCTCTGTAACCCTGGTAAATACTAGCCACAATATACCACTCGGCTAGAGAGAACTTCTCTTTAGCTCGATTGGTTGAGCGTCAGACTAGTGAGGCAGGGATCCTGGTTTCGATTCCTAGCGGAGGCATTGAAATGAATAATAAATATTAACATAAACATGTAAAGATATTAAGATTAAAAAAGAGAAATTTAATTACGTCTTTGAAAAGTTTGATTAAGACCATATACCTTTGTAGTGAATAATGCTTTGGATGTATTCTGTCTCTCTGTTGATGCCTTCCACTCTCTCTTCCTCTAGGTATTTCTTATGCCGAGCTTCGTTATGATGTTCCCACCAATGCTATTCCAGTGAGCGAGAGCTATGCCGGACATTTTCCTCCCTCTTCCTTTCCTCCTGACACCAATTCAGCTTTTGAATCACATCCCATGGCTAACTCACCTCACAGTAGCTCAGACACCACGCAAAACCACAATGAGTTGTCTGACTATAGCCACAAAGGAGGTATGATGTCACCAGTTTATGTGTAGTGCACACCTCATTACAGATAATGTGTATTTCCACACATTTTATGTGTATTACATCATCATTTCATGGGTACTGCGCTATGTGTATTACATCATCATTTCATGGGTACTGCACCATGTGTATTACATCATCATTTCAGGGGTACTGCACTATGTGTATTACATCATCATTTCATGGGTACTGCACTATGTTGAATGTGTTCTTTATCGCTGTGTTTGTTATTATTTGTTGTGTATGCTGCCTTTAATGCCTTCTATATATGCTTCTCTGCTGTTCTTTACACTCCATGAGGCTGCAGCTTTTCTATCCATCAAAAAATATGTTGGACACATTTTAAGCTCATCTGAGCCTTTAGGCCACTCATCAATTTCTATTATGTTTGATGTGAAAATGAAATCAAGATGGCCACCATTACCACCATCTGTAGAATCAGTTTTTACATACAGTCGAAACTCGATATCACGAAATTCGAGGGACCATGGAAAATATTATGACTGAAGAACCGAATTAACTTAAGATGTTGAACAAGGTTGACGATATCAGTTTCCTTGTGTGGGTTACGGTTGAATGAATACAGGCTACTAAAGCATGGTATACAGTAAATAACCAGAAATAAATAAGTTTCTTTCTGTTTTCATTGTTTAGTTATCCAAACAACAAAACCTGTAATAACAACTTTAATCAAATACATTGGCAATAGTGTCATTCCGCCCAAATGCGTGTACGCTACCCTTACTGATAATATTTTACGAAATGACAATAAAACGAAGCTAAAATTTGCTTTTGATACACTAGAAGAAACAATGTTTGAAGCTACAGATCATATCAATATGACTTTATCATGAATAGATATTTGTATGATAAACTCGGCACTAGAAAGTTTTTACCTGTTATAGAAAACATTGGACAAGCTCTAGACAAATCACACACAGATACAGACTCTATCAGTTAAAGCACTTCATTGTTCTAGTGATGTGTGTATGTTGGACTGATACACGGTAATTAGCCATGTGTTACGTACAGGTAACTTTCTGTGTATATATTGACAATATTATCAGATGTGCCAATGTTTTGACAAAAATTAATTTCAAGAAAATCACTTTTCCCTTGCTTTACAATTGAAGTGACTGAAAAATTACTGATTCAAATCAGGATTTAGACCCGATGTTATCCAAACTAAAATTACTGATTCAAATCAGGATTTAGACCCGATGTTATCCAAACTAAAATTACTGATTCAAATCAGGATTTAGACCCGATGTTATCCAAACTAAAATTACTGATTCAAATCAGGATTTAGACCCGATGTTATCCAAACTAAAATTACTGATTCAAATCAGGATTTAGACCCGATGTTATCCAAACTAAAATTACTGATTCAAATCAGGATTTAGACCCGATGTTATCCAAACTAAAATTACTGATTCAAATCAGGATTTAGACCCGATGTTATCCAAACTAAAATTACTGATTCAAATCAGGATTTAGACCCGATGTTATCCAAACTAAAATTACTGATTCAAATCAGGATTTAGACCCAATGTTATCCAAACTAAAAATTACTGATTCAAATCAGGATTTAGACCCGATGTTATCCAAACTAAAAATTACTGATTCAAATCAGGATTTAGACCCGATGTTATCCAAACTAAAATTACTGATTCAAATCAGGATTTAGACCCGATGTTATCCAAACTAAAATTACTGATTCAAATCAGGATTTAGACCCGATGTTATCCAAACTAAAATTACTGATTCAAATCAGGATTTAGACCCGATGTTATCCAAACTAAAATTACTGATTCAAATCAGGATTTAGACCCGATGTTATCCAAACTAAAATTACTGATTCAAATCAGGATTTAGACCCGATGTTATCCAAACTAAAATTACTGATTCAAATCAGGATTTAGACCCAATGTTATCCAAACTAAAATTCCAAACATGTAGAAGGAAACGAAACAGGACTAGGAAAGTATTTCAACGCAATTTCAACTCCATTAGTTTCAACTGAGTTGCAGCCTTGTCCATCCGTCTTTCCATCCGTCCGTCTTTGTTCCGAGCATAAGTTAAGCAAGGATCATTAATTCATTGTATAGATTGGTCATAGTATCGGGATGTGCAGGGTACCTAGGGTCTCAACCCCTCCATTACTGAGCAACTGCCTTTTTTTAAATTTCATGTCTGGAGCATAGCTTTTCTTCCACACAATACAATATTTTATAACAAAAGGCAATAACTCTGTAATTAAGGGGTTGCAGGTCCTGAGTGTCGTACATCGTACATCGTCTGGGTGTGGTCACTTGGAGCATGACATTGCCTACAGTGAAGTTAGGATCATAAAACCTGGGCCTGTATTCATGAAATCGTTCTCATGCTCAAGCAGGAATTTTGTGCTCAAAACTTATGTCTTGTTTACGTTGAAAATTGATAAATAAGGCTGATTTTGCCAAAGATTTAGAAACAATTTTGAAAGGACTTCAAGTCAAAGCTATATTCAAGGTTTATATTTGACATTTATATTATTTCATATGATTTAGGAAAATTATAAAAAAACTTGCTTGAGCATGAGAAAGGTTTCGTGAATACGGGCCCAGGTGTATAGAGTGATCATACTACAGGTGTATACAGTGATCATACTAATATAATATGCAGTGTACCAACTTCATGGCCCACAAGCCCTTAATTATAGAACTCAGATTAATTTGTGTCCTAAGTCCTTGAATATTAACAGAAATGCTGGACTGATAAGAATTTGATGTATTTTGTTTGTTAGTTTGAGCTTGAACAGTTCTCCCTGCTTTGCTTGGCTTACCTCACCTATCTTAACGATCTTGTTTTACAGGAACTCTTTTTTCACTAACAGGTACAGGAGCAAACCCACCATTGAGACGTGTACCTACAGACTACGACTTGCCGCCTTTACCAGCACCAAGAAAACCTCCTGAAAACAACCGGTAAGATAACTAACTTGTTCACCAGAGAATCACAAGATGTTTAGGTATTAAGGCAGAGTTATCTGCTCTTGACTGTTATTGCCAACTTACATTATAAAAACTTGTGAGAAAACACGCAAACTATCTGACAATTAATGATGCACTTGAAAAGATTGTATAGTGTGTGATGTTTTGTTTTTGCAGGAAGTTAGAAGGTGGCGCTGCTATCCGAGGTGATATACCACTTCCTGTACGTAATCGTGAAAAGGCCAATGAATTCTCTGACAGTATAAGTGAAAACAGTGTTGACGAGGTGCGTGTGGAATTTCTCATCTCTAAGGGTTATGACAGGCTACAAGTTGTGGATGCTCTACGTGTTGCCAGAAATAACATTCATATGGCGGAGGAGATTTTAAAAACTTTTGTGAGAAATGTCAGTACAGAGATGTAATTTCCAAACATCCAGACCGAGGTGAAATTTGTTCTCAACATCAGTAAAGTACAGTGAATTCAGAATGTCGGCTGGAAGAAGTGGTAAATTTCAAACCTCTTTAGAGAGTTGAAGTGAATTCTTAATGTCAGTAGGGAGATAAATTGAATTCTGAACCTAAGAACAGAGATGTAACAAGTTCTTAACATCAGGACACAGATGTATTGAATTCTAAACATCAGGACAGCGATGTATTGATTTCTAAACATCAGGACACAGATGTATTGAATTCTGAACATCAGGACAGATATGTATTAAATTCTAAACATCAGGACACAGATGTATTGATTTCTAAACATCAGGACACAGATGTATTGAATTCTGAACATCAGGACACAGATGTATTGAATTCTAAACATCAGGACAGATATGTATTAAATTATAACATCAGGACACAGATGTATTGATTTTTAAACATCAGGACACAGATGTATTGAATTCTAAACATCAGGACACAGATGTATTGAATTCTAAACATTAGGACAGATATGTATTAAATTCTAAACATCAGGACACAGATGTATTGATTTCTAAACATCAGGACACAGATGTATTGAATTCTAAACATCAGGACACAGATGTATTGAATTCTAAACATCAGGACAGATATGTTATTAAACACAGATGTATTGATTTTTAAACATCAGGACACAGATGTATTAAATTCTAAACATCAGGACACAGATGTATTGAATTCTAAACATCAGGACACAGATGTATTGAATTCTAAACATCAGGACAGATATGTATTAAATTATAACATCAGGACACAGATGTATTGATTTTTAAACATCAGGACAGTGATGTATTGAATTCTAAACATCAGGACACAGATGTATTGAATTCTAAACATCAGGACACAGATGTATTGAATTCTAAACATCAGGACACAGATGTATTGAATTCTAAACATCAGGACACAGATGTATTGAATTCTAAACATCAGGACACAGATGTATTGATTTCTAAACATCAGGACAGTGATGTATTGATTTCTAAACATCAGGACAGTGATGTATTGAATTCTAAACATCAGGACACAGATGTATTGAATTCTAAACATCAGGACAGATATGTATTAAATTATAACATCAGGACACAGATGTATTGATTTCTAAACATCAGGACACAGATGTATTGAATTCTAAACATCAGGACACAGATGTATTGAATTCTGAATATCAGGACAGTGATGTATTGAATTCTAAACATCAGGACACAGATGTATTGAATTCTAAATATCAGGACAGTGATGTATTGAATTCTAAACATCAGGACACAGATGTATTGAATTCTAAATATCAGGACAGTGATGTATTGAATTCTAAACATCAGGACAGACATGTATTGAATTCTAAACATCAGGACAGATGTATTAAATTCTAAACATCAGTATGGAGATGCGGGGAATTCTAAACATCAGTATGGAGATGTGGGGAATTTTAAACATCAGGACACAGATGTATTAAATTCTAAACATCAGGACAGACATGTATTGAATTCTAAACATCAGGACAGATGTATTAAATTCTAAACATCAGTATGGAGATGCGGGGAATTCTAAACATCAGTGTCAAAATGTACTGAACTCTGATAATATTATAGCTATTTCAGTTTTACTTAGAGGGTTTTTTCTGACTGTGGGGCATTTGATTCTTCGTTTTAGTTTATGAATCTTATGTTAACCTGTACTTACCCACTTTTTCATAATGGATGACTTGAGAAGGTCTGATTGGCTGTGTATGTTACAATAGACGGGGTGAATTCTAGTACAGTGAAACTGTAATGAACAGTATTGAAACAAAGCATTGTTGAATGTCGCACAAAATAGTGGACGTAATCAAGCCATGAAATTGTAGTGAAAACTTAAAATTGGAAAGTTGATAACCATGTAATGCTGACTACATATTTAATAGGTTATCAAAATGACAGGAGGTTGAATTTGACATTTGTTATGGATGTTGTGATATTAACCCCTGGGAATGTAGTAGATTCAACCTATAAAAGCTTGGATCATTCCATTATGAAATAATGGGGATGTGAGTATAAAGTACAACAGTTTCCTGTTATAGTTCATTACCATGTAATGTTTATATTTCACGAAGCTCATCACCATTTTATTTATAACCAAACACCTGCTGTTTCATCACCGTGGAAATCCTCAAATTTTAGTGTTACTAGGTACTAATCAAATGTTTGTGAAAAGAATTCAATTGAAAATTAAAATTGTACACAACTTTTGTTTCATTTCACTGTATATGTGAGAAAATATTGTATGTCTATTGTTGAATTTAAGATATTTAAGTGTGTGATGGGCCTAGCTAATTAACAAGATAAGGTAGAATTTATGTCTAAAATATCAATTACATTCACCTCGGAGTTGAAATTCTCACGAGGGATTTAGAAAATATTGCAGGTGAATGTTTTCAGAAAAGAAACTTATGTTGTAAAAATCCTTTTATGTAGCTCACAAATAGAGGACTTAAAAATTCCAAGTTAATTTTTAGAACAATGATTGTCATCCTGTAACTGGTATACACATTGTACAATATATGTGATACATATATAAAGATTAATCTCAAAAAATGAAAATTTCACAAAATCTACTGATTTGATATTCATCATTCCTTGACAAGTTATGACATATTGTTATTAAAACTTTTACTTTGTAACTATGACAACAGAAAATTTTTAAGAATTTTATGCTTGTTTGACTTGAAAGGCAAATAGAATTTTAGATTGTCACCTTTATACTGTAAATAACTTTGATTTCGCATACTCACCTTTGCATACATATTTGCAAATACATTATTTCGCAAACATTTATCTAGAGATGACTTTGAATTGGTGAGGGATGAGCTTTTTAGGGACAGACTCAGGAAAGCTCCCAAATCGGCAAACGATAGCTTCATATTGGCCACCAAAAGCAAATTAACGACAGATCAACAAGGACGTCATCAAGAGGCTCTCCTCATTATATTAATGCGAAAATAAATGTGAATAACTGATTTACAGTAGTACATTGCTATCTTTGTTGTGAGTTAAACTCTTACTTAGTAACACCTGTATGTGAAGGTTGTATATAATATATATGGTTAACTCTGTCTGGAGAAATTCAATCACATGAATGATTGTTTTCATCTTGATTTGATACATTGTAACTTTGTATTTCTGCCATTTACATGTTTCATAGTGTCTATCAACTCTGTAAATTTGAAATGATTATATGTACAAGTGAAAACCTTGTCTAAATCTAGTTCATTCATCCACACCATTCAGTGTGTATAAGATCAGATTCTTGTATCTTCTGCTTTGGATGGATTTTTTTTTAGTATCTGTGATACGGATTCTGCTGCTGTAGATCAGGGTCTCAATGATGTATGAACCCGAAATCATGATCAAATGTAAGCTTGCAAACTAGTGCCCAGGTATAGCACACTACATTCTTTAGCAAGATTATCATCTCACCTCCACAAAAGGGAACTTACAATGCTATGGTGTGATATCCATGCGTCCGACTTAAACTTTTCTCTTTAAATGAATTCATCTGAATAGCAAAAAGGTTTGGGGTCATGATTTTCAGTCAATGACAAGTTAATGTAAACGGCTACCAAGTTTGTTCAAATGAATAACCTTGAGCAACATTCAAATTTGCAGAAATTGTGAGTTAATGGTCTTGTATTTAAGAGGGGAGCAATTCTGGCCCATTGGACCTCGTTTCAATAATGTAGGCATTCTAGTAAGTTTGAATTTCCCACACAAATTTGTTGAGCTATAAAAAGTGCTAGATCATGTCGATTTGATGGTCTTTTTTTTATTGTTTTGTATATAGACCTATACTATCCCAGTCCTCAGCTAAGCTGAGAGTTCTAAATACTGTTAATTATTTCATTGTTGTCATTGTCATTTGAGAAAGGAAATTATGTTGGTTTGGACTAGTTTCATCCCTAATACATTCTAAAGTCATATCTACCCAGAAGTGGAGACAAAATTATCCAAGACAAAATTGTCCACCCTGAAGTGGAGACAGAATTATCCACCCTGAAGTGGAGACAAAATTATCCATCCAGAAGTGGGGACAAAATTATCCACCCTGAAGTGGAAACAAAATTATCCACCCTGAAGTGGAGACAAAATTATCCACCCTGAAGTGGAGACAAAATTATCCACCCTGAAGTGGAGACAGAATTATCCACCCTGAAGTGGAAACAAAATTATCCACCCTGAAGTGGAGACAAAATTATCCACCCTGAAGTGGATATATTTGAATGTAATCTCTGATATCATGAGTCTTTTCCACATCTCTCAATTTGAAGTATGCAGTAAGCATATTTTACTTTTTACTCAAAGTGAATGGGTGGATTTATAATAGGACAAAGGAATTATTACTGGTTTGTCATGCTAATGAACAGAAATATATCTGTGGGCTTGTTACCAAGCATAGGTTTATTGCAAAATAAATACAGTATTTGGTTAGGATTGAAGGAGATGTGTTCAGCTCATTTTTAGATTTTAAACAGTATTAGAGACTACTGAATTATATATTGAGAGAATTTAACTTATTTTATCTCTGTGATTTTTTCTCATTAACTGAACTCATTTTGTTATTGTGATTTTTCCTCATTATAAAAAGAATCTAAAATTGATTCATTCTACCGTTGTATCATTCTGGTTACTAAGTCTTGGACAGGGTGTGAAAAGATTCAAACATCTCATCAATCTTCATTAGTTTACAGGATTATAAAAAACTTTCTCATAATTCAGATAAAGAAAGTAGATCTGACCATCACTGGTTAAATATTTCCAGATAAAGGATGTCTTGTTTAATATTTCCAGATAAAAGATGTCTTGTTTAATATTTCCAGATAAAGGATGTCTTGTTTAATATTTCCAGATAAAAGATGTCTTGTTTAATATTTCCAGATAAAAGATGTCTTGTTTAATATTTCCAGATAAAAGATGTCATCATGTTATAAGTGAGAAATATAGGAGTTTGACTGTGTTTGCAAAAAAGAGAAATCAATTATAGTTCAGATCCTGTTTCTTATGATGTATGAGGTTTGGTAAAGGTCCACACTAACAGGTTTCCAATAATCTATATGTATCCTAACAGTGCTTATAATGTCTGTGTATTCACATCAATCAATACATCATTCAGATATAGATTGGTTTTGTTTCAGAGAAAGTTTGATTAATGTGTTAACGGCCGGTCGATGGCCTTTTTGGGACGAGAGAGAGGGAGGGGGAGAGAGAGACAGACACAGAGAGAGAGAGAGAGGGGGGTGGGGAGGGGGGAGAGAATATTATCTCATGCTTGTCATTTGATATAAACAATATTGTTTTTCCTCTTCGTGTGATAATTGTTGTTTTGTATATGTTTACTGTCAGATGTGCTTTGTTTGTGTAATGACTTATAAATCATCATTGGATTAGCCATTATATCCCTGGTCATTTCCCCTTGTATACTGTAATTATAACATATGGAGACTCTGTCTTAAAATAGTAACTTTCTTTTTTTAAATTCAGTGACTGAATATTTTTGGAAAATAGTAATGCAACTCATGACAAATATTTCTGGTTGGTTGCCATGGTAACTGATAAGCCTACAATGTATGGTAAATTTGTTACAGATTTCAGATTCCACATTTATTCAGATATATGTCCAAGGGACAAGCATAACCTGTTCTGACTCAAAGTCTGAGAGAGGCTAAATCAAGTACTGTAAATTGTATATATATATCCTTGCCTCTCAATTTTTGTTGAAAAAAAATAATAATAATTAAAAAATCATATCTGTGGACAAAATCGTAAAATAAAGAATACACATGAAATCAACAAAAAGGAATTATTTTACAATAAAAAAAGGCATGAAAACTATTTGAAAATTCAATTCAAATCTTGCCTATAAAAGTTAAAGTGGAATAAAAGGTTTTATCACTGTTTTAATGCTGACAAAATCAGTTTTTGTTATACACAATATCATTTTTTATTTGTAGTTTTCCTCTGTGTGTTGACAAAGTCTGTTTTTGTTACATGTTTTTTATGCCTATAGATCCTGTCATAATTTGTATACATCGTGCTCAAAGCCTGTAAACATTGTACAGAAGGCTTCAATTATTATTTCTGAAATATGATAAAATATTAATATAAATACCTTGAACATTTTAAAATACTGTATTATTAAGATAAGCCTGAAGATGGGCTTCCCAATAAATGAATAAAAACTGTTATAAGAAAACTCCTTGTGTTGATTTTCTTTACAATAATCACTTTGCTACCAGGTCACATGACACCATGCTGAAGACCAATTAATTGCCATACTGACTGTCATCAATGTCAAGGTCAATATTGGTGATAAAACATTTGAAGACAACGATATACAAAGATTTTTTTTTTTTTTTTTAAATAGAGACACGATAAAGTGTAGTCAGTTAATTTTGTCACTTTCAACATTTCATCATTTGATGTCAAAATTCTTATTTCAGTCCAGTACATGTAATATTTCCTTCATTGAAGAAAAGTGGCAGAAAATGTCAAATGAATTTTCTCCAATAAAATTCTCAGTTCAATATCAAGTCTGTAACCTGTTGTGAAAACAGCAAATGTTAGACATTTGGAGGTTACTCAGTGCACTGAGAGTTTCCTAACAATACACTGATTTCATCCTACTACAGAAAACAATAGAACTTAATAAAACACAGGCATCATTTGTTTATCTAAAGAAACACATATAAACAAAAATATCCTTTGATTCAGTTTTTTGTACTTGATGACCTTGATTTTGATATTGTCACTAATATCTGTACCTGACGACCTTGACCTTGATTTTGATATTTATTCACTAATATCTGTACTTGATGACCTATTAATTCTGAAATAAATTCTCTCAGTTGTGAGTTGGAAACCTACATGGAGCAGTCACCAGGCACAGACTCAATGCAGGTTTGTGGTTTATCTCCATGAACTCCAACTGTCCTCCACCATCGAAACCTGGCATGTTCTCATGACCTCGGCTGTTCATAGGATGTAAAGCAATAATAAACTAAATCTATGAATACTGAACACACAGTCAGCCAAATATGAAAATGATTTACCACAATGAGAAGCCTTTTTGATTTTAATTCATAATTGATTATGAATTTTAACCAATTTCCCATCATCACTGCATACAGTGTAATCTATATGTAGTCATTCTCCCGTTAAATTATCTCTTGATTAGTAAGAAACAATCACTTGTTCTTCAGAAACCAGACAATCTCTGTTTCTATTTGTTCCTTTTACAGAAACCATTCCAATGAAATAAAATTTCATGTGAACATTTGCTGTAAAACAAGGGGAGATCACTCTGTAGATCAATCCACCAGAGAAACCACTACAGGTTCGTCATCATCTGGAACAGAAGTAAAGTCCCATTTAAATTTGACAGTAAGATGATCACGAAATTTTAGCCCTTTTTTACGAAGGATTTCATCAGCTTGACCTGACTCAATATTTGTAAAGAACTCTCTTAATGTGGAGGTGAGAAAGTTGTCTTGAGAGACAATGTCAACAAAGAAATCTTCAGGAATTTCTTTCACTTGGAAATGTAGAACAGTTATAAAGTTCAGATATAATTCTGTGTGTTTGACTAAAGCATCCTCACTACTGCACAACAGATGAACCAGCTTTTTCCATTGGTCAAATGCATCATATACTTGACCAATTAGAAAACAAATAAAAGAAAACTGGATTTCTCCCAAAATATCATTTGAGTTCTCAGGGCAAAATGTACCAAGAATACATTCAAGCGTATAACTTGAGTCAATGTTGTGCTTTGTGATTTCTGATGGAGAACTTCCAGGTGGAAATTTATTTTTTGGGATTATTGAGAATCGTAAAGATGTCCCTGGAGTTGTTTTCATATCTGGAAGTCGATCTTCAGCTTCCTGGAAAGACACAGGACCCTCAGATGTGAAAGTTCCAGACTTATTTAGAATACCAGTTGCTTCATTGTTTTCTTTTCTGGACTGACTTGTACTTTTATCAGAGATAAATTCTGACACAGATGCAATTTTCCCTTTTTCTGGTGAGAGACGGGATGCCAGACCATCTGTAATGTAGCTTGACAGGGACACCCAGGTCTTGTAACTGAAATTATACAAATAAATCGCCTTATTCTTATGCATTTAAAAGTCTGGTTAAAAACTCAAGGTTATCAGCAGCATTTACTTAATTAAGGAATTCATCATTTTTCAGACAACAAAATTAGCTGAAAGTCCTTACTTGTCGTATGGATAGGGTCCAAGGAATTTGTCCATTTCTTGAGTGTTGTCATGGTAACGCTGTAAATCCTCAGGACTGACCACACTTTCTCCTATATCTGTTAAAACAGTTGGTATCTTTGTATTATTTTCATCATTATCAATTTGTTCCTGTCACATAACATCACGATATATTACAATCAGGTATTCAACCCAAACAACAGTCGATAAAAAAAGGAAACAAAAGATAAGATAATGTGGTCAAGACTGACCGTGACACATGAATTCTAAACTCTAATGATATGTTATGTAAAATGTGGTCAAGACTGACCGCGACACATGAATTCTAAACTCTAATCATATGTTATGTAAAATATGGTCAAGACTGACCGCGACACATGATTTCTAAACTCTAATCATATGTTATGTAAAATGTGGTCAAGACTGACCGCGACACATGAATTCTAAACTCTAATCATATGTTATGTAAAATATGGTCAAGACTGACCGCGACACATGATTTCTAAACTCTAATCATATGTTATGTAAAATATGGTCAAGACTGACCGCGACACATGACAAACTAATCTGTAACATATCTGATTACAACAACAGAATTGACATTTTTTTTTAATTTCACAAGATAAACCTCATCAATAAAATGTGAAAAACATTATTTTAAAGCATCAGAAAAATATGACAATCTAACTGGATTTTCATTGTTTTCTTTACTTTATTTCTATGCATGCTGTTTCAGAGACAGATTTAACACTCGCCTTCTAATGCACTGTCCCATTTCCGCACAACAATTTCTCTCTGTTTAAAGTTGTAAAAGAATCCAGTTCTTGGGCTTGTCTCTCCATCTTTATTACAAGCACTGATAATAAAAATTAAAATTAGATGCACTACACAGTCACCTTATAGTTCTTATAACACAACCAGTAGAAGATTTGAGTGTGACGTTTCCATGACTACACGGTCACCTTCATCAGACAAATAACCTGTGTGTGAAGCTTACAAGCACTGACATACACAGTGTAGGAATCAACCAGGTGTTAAACAAACAGAATTGATTTCTGTACATTGTTACCATCTTGTACACTTATGTTCTATAATCTGTTTACCATCTCGTCTCACTATTTTCGACCTTATAGTGTACATAGCATTTTAGTACAGCCAGAAAACTAAAAGCTTACATTAATGGAATTCTGATACAGACAATAGAACCGTGAAGAAAAAAGTGACATTTGAGAGCTTATATACAGTATACATATACATATATGTGTGTGCGTGTAGATCACAACACTTAATCCTGATACATTGTTTTCTGTTACTTTTTTCTTTAATAAACATTGTTTTCTGTTATTTTTTCCTTTAATAAACATTGTTTTCTGTTATTTTTTCCTTTAATAAACAATTATATGAAACTCTACCACAACAAGCAGAAGCCTTTACCTGTAATATATAAAATGTATTCCTGGAGGAACCATCTTCACACCACGGAACTGAGGTCCAACTCTCCATGAATTATAGTCAATACCAAACTCTGTACCTTCAGGTACGTCAAGGAACAATAAAATGGCACCTTCACGGAACAGCACCTTAGCTGTGTCTTGGTCCATACTGGTGCCTTAAACAGAAAGAGATATTTGAAATGGTAACACCTTATAATAGAGGGCTGCCAGACCCTCGGAAGGAACGACGAGAGACAGCGTGCTCCAACTTCAGCCATTTATTTTATTTCCTTTTTTGACCTCTGGGCACACATAATCAGGGATTACATAATGATATACAGGGAGTTCTTATAAGGGCGATAACTCTGATCGTCTATACCAATACTGTTACAATATTTAAACCCAAATCTTGGTTATAATGAATTGAAATAAAAAATCACATGGACTTATGGACCTGATTGTTAGGTTATAATGAATTGAAATCAAACATGATCAGGATGTATAAACCTAACTGTGGGGTTATAATGAATTGAAATCAAACATGATCAGGATGTATAAACCTAACTGTGGGGTTATAATGAATTGAAATCAAACATGATCAGGATGTATAAACCTAACTGTGGGGTTATAATGAATTGAAATCAAACATGATCAGGATGTATAAACCTAACTGTGGGGTTATAATGAATTCAGTATAACATTATTCACTGTAAGTGAAGTTCCATTTGTTACCCTAAACATGTGATGTTATATTTACAGTACAAGTGATTTTCGTAAATGTTTTAAAACAAGTAAGTCCTGACCATCACTTTCTCAATAGGAGCAAAGCAGGCCTCCAAGACCAAGGAGTCACTCATGAGGAACAGGGAGCAGAGCAGGACTCCAAGGAGTCCCCCAGGAGAAGTCAGATCTGTGAGGGTAATTGAATCTGACATTCAGTCGACCGCTGATAAAGCGACGGCTTTCGCATGTTCGAATGGATATGTAAATTACTCACCTGTTCCGTTCGCAAGTTAATATATTATTACGTACAACGTTTAAAGCACGTTTGGGAAAGAGTAAACAGGAACTCAGAGGAGGGGAGATCACTGCGATCATTGTAAGCACACTGGAAATTACCTAATTTTCGTGTCAGTATCGGTAATAGATATCCGGAAAACTACTCGCAAAATGAACGCTTTTCAAATATTTTTTATATCCGTAGTTAGTACTATGTCGGTACCGTAGATAAATCATTTTTCCTATTCCAGCTTCTGAGGGACTACTCATGGTTTTATTTTTTACCATTCTTGAACATGTTAAGTATGAGTTATACTGCCGTAAGGTAAGATTGTTGACCATAACATTTAACGTTGTTTTTTACAGCTATTTTCTGAGGAACCACTGAGGGTCTTGAAACGCTGTGAGATCCTATTCAGCATGGGTTCTGGTTCAGGTTGTGTATGTCGCATTTAATGGCCAGCAGCCACTTTGAATTCCAGCATTAAAGCCTATACCATTCAACCTTGTTGGTCCGGATGTAAGCGCACGGGGGGGTCTTTCTGTGTGAGGAAAACGGAGTACCTGGGGGCCCACGTGGTCGGGCAGGTGACTCGAATCGAACCCTGGACGCTTAAGTGGAAAGGCGAGTGCGTTACCACTGCGCCACCCGACCATCAATGTTCATTATCTTTCTGAAGGATATGTTTTCAGATCTGAATTGTCGGTGAGTTTATATCATGGCGCGACGTCTTTTGTTCATCAAATCTCTCAAAAAATTACCATGAACGACTGAGCCGTAGAATGAATTCAATTTCATAAGAGCCATGTGTAGATACAAGTAAATCCTCTACCCTCACCCCGCGAACCCAACTGTTCGGAAAAAAATGAAAATGAATAAATGAATGACACATGATGACGATACTAAGACCGGACATGAAGGACGCCAAACAACACAGAGAATTAAGAGAAAAAAATAATTCATAACAGCTTTGTGTCTGTCAGTGTCATCGTAACTCGTCACCATTAATTAAATGCTGTTTCAGCTCACTACAGAGGCTTCATCCGGGATAATTCACATTTCCACTATCACTTATTATAATTCCTTTATTTCCTCCAAAATGAAGATTCGTAAAGTTCATATGTACAATTTATTAACGCAAATTAAGCTGATTACGATAACATCATAAATTCATAAATTATACATGTATATATACGATGATACTAGCGAATTTGTTATCGTAAAGTACAGGTATCAATTGACAAGGTTAGGATACTTGTCCTTTGTATAGTATGACATAACAGACGTTCATTATTACATACATTTTCTCCAAGTAATGTATTATCTATAGTACAATCTGAGCATTTTATCAATAAGAATTGAACTGTGTAAAACAAACATTTCTTAATCATTTCGGCCCATTCTGAAGTTAGGAGCACCACCAAGCAGTATATGTATTAGATCAAAGTCGGAGAGCGAATGCAAATACACGTTAAATTCATTATCAAGCACTAAAATAGGCACCAGAGATCATCCCCAAGACTTACAGTTTTTGGACAATGGAGAACGATGTGTGTTGTACCGTCATTGTACAAAAGACCGCAAAAATGACATAGTTCAACATCATTAGACAATTTCAAGTCAACACAAATATCACAATATTTCCAATATTTTCCAAATGTTCGGGAAACTTTAAAGCAGTAATACATTAAGTATGGGGATAAATCACATCATGAAACAACAAAAATCTAAAAAAAAATCAGAGTCGCTTTTCATTCTATTATACATTGTTAATTCTTCAAAGCGACATACTGCTTTATATACATACGGTTTACATTGCGACTTGCTCGAAAAAACTGCGTTTGTAAAAAATCAGACAAATCATATTTGTACAATACTTTCACTATATCGGGAATACATCCACCGTGACCAAACCCGTGTATTTCATGTGAAAAATACTTACAATTCATTCTACAGTCTCCCCCCCCCCCCCCCCAAAAAAAAAAAAAAAAAACAATAACGTTTTAGTATCAATATACTTTTCAACAGAAGTCCACCCGATTAAGGAGTTAGCCGTGTCTTTTCTAGTTCTAGTGCTGAAACCTTGTATCGATTTTACAATAAAATTCTGAGGGTGTTCTAGTCTAACAAGCTCTGATTTTGTTGTCATTAGTCACATCTGTATAAAGCTGAAGGATATACTTTCGACTGGACAATTTTTTGCCACAGTTAACGGATTGAGAGTTCTGGATGAGCGCCAGATTTTATAAGAGCCCTTGTGCCACATTTACTTTTTTTACGAGCGATATCAGTCCTGTCATACGAGCAAAACTTGAAATTTAGTTAAACTCCAATTTTCAACAACTGCTTTGCTATAAAAAAAACCACATTTTTCGGCTAAGCTTGGTGCTATTGGTAAATACAACAATTTTACTTTTATTAACAGAAAATGAAACTTTCCAATTATAACTATAACTTTCGCAAACTGAAACCATATGTTGTAATCCCGTACATGTGTTGCTACCTAAGTATATGTCATCAGCCTGTGTTGGGATGTTAACTTTAGAATTAATCGCCATTGCACCGTGATCTAATGATTCTGCATAATTAAGTAAGTCATTGATAAAGATTAAATACATTTTAGCAGATAATGATCCACCATGTAAGATTCCTGTGTCATATGTACAGGAGATGACAGATGACCTTTAAAAGTAACATGGCTAACGAAGCCAGTGAACATGTTCTGTAATATAGTCCAAATTTGGTATGGTTTCAAATATATCTTAAAGGAACTTCGACCTCTCTGCAGCCTCAAGTTAACAAGATTGTATCTGACCGTAAAACATCTGTATCATCTTCAAGTATATTTATGTTATCTAGGAGTTCATTAACAGTGTCCTTGTAAAGGTCAATCGATCTCACTGCATCTCTCCATTTAAATCTCACTAAAGCGGTACTTAACGTTTTACTATTTTTTAAGGAATATTCTCTGTACAAATTACCAGTATATCATCAGATATATTCAGTCTTAAACTTCACAATTGACGACCAAATCTAAACAAGAAGACTCGATGATAATGTGATCAATAGTAGTATTGTGGCCTGTTGCTAGAAAATACGTGTACTTAGAACATTTACACGTTATATCCAAAGTGATGTATTGATTGAGGTTTATCATCGATAAAACATACAAGACGCATGGTTTTATTCCCCCGGTACTTTTTATCCATGTAAATGTAGCAGATGTCATCAAATATTTCAATTCCTCCGCTAGGAATCGAACCCGGGACCCCTGGTTAACTAGTCTAACGCTCAACCAGTCGAGCTAAAGAGAAGCTCTCTCTAGCCGAGTGGTATATTGCGGCTAGTATGTTACCATGGTTACATAAATATTTCATTTATCCATATTCTGCCCTCATTTCATTATCCTTGTTCTTCCTTTTTAAGGTCGATTATTTAGGATTTGTTTGCATGTAGGTATATTTCACCTGTTGTTTTGCTATAAAAGGAAACATTTATTTTGGTTCATTAATTTAGATTTAAATTACGCAAAAACAATTGCAAAAAATGATAAATAAAAAAGGAAACGGTAGATATTTAATTCATTGTAGGAATGTTTATTTCCGGAACCACATGGTCGTTTTCAATTTTACAATTATGTTTTAAACAAGTCATTGAAACGTTTGAGGGTTCCACAAGATGGCGACCAACTCTTGTAATCCAAATGTTGTCGACGAGGATTATATTTCAATGTCTCTTCATGAAATGTTTCACATTGTTGGCGATCAAATGACCGAGAGGGATATCAAACTTCTGAAATTCTTCTGTGTAGGCTTGATGTCGCAGGAAATGACGTCCAAAGTCCATGATGGATTCAGTTTTTTGTCGTGCATGGAGAAAATGAATTTGGTTTCGGAATCAAACTTCATGAACGTGTTGGACCTGTTGCGAATAATTAATAGACACGACCTGTCTCAATTCGTACATCTTAGGGCCAGAAAAACAGGTGCGAATCATGTATTTACACTTAATACTGATATACCCTTTCAGATGGGAATTCACACGGGAAATCAAGATTGTCTCGATTTTGCGAGATGTATTTTGAATGTCGGACGTTTCGCCCCAGACGTTCCGCACTTTGACGGTTCGCACCAATATCAGATTTCAGATATGACTTGTCTAAATATGAAGTCATAAGAAAAAGAACATCAAGTATCGTACTATATACTGCTTGGCTAGAGAGAACTCTCCATTAACTTGATCATTTGATCGTTAGACAAGTAAGACAGAGGCCCAGGGTTCGAAAGCTAGTGGAGATATTTATATGAATTTACATAATAACATTAAAAATGATATACATCTAGGTAAGAGAAAAGACAGGAAATATGGATAGTTTTTCAGTGGGCTTAATTTATTTGGAAAATGATGTAAGTAATCAGAGACAGCTAACCTGACATGTGTAGTTAACTTTGCTGAATATAAATCATAGATAAAATTGATGTAAATGTTGAATTTAAAATGGGAATTCAATAAGGAACCAATGTATACATATCATTTATTACATAACTGACATGTGAATTCAATTTAGTTTTATTTCCTTCAGTGATATTGGATCCTGTATGTGAATATTTGGAGACGACTTTCGGTCAGTCAGAAAGGATGATAGACAAGGTGTCTTCTGAATCAGTTCCTGACAATGCTGTAATAGATAGTCACAAGTCATCGGCCTGTCTGCCTTCAACAAGTAAAGACAGTGAACCTACAGAGGCAATGAGACAACACTCAGATTACAATACTACAAAGCCCTGCAGTATCTCACAAGCCAAGTCAGACTTTCAAAATGGTGCTCACTGTAACTCATCTGATTTTTCAAATAATTCAAAACTTTTACCTCAGGACTCAAAATATGACAGTAACAGATGTTGCGAGTCAGTTTCTTCACCGTCCACTTCAGTGTTACATTCAACTCGGACAGCAGTGTGCTCTTCACCAGATTCTTTGTTACCCATGGAGATGTGTGTACACAAACCTGCAGGTGCCTCAATGTCTATTACATCAAAGAGCTTAAAATCGGGTGATCTGACTGACAACACAGGAGAGGTGTGTGTTCCCACGAGCATATCTGCTGGCAATAGTACTTCCATGTCAATTCCATTAAAGAGGTTAAGATCAGATGATCTGGTGGAGAATGCAGAAAGTTCCTCCTCGCTGTCCTACAAACGAAGAAAAAAAGAAGGCGTAGAGAGTGCAGGAATAGGTAACCTAGGTATGTCGTATACTACAGTTGGTTGACAGCTTACAACAACACACTGCCATGCAGGTATATGTAGGGCATAAAAATTGTCACTGTTTCCCCATTGTAAGGTTGTAAAAGGCAACAAAATTTGGATATCTAAAGATCTTTATCGACTCATTTTAGTTGAGCGTTTCCCCTGTGAGAAAAGCTTTTGTTCTCTCCCTTGAACAAGTCTTTACCGCTGTAATCAAGATGTTTGACAATGTACATATAAATTTGTTGTTGTGGTACTCATAAGCTTGTTCCTTATTCCGAAGGGTAAAAAAAGAAAGTTTTAAAATCAAAATTGTATTTTGTATTTTTTTAGAGGCAAGATGTGATACTGCTGCAGTGGAGGTGATTTCTCACTGTGACCACAATACCAACCAACAGGACAATGAGGATTGTTGTAATCACAGTTCATCAGTCAGGAGGATTACAAGTCCCGGTGACCACAGTACAAACCGGTCGGATAGGAAAGATCCTCAGAGTGCATCTGGTGATGAATGGAATAAAACAGATAAAACATTGGTTTCAGCAAATGATATCAAATCATCTGAAAACCTTGGAAAAGATGTAGATTCCTCTGGTAAAAACAAATCCATGGATGTAGAATCTGGTCTTATGGATAAAGAATCTGGTAGTTTAAAAGAAAGAGATGACGATAATTCTGCTTGTAATTATCACCATAGCAACACCATTGAAACTAGTAATAATCACCCTAGCAACACCATTGACACTAGTAATAATCACCCTAGCAACGCCATTGGCACTAGTGATAATCACCCTAGCAAGGCCATTGACAATAGTAATAATCACCCTAGCAACACCATTGACACTAGTAATAATCACCCTAGCAACGCCATTGGCACTAGTGATAATCATCCTAGCAAGGCCATTGACACTAGTAATAATCGCCCCAGCAACGCCATTGACACTAGTGATAATCATCCTAGCAATGTCATTGACACTAGTAATAATCACCCTAGCAAGTACATTGACACTAGTAATAATCACCCTAGCAATGCCATTGACACTAGTAATAATCATCCTAGCAACATCATTGACACTAGTAACAATCGCCCCAGCAACGCCATTGACACAAATGATGATCAGCACGGCATTGCTATCTGTGCAGAGATGAATGCAGAAGTGAATTCCATCAATGAACAAAGCAATGCCAGGGGAGGTAATCAGGATAGCAATGTCGTCGACAAAAAGAGCGGTGATTCAGGAACCAATACAGAAAAGAAGGAGAAATTGACTTGTGGTGAGTAATACTGAGTGTAATATAAGGTAGATATGCTGGAGAGGAAAAGGTATAATGTTTAAATCCTCTGTGTTTAGTCCATCATGATCACAAGATGTTGGGGCTGTAAATGAACCTTTCCAGTTATCTGTCTGGTATTCATATTTTAACTTTTCTTACTATTGCTGTTTCTTTAGAAACATGGGATGGATCTTCTCCAATTTTGATATTAAGGTTCTCCTCGATCCCTAAATATTAGTACTGATCAGAAAAAACAAACTAGCTGACATGCAGCCATCTTTGTTTTTGATTTTGAAAGTTTGTCTTTGCTTCTTCTTGTAAATAATTGAATGGATCTTACTTGAATAATTTTATATGTAAGTTCTTTAGTTTCATCTCCTAAATTTGATTTTGAGATCAGAAAAACAAAATGGTTTGCAGGTGGCTATCTTGATTTTTGACAAATTTTATTTTACTTATTTATGCAAAGTACTTAATGGAATGTGCAAAACTTCTTTTTGTGTGTCATTAAAAAATGGATGGATAGTGGATATTTAAAAAAGTCAGTGTAGGTTTCTTGTCTTTATTAATGTAATGGTTTGATAAATTTATCTGTCAATATAATAAAGACTAAATTAGATGAGAGGAAAGGAGATCCAAACTGAAGATCCAATAAACACTATACAATGGTTGGCACCAAAATCACTTTTGATACTTGATCAAGGCATTCTTATAGTTGATGGTGACACTATAATGTTACAAATGGAAGATCTGGTGTTCTCTCTGTACATTTGAACAGAACAGTGATCAATCTACAATTTATTTTCATGGCTTTGATCAATCTTTTCATCTTTATTGCTAACAACAATGGTTCTCACAAAGTAAAATTGAAATTAATAAAGATAGGTTTATTCACAACATACCCAAGCACCATTATAAATTACCCACTTGTCGTAGATGCTTGGGTATGTTGTGATTGAATCTATCTTTATAAATTTTGATATTTTAATTCATCGCCCTGCATACATCCTGGTATCTATACCCAACACACAGCACTCCCCTGATCAACCCTCACACCAGACATACTTCCTGGTATCTATACCCAACACACAGCACCCCCCTGATCAACCCTCACACCAGACATACTTCCTGGTATCTATACCCAACACACAGCACCCCCCTGATCAACCCTCACACCAGACATACCTCCTGGTATCTATACCCAACACACAGCACCCCCCTGATCAACCCTCACACCAGACATACTTCCTGGTATCTATACCCAACACACAGCACCCCCCTGATCAACCCTCACACCAGACATACTTCCTGGTATCTATACCCAACACACAGCACCCCACTGATCAACTCCACACCAGACATACATTCTTGTATCTATACCCAACACACAGAACCCCCCTGATCAACCCTCACACCAGACATACTTCCTGGTATCTATACCCAACACACAGCACCCCCCTGATCAACCCTCACACCAGACATACTTCCTGGTATCTATACCCAACACACAGCATCCAACCGATCAACCCTCACACCAAACATACATCCTTGTATCTATACCCAACACACAGCACCCCCCTGATCAACCCTCACACCAGACATACTTCCTGGTATCTATACCCAACACACAGAACCCCCCTGATCAACCCTCACACCAGACATACTTCCTGGTATCTATACCCAACACACAGCATCCAACTGATCAACCCTCACACCAGACATACCTCCTTATATCTATACCCAACACACAGCACCCCACTGATCAACTCCACACCAGACATACATCCTTGTATCTATACCCAACACACAGCACCCCCCTGATCAACCCTCACACCAGACATACTTCCTGGTATCTATACCCAACACACAGCACCCCACTGATCAACCCTCACACCAGACATACTTCCTGGTATCTATACCCAACACACAGCACCCCCCTGATCAACCCTCACACCAGACATACTTCCTGGTATCTATACCCAACACACAGCACCCCACTGATCAACCCTCACACCAGACATACTTCCTGGTATCTATACCCAACACACAGCACCCCACTGAAAAACCTCACACCAGACATACCTCCTGGTATCTATACCCAACACACAGCACCCTCCTGATCAACCCTCACACCAGACACCTCCTGGTATCTATACCCAACACACAGCACCCCCCCTGATCAACCCTCACACCAGACATACTTCCTGGTATCTATACCCAACACACAGCACCCCACTGATCAACCCTCACACCAGACATACCTCCTTATATCTATACCCAACACACAGCACCCCCCCTGATCAACCCTCACACCAGACATACTTCCTGGTATCTATACCCAACACACAGCACCCCACTGATTAAACCTCACACCGGACATACCTCTTGGTATCTATACCCAACACACAGAACCCCCCTGATCAACCCTCACACCAGACATACTTCCTGGTATCTATACCCAACACACAGAACCCCCCCTGATCAACCCTCACACCAGACATACTTCCTGGTATCTATACCCAACACACAGCACCCCACTGATCAACCCTCACACCAGACATACCTCCTTATATCTATACCCAACACACAGCACCCCCCCTGATCAACCCTCATACTTCCTGGTATCTATACCCAACACACAGCACCCCACTGATTAAACCTCACACCGGACATACCTCTTGGTATCTATACCCAACACACAGAACCCCCCTGATCAACCCTCACACCAGACATACTTCCTGGTATCTATACCCAACACACAGAACCCCCCTGATAAACCCTCACACCAGACATACTTCCTGGTATCTATACCCAACACACAGAACCCCCCTGATCAACCCTCACACCAGACATACTTCCTGGTATCTATACCCAACACACAGCACCCCAGTGATCAACCCTCACACCAGACATACTTCCTGGTATCACAACACACAGCACCCCCCTGATCAACCCTCACACCATACATACTTCCTGGTATCTATACCCAACACACAGCACCCCCCTGATCAACCCTCACACCAGACATACTTCCTGGTATCTATACCCAACACACAGCACTCCCCTGATCAACCCTCACACCAGACATACTTCCTGGTATCTATACCCAACACACAGCACTCCCCTGATCAACCCTCACACCAGACATACTTCCTGGTATCTATACCCAACACACAGCACCCCACTGATCAACCCTCACAATTAACTCTCACACCTGGAACTGAGGTTATTTCTATTTTTAGTTGTTAATGTAATATTGAAGTATTTACAGAAATTCTACGAGTGACCGTAGACTTATTACTTATGATTGATCACTGACAGAGAAGTATAGTAGGTCCCGATAGGAAGAATAAGTTATGTCAATGACACTCCTAGAGTATGTGTATGATGTGTATAGAAATAAATAAAGTGGTATATCAGTATGGAATGGCATGTAATCTTTAGTGATTGGTCACAATGATGTATGAAGGTTTAAGATCTATACCTAGTCATGATGGGGTCTTCATATGATCAGTTTGATGGACGAGTGTGACTGGTGAGGTTATAATTCATCATGCTCAGTCAATTGTGACTCTGAAATCTGCACCGTTTCCAGAGTCAAACAGAGGAAATACAAGTAAATCTTAAAAATTGAATCTTAAATTTTATGTCTGTAAAGGATCTGACTCAATTTGAGTCCCAGACTCATGGTTATCTTATTGCCAGGTAAAACTTCCCAACATTCAACACTCAATTACTATTCACAGACAATACTTACGGGTACTGGACAAACAGGTTTACTACACATTACATCACATCCGCTCAGTATCTCACTCGCATTCTCACGGGCTATTTCCACACGCACACGCTAAAAGTTTTGCTGCAATGCGCCACTACATTTGGACTCTCAAACTTTGAACACTCACTATATATATTTCTTAGTAATGGGACTCAATAAAATTTTGAAAGTGGTGCTCTGGACTTACTTCCTTAAGTCAGTAAAACATTCCTGATCTGTCATTCCTTGGTCGAGGAACATTAACCCTCGCTGATGATTGATGGAGATCTTATTGAGGGGTAATCTTATTTCCTTGCCTGGTGGTTCCATTGTTGTAATCTTGCTCTCACTTGGGATTGTGACTTTGTTATTTATTTGTGTTGACTAAGATTAACATTGAGAATGTTGTGGACAAAACAGAAGGCACTTGCTCTTACAGAACACCTGGTCTTATTCTTTTTTCAGGAGTCTTTGTGTAAATTTGTTTTGTGTTAATATTTGGCACTAGCTTCATCAAATTTGAGTTTGAATTAAGATTCTGTTATAATGTCAGCATTGTCTTTGTTGTTTGTACAGATGGTTAAGCTTTGTACCGTTAACAAAAATATATTCATGATTGCTAAAAAAATCAAAATGAGTGTTACAGGTCAACTGTGCCTCTTATCTTTATCTCTTGATAGCTGAATTGATATGTACAATTCATTATGTTTGTAGATATTCGCTTGCGTGTGCGTGCAGAAGTTGCCTTACAAGAAGGTACACTGGAGGGAAACATCTTCTCTAATAAACCGACTGTAGTTGAACGTCAGTGTGAAAAGTTCATGCAAGCAAACACTGTCCTGAAGTCACATGACCTTGGTTCAATCGTGTGTGACATCAAGTTCTCTGATCTTACTTACTTGGATGCATTTTGGCGAGACTACATCAATGGATCCTTGTTGGAGGCCCTGAAGGGGGTATTTCTTACAGGTAAATAAATCTTTTATTTATAGGTTTGGAGGCCCTGAAGGGGTATTTCTTTGAGGTAAATAATCCTGATCTTTCTGGGTTTGAAGGCCTTGAAGGCGGTATTTTACACATTAATAAATCTAATATAAAAATAATGTATAATTATGTATATAATGGGGAAGTCCCTACACTCTGTGAAATTACTAGTTGTATTGTTTCCACCCAATTAGGACCCCTCAGCCAGTAAAAATGAATTTATTTTTACAGAATCTCTGAAGCAGGCTGTTGGACATGAAGCTATAAAACTCCTGGTCAACGTCGATGAAGATGACTACGAAGCTGGCCGAGTCAAACTACTCCAAAATCTCAAAAACTGAAGTTTTACATCTCAGATGGGTGACCACTTGGTGTTAAGGATAGTAAATCTCAAGCAGAGTGGGTTCCACTTGGTGTTAAGGATATGAAATCTCAAGCGGTGTGGGTTCTACTTGGTGTTACGAATATCAAATCTCAGGCAGTGGGGATTACCAATTGGTGTTTCAGATATGAAATCTCAGGTAGTGTAGATTACCACTTGGTGTTACGGACATGAGATTTGGGGCGATGTGGATTGAAACTTGGAGTTAAGGACATGAAATCTGGGGGTGTCTGGGTTACCACTTGGTGTTACCGACATGAAATCTGGGGGTGTCTAGGTTAACACTTTGTGTTACGGGCATGTAATCTAGAGGTGTCTAGGTTAACACTTGGTGTTACGGACATGGAATCTGTGGGTGTCTGGGTTACCACTGTTTGTTCAACAGATACGAAATGTTACCTCATGATGTCGTTGACAGAAATGCAATAAAGTGTTCACAATTCAGAAACAGACTTTTGTTGTGTTGTGGAATAACAGGTGAAAGTGTGGTTCACACTAAGCTCAGTTCTTTTGGAGATAGTCATATTTGGGATACTTGTTGTCGGAGGAAAAAAAGATTGAAAATCAAACAATAACCTTAAAAGGTCATCAGTATTGAGACAAAATAAAGCGTGGCTTCAACTCCACTTTACAGTGCAGTGTGTGAAATATCTTTATTTCTTTTGTTTCATCCTTGTATTTGCTGAAAAATATTGATTATGTCCCCTTCAACAAACTAGGGAGGGTTGGTAGTTATACTGGAATCGCCATGTCTCAATGTCAATCATTCACAGATATTTTCGGGAGAACTCTTCCTTAAACTGGTGAACCGATTCCATTGAAAGCTCTTATGAACATAAAGGACCATATGTAGATGTATGCAACTTTCTTTTCCCAAAAAAATTTTGTTGCCTTGGTAACTGTAAACAGGTATTACTATGGCCAGGATCATCTCCAGACAATTTCAAGCATGTTAATGCAGAATCCCACAGGTTTAACAGAGGTTAAAATGGGGTGTTGTTCAGGGAAAAAAATGATTGGACAAGTAATTTAAAAATGACCTGATGTGGCAGCCATGTCAAAATTTCAAAGAGGGCAAAAAATTATATTGTTAACATCCATATAAATATTCAGTGCAATGGCATCAGGGAAAAGAAACAGAAGTTAAAATCAAACTTTTCAGATAAAAACAGCACTTTGTCAGGGACATGTGAGGACAATTTCAGGCAACTTTCAGCTGAATCCCAATGATGGAACTTTGAAAGTTCAAAATGTCGAGAAAATTTATGCATAACACTCAGTGATAGACAAAACACAATCGCATCAAAAATATTGTTTTGTTAATCTGCTAACAATTGAATCATTGAAAAAAAACATACACAGGATCAGTGTTACTTCAGCCTTTCAGGTCTCGGTTATCAATAACATACACAGGATCAGTGTTACTTCAGCCTTTCAGGTCTCGGTTATCAATAACATACACAGGATCAGTGTTACTTCAGCCTTTCAGGTCTCGGTTATCAATAACATACACAGGATCAGTGTTACTTCAGCCTTTCAGGTCTCGGTTATCAATAACATACACAGGATCAGTGTTACTTCAGCCTTTCAGGTCTCGGTTATCAATAACATACACAGGATCAGTGACTCAGCCTTTCAGGTCTCGTTATCAATAACATACACAGGATCCTTCAGCCTTTCAGGTCTCGGTTATCAATAACATACACAGGATCAGTGTTACTTCAGCCTTTCAGGTCTCGGTTATCAATAACATACACAGGATCAGTGTTACTTCAGCCTTTCAGGTCTCGGTTATCAATAACATACACAGGATCAGTGTTACTTCAGCCTTTCAGGTCTCGGTTATCAATAACATACACAGGATCAGTGTTACTTCAGCCTTTCAGGTCTCGGTTATCAATAACATACACAGGATCAGTGTTACTTCAGCCTTTCAGGTCTCGGTTATCAATAACATACACAGGATCAGTGTTACTTCAGCCTTTCAGGTCTCGGTTATCAATAACATACACAGGATCAGTGTTACTTCAGCCTTTCAGGTCTCGGTTATCAATAACATACACAGGATCAGTGTTACTTCAGCCTTTCAGGTCTCGGTTATCAATAACATACACAGGATCAGTGTTACTTCAGCCTTTCAGGTCTCGGTTATCAATAACATACACAGGATCAGTGTTACTTCAGCCTTTCAGGTCTCGGTTATCAATAACATACACAGGATCAGTGTTACTTCAGCCTTTCAGGTCTCGGTTATCAATAACATACACAGGATCAGTGTTACTTCAGCCTTTCAGGTCTCGGTTATCAATAACATACAGAGCGATCGTTGTTACTTCAGCCTTTCAGGTCTCGGTTATCAATAACATCCAGAGCGATCGTTGTTACTTCAGCCTTTCAGTCCTCGGTTATCAATAACATACACAGGATCAGTGTTACTTCAGCCTTTCAGGTCTCGGTTATCAATAACATACACATCGTTGTTACTTCAGCCTTTCAGGTTACTTATCAATAACATCCAGAGCGATCGCCTTACACAGGATCTTCAGCCTTTCAGTCTCGGTTATCAATAACATACACAGGATCAGTGTTACTTCAGCCTTTCAGGTCTCGGTTATCAATAACATACACAGGATCAGTGTTACTTCAGCCTTTCAGGTCTCGGTTATCAATAACATACACAGGATCAGTGTTACTTCAGCCTTTCAGCCGGTTATCAATAACATACACAGGATCAGTGTTACTTCAGCCTTTCAGGTCTCGGTTATCAATAACATACACAGCGATCGTTGTTACTTCAGCCTTTCAGGTCAATAACATACACAGGATCAGTGTTACTTCAGCCTCTCGGCTATCAATAACATACACAGGATCAGTGTTACTTCAGCCTTTCAGGTCTCGGCTATCAATAACATACACAGGATCAGTGTTACTTCAGCCTTTCAGGTCTCGGTTATCAATAACATACACAGGATCAGTGTTACTTCAGCCTTTCAGGCCTCGGTTATCAATAACATACACAGGATCAGTGTTACTTCAGCCTTTCAGGTCTCGGTTATCAATAACATACACAGGATCAGTGTTACTTCAGCCTTTCAGGCCTCGGTTATCAATAACATACACAGGATCAGTGTTACTTCAGCCTTTCAGGTCTCGGTTATCAATAACATACACAGGATCAGTGTTACTTCAGCCTTTCAGGTCTCGGTTATCAATAACATACACAGGATCAGTGTTACTTCAGCCTTTCAGGTCTCGGTTATCAATAACATACACAGGATCAGTGTTACTTCAGCCTTTCAGGTCTCGGTTATCAATAACATACACAGGATCAGTGTTACTTCAGCCTTTCAGGTCTCGGTTATCAATAACATACACAGGATCAGTGTTACTTCAGCCTTTCAGGTCTCGGTTATCAATAACATACACAGGATCAGTGTTACTTCAGCCTTTCAGGTCTCGGTTATCAATAACATACACAGGATCAGTGTTACTTCAGCCTTTCAGGTCTCGGTTATCAATAACATACACAGGATCAGTGTTACTTCAGCCTTTCAGGTCTCGGTTATCAATAACATACACAGGATCAGTGTTACTTCAGCCTTTCAGGTCTCGGTTATCAATAACATACACAGGATCAGTGTTACTTCAGCCTTTCAGGTCTCGGTTATCAATAACATACACAGGATCAGTGTTACTTCAGCCTTTCAGGTCTCGGTTATCAATAACATACACAGGATCAGTGTTACTTCAGCCTTTCAGGTCTCGGTTATCAATAACATACACAGGATCAGTGTTACTTCAGCCTTTCAGGTCTCGGTTATCAATAACATACACAGGATCAGTGTTACTTCAGCCTTTCAGGTCTCGGTTATCAATAACATACACAGGATCAGTGTTACTTCAGCCTTTCAGGTCTCGGTTATCAATAACATACACAGGATCAGTGTTACTTCAGCCTTTCAGGTCTCGGTTATCAATAACATACACAGGATCAGTGTTACTTCAGCCTTTCAGGTCTCGGTTATCAATAACATACACAGGATCAGTGTTACTTCAGCCTTTCAGGTCTCGGTTATCAATAACATACACAGGATCAGTGTTACTTCAGCCTTTCAGGTCTCGGTTATCAATAACATACACAGGATCAGTGTTACTTCAGCCTTTCAGGTCTCGGTTATCAATAACATACACAGGATCAGTGTTACTTCAGCCTTTCAGGTCTCGGTTATCAATAACATACACAGGATCAGTGTTACTTCAGCCTTTCAGGTCTCGGTTATCAATAACATACACAGGATCAGTGTTACTTCAGCCTTTCAGGTCTCGGTTATCAATGACATCCAGAGCGATCATTGTTACTTCAGCCTTTCAGGCCTCGGTTATCAATAACATACACAGGATCAGTGTTACTTCAGCCTTTCAGGTCTCGGTTATCAATAACATACACAGGATCAGTGTTACTTCAGCCTTTCAGGTCTCGGTTATCAATAACATACACAGGATCAGTGTTACTTCAGCCTTTCAGGTCTCGGTTATCAATAACATACACAGGATCAGTGTTACTTCAGCCTTTCAGGCCTCGGTTATCAATAACATACACAGGATCAGTGTTACTTCAGCCTTTCAGGTCTCGGTTATCAATAACATACACAGGATCAGTGTTACTTCAGCCTTTCAGGTCTCGGTTATCAATAACATACACAGGATCAGTGTTACTTCAGCCTTTCAGGTCTCGGTTATCAATAACATACACAGGATCAGTGTTACTTCAGCCTTTGAGGTCTCGGTTATCAATAACATACACAGGATCAGTGTTACTTCAGCCTTTCAGGTCTCGGTTATCAATAACATACACAGGATCAGTGTACTTCAGCCTTTCAGGTCTCGGTTATCAATAACATACACAGGACATGTTACTTCAGCCTTTCAGCGGTTATCAATAACATACACAGGATCAGTGTTACTTCAGCCTTTCAGGCCTCGGTTATCAATGACATCCAGAGCGATCGTTGTTACTTCAGCCTTTCAGGTCTCGGTTATCAATGACATCCAGAGCGATCGTTGTTACTTCAGCCTTTCAGGCCTCGGTTATCAATGACATCCAGAGCGATCATTGTTACTTCAGCCTTTCAGGCCTCGGTTATCAATGACATCCAGAGCGATCGTTGTTACTTCAGCCTTTCAGGCCTCGGTTATCAATGACATCCAGAGCGATCGTTGTTACTTCAGCCTTTCAGGTCTCGGTTATCAATAACATCCAGAGCGATCGTTGTTGTTATCAATAACATCCAGAGCGATCGTTGTTACTTCAGTCTTTGAGGTCTCAGTTATCAATAACATCCAGAGCGATCGTTGTTACTTCAGCCTTTCAGGTCTCGGTTATCAATAACATACAGAGCGATCGTTGTTACTTCAGCCTTTCAGGTCTCGGTTATCAATAACATCCAGAGCGATCGTTGTTACTTCAGCCTTTCAGGTCTCGGTTATCAATAACATCCAGAGCGATCGTTGTTACTTCAGCCTTTCAGGTCTCGGTTATCAATAACATCCAGAGCGATCGTTGTTACTTCAGCCTTTCAGGCCTCGGTTATCAATAACATCCAGAGCGATCGTTGTTACTTCAGCCTTTCAGTCCTCGGTTATCAATAACATATCGTATATATTCCAATAAACGCCCCGTCTCTAATAAACGCCCCCCACCTGTTTTCTCAGTAAATTTCAACAACTCAGGAGTCCGGTTACAAAGCTTACCTTTTAATAAATTTTAAATTCCTGATATTCATGAACATGAACAAATGAATTTTGGCACAAGAAAATTACACTGTCACGACATGTACACAAGTAATATCAATTTAATCCACAGTTCATTTCAATATACTGCAGGCCTAACGGCCGGGACTGCCGTACGAACTACTGTCTTCACTTTCACTTTCGTCAGTCTCGCTTTCACTCAGTTCTATTTGTGGAATAGAAGGCGCGTTCACATCACCCATTAAATTTGCAAAACATCATCTGCAGCTTGGACATCCTTTTCACTAAACCCCTGGAATTTCTCATCGTCAGAATCATGCTGGAAAATATGATCCTCGCTACCGTCCAGCTAATTTGTGATACCACATTTTTTGTACGATCTTCTGATTGTGTCCGGGCTAATGCTATCCCATGCTGTCTTGACCCAAGACAACATTACAGCTTTAGATGGGGCTTTACGATTCCCTGCTTTGGTTTTCTCAATGGGGCCACTGAAACACCATTCGTCATACAACTCTCCAAGTTTTTGTTTGAAGGGTTTATTCCACGACACATCGGCTGGCTGTAGCTTACATGTACATCCTCCGGGTATAACACAGATGTCTGAATTATATTTTTGACGAACCAGCGTTTTTTTTACATCTTCAGTAAGATGACCACGGAAAGCGTCCCATACTAATAACCGCCTAGCTGTATTATTCACACCCCAGAGTTTTTTTAACCAAAATTTTATACTGTCCTCGTTTGCCCAGGATTTTTGTCTGGCCCCGCACATGTATACCACAATACCACTTGGTATGTCATCTTTCGGAAGGGGACGAATGCCTGGCATGTGCACAAGGGGGGGGGGGGATTTTAGTCCCATCGGCATATGCTGCCAGTGTCACCGTTATTTTTTGTTTTTCATGGCCAGTACTGTAAACTCTGACCTCCTTTTCCCCCTTTATTGCCAATGTCGTTTTTCCTGGCATGTCAAACCACACCGGGGTTTCGTCCATGTTAGCGATATGGCTATCAGGGTATTCTCGTAGCCAATGCATTCTTAACACGAAATTAAAAAAACTGTCAATACAATCATCAATTAATGAAACTTCATGTTGTGCCACATGCGTAGATCGCCTGAACGAAATGTTATGTCTCTTTTTGAATTTAGAAAACCATCCATATAGATTTTTGTCAATATCTTCATATCTGACATGCCTCTTACCTCCTTTACAGCGTTTAGATGTTTTAGAAAGATTTTAAAATTTTTCTTTGTTTTGACACCAGTCCCGCACTCGTTTTCTGTCAACACGAAACACTTTCGGCATGTTTACCCTTCTCCTCTGCGGAGGCGATTACTTTAAGCTTGAAAGCAGTTTCGTAGTTCCATTTTGTCCCAGACATTTTTATCAGGTATGTGGGATTTATTAAGAAACAGACTGGCTTATATACCGCTGTGTTTTTTTATTTTGTTATGCAAACTGGGCCTACAAGCGATGATGAACATTGTACGTTTTTGACTGAAGCTGACATGATTGACATCGTGTCATTTCTTACAAGAATTCAGGTTATCAGAATGCAATTGACAACAATGTTTAAAGCTACAACGATGTTGGAAATACTGCAATTTTCAAATGCATTCTTTGCAGAGTAATTCGTTAGTTTGTTCAACAATGTTTTTAAGTGGCAGCCATGGCATGTCACGACCAACAAATTATGAAATTTTGTGTTCTATCAATCGCCCCGTCTGAAAAATTTCATGCCCCCGGGGCGTTTATTGGAATAAATACGGTACACAGGATCATTGTTACTTCAGCCGTTCGGGTCTCGGTTATCAATAACATACACAGGATCATTGTTACTTCAGCCGTTCGGGTCTCGGTTATCAATAACATACACAGGGTCAGTGTTACTTCAGCCTTTCAGGTCTCGGTTATCAATAACATACAGAGCGATCATTGTTACTTCAGTCTTTTGGGTCTCGGTTATCAATAACATACAGAGCAATCATTGTTACTTCAGTCTTTGAGGTCTCGGTTATCAATAACATACACAGGATCATTGTTACTTTAGCCTTTGAGGTCTCGATTATCAATAACATACAGAGCAATCATTGTTACTTCAGTCTTTGAGGTCTTGGTTATCAATAACATACACAGGATCAGTGTTACTTAAGCCTTTCAGGTCTCGGTTATCAATAACATACAGAGCGATCATTGTTACTTCAGTCTTTTGGGTCTCGGTTATCAATAACATACAGAGCAATCATTGTTACTTCAGTCTTTGAGGTCTCGGTTATCAATAACATACACAGGATCATTGTTACTTCAGTCTTTGAGGTCTCGGTTATCGATAACATACAGAGCAATCATTGTTACTTCAGTCTTTGAGGTCTCGGTTATCAATAACATACAGAGCGATCATTGTTACTTCAGCCTTTGAGGTCTCGGTTATCAATAACATACAGAGCGTCATTGTTACTTCAGTCTTTGAGGTCTCGGTTATCAATAACATACAGAGCGATCATTGTTACTTCAGTCTTTGAGGTCTCGGTTATCAATAACATACAGAGCGATCATTGTTACTTCAGTCTTTGAGGTCTCGGTTATCAATAACATACAGAGCGATCAAATTATAGTAGATTGGTTCACTGCGATTGCAAAACATGTTTTGCCATCTTACATTAATCACTCTAGTTGGTCCGGATTGATAATATTGGAGGAAACCGATGTGCCCGGGGAAAACCCATGTGGTTGGGCAGGTGATCCCCAGACTGTTTCAGGGAATCAAACTTTGGACGTCATCCAACCACCCAAAATTAAAACATAACATAATGTTCGTATCATGTAAAAAAGGTGAAGGTCGAATATGCTGTTCAAGTTGTGATTCTTCATGGGGGGGGTCTATTATTTGATATTTGAGGAGAGGGAATAACATTGTGAAAAGTCAGATACCTTAAAATCAACAACCATATACTGCTTCATGACTGAAGTAAAAAATGCACCTTTTTGCCTCTCTTATGGTAAAATAACAAAAAATTTGATCCATCATTATCATTATGTGATACACATGTTCATCAGTCTATTTAGAGAGTTGTTTCAATCCTCAATAGTTCATTAGTTGTAGGGCTGTCCTTGAACTTTTCTGTTATTGCCATCACAGGATATATCCATCTCAAGATTTGAATATAGATTCCCTTTGGTCCCTGGTTATATGTCATGTATTTTGGGACTGATCAGAAAAACAAGATGGCAGACAGGTGGCCATCTTGGATTTTAACATTTATAGATTGTTGTTGCTATTTCTTGGGAAGTACAGGATCAACCATACTCTAACTTAACATGTAGATTTTCCTTGGTCCTTTGCTGGGAAAAATAGTTCTTCAGGTCCTAGAGTTTGCCCAATAAAATCAAAGAAGAGAATGCAAGCTCTATTGTGATAGATTCAGATATTATTTTCTGACAGACATATCTTTATCAGGCTGAAGTAAAACCAGAAGACAATTTTTCTCTAAAAATGTATGAATTTAATATTATCACAAAACATCATAAAGAAAAAAATGTTTTACAGCACAACTTGTTAACTTGTGATGGCGTCGGAGAGTACAGAGAAGACAGCCATGACATATTAAAGGTTTCAATGTAAACATTGAAATGTTATCGGAAATTGCTGCAATAATAAAGCAGATTTTTATATAATAAGTTAATGAAGCAATAAATACTGTTTCCATGTCAACAGTTTGTTTCCAAGGAGACAAATATAACAATATCAAGGTGTATTCTCTAGGTGACATAACTTTCCAAAGTCCGGAAATATCCAACAGGACAAATGTCTAGATTATCGATACTCCAGAGACTATCACGTCGAAAATCGAACGTTGGTTGCTGGCTTGCGTTCCATGTGCACTCGAGTATAACTGGTAGGTCCTTTAGGATCAGGGAACTTTATACTGTAATGACATAAAATAGCTTCAGATATTCAATGTATTCAACATTCTTTAACACGTATTTTCATCTGTCTCAAATTTTGTAGTTTTTGAAAAAAAAGCAATTTTCTAGGCATTCAATTTCATTCATGAATTGTGCTCACAAAATGCACTAAGATACATACCGATATTTAATTTCGAAACCGTTGATTAAGATTAATTAAGTTTTTTCATAGTTTTCAAGTCAGCATGAATATGTAAAATTTTAAATAAGTTGCTTGAAGAGCTTGAATAATGAATTGACCTTTGAACTTTATGTGGCCTTGACCCTGGGAGAATGTACAAAACAGAAAGTTGTACACAACAATCATCTGTCACTCTTCATATAGCTTAAAATAATTAACTGAGAGTCAAAAGTTAAAATATCCAAACTTAAAATTTCAATTTTATATTTGATAAAAATGTGTCATTTTAACATTATACATGCTTGTACCTATGGAATTTTTATATCCTTGCTACCTTCAAGAAGTACAGACAAGCATCTGAAACGGGGACAATGAGGAAACCAGACAATTTATCAAGATGTTTTGAGAAGCATAATTAATACAATATTAATATAAATTTTATCAAATTTTGCGAAAAAAATAATTCTTCATAGCCTGGATGGAAGCATGCGATGGGTATTTCTGTGGAATGAGACCTGAGTACCTGAGTACCCGAGTACCTGAGTACCTGAGTACCTCATACCTTTTCATATCTGTTCTGAGAATTAAACCCCAGATGTCAAGGTGAAAGGCGAGTAATATTCTAGACACCTTTAAAGATAACAGAGTCAGTGATGATTTCAAATTCTAATCCTTTCAGAACTTACTCTTCCTTAGGAGAGGTGGCATGGAATTTTGGTGTCCTCGTCCTTGCTTGGTGAGGTGGTTTATTCGAGCGTGGCGAGCTCAGTCCTGTACCGCTGAAGACATATGGCTCATCTACAATAAACATTGCAGTCACTAAATATTACTGAATGTTACAGGGTTAATAATTTACATGCAGATCTTGTGCACAATATGAAAGACTTGATCCTTTGATCAACATCAAACAAATCCACGGACCACATAACGGTATATTGTAATGGCTTTGTAATTGGGCGTCGCTCCTTTGTAAACTTCAAATGAAGTGCATCGGCCTGTGATAGGTCAGTTTTTTTCTCCTGGGACCAATGAAATTACTTCGCTTGTGCCTTTGATTTTGCCAGGACAAGTTCCTGGGATGTAGAGAGCAAAAGGATGAAATAAGCCTATTCCTGACCTTTAGTAACAGGCAATGTGTTTGCCTCCTTGAGCTTATTCAGTTCTCTAACAAGCACACCTGTCCCCCCCTCCCCGGGCTTATTGTAATGTAATAAACACACCATGTGACTGTGATTAAGGGGTAATGTTGTTGGCACCCTGGGCTTCAAGTTTTGTAACAAGCACACTGCCTGACTAAGGAGTAATATGTTGCCCCACCCCTAGTCTTGCTGCAGGTAAAATACAGTACCAGGGGTATATGCAAATTATACTAAATCTTTACTGGTCTTAAATTCTTGTCGTAAGTTTGATGTTATTCATGTTTAGTTTTTTAGCACATCTAATCCATAGTCAAAGTCACAGAGGTCAATGTTTGTAAAACTGAAACAATACCTTCTGATTGGCCAATGACTAATAGGTCTGCTGGGAATAACCCTGACCTAGTATTTAAAGAGAAATGACCTTGACCCATAATCAAGTGCACAGAGGTCAAATACTAAAAACACCTGAATCAATTGTTTGTTGAAAGTGAGAACAAAATTTAAAGCCGGTTGGAAATTATCGTTACTTTCATAAAATGCATAAAAATTTTACAGAAAATATGGATCAATCGTGTTGTTAGGGGAAAAAAAATCGCTCTTATTGGGGTTGTATCTCTTAATAGCATTTTTTCCCAGCATGCTTCAGGTAAGTTATATCATTTTACAAAACTTACCCATGGTCTCTCTCCTTTGTCCTGTATTAACATCTGGAAAGCTAGTCTTGCTCCAGTCAGATCGGGGTGAAGCACCTGTGTATTGTGTATCGGTTCGACATTTTGGTTTGGGGACGGAACGGGAATACTGTACACAGCGAAAAAAATATAAAAATAAAAATTAGGAAAATATTGAAGAATTTACAGTTTATTAGTCCTCCAGAATGTCTACGTATCTGCCATATTCTATCATTTTACAGAATCATTTCAAACTCTGGTATTTCTTGGTCACATTATAGTCGTCATAGTAACAGAAATACTCGAACTCGAATTCATGAGGGATTGATTTTTGCTATGTTCGTAACCAATAACAACAGTAACGTAAAATTAAACACCAAGTAAACATTTGTGAATGAAAATATTAAAAATTATCTGTTACACCTGTACTAATGACAAGTCCAGATTTTTACAACCGCACAAAATTAAACAGTTATACCAAAGATGCAGTTTGTATCGATTTAGAGAAAAAATTGTGGAAATCTGGAACTAAAGAATAAAGGGAGATAAGAGAAACATATACTGTAACTGTTTAGCTAATTCATAACCCACAACTAATATATCACATTTGTCCAGTGTGGGTAATGTTCACAGGTATTTCAGCATGTCTATACAGTATCTTCCTACACTGGTATGATAACCAGGGATGTATATAACAGTCCCTGTGATAACTAACAATTTCCAATATTTTCATTTTCTGTAAAACATTTTCCTGTGTATTCCATTTGGTGCTCTTATATGATCACGAATACAGCAAAAATTTTAACAACAATACGTAAGTTTAGTTAGTTTAAACAATATATTTTTATATAATAGTTGACAAAATTACACATACACACATACACACATACATACATATATATATATATAGAATGGGAAAACAAGCTTGAAGCTTCCATTAAATATACAATATGATTACAACAAGAGCTTAACTCATGAAATCATTTTTCCTCAAATTATTTTTTATAATTTATTTCATAACAAGAGGCCCAAGGGGCCTTAACGGTAACCTGAGGAATATATGTCAATAATCTGGGGATTTTAAAATGTTGCAAAAATGTAACAACACTTGTGCAGGACCATGTGTAAAACATCTGTACCAAGTTTGAACATGACCCACCCAATGGTTCTTGAGAGGAAGTCCATAATGTCTTAGCCAAACAGAGGCCAGGGTGGCCATCTTGGATTTTAAATCGCCCCAAAAAGTTAAAACGCTTGCTAGGACCTTGTGTAGAACATTCGTATCAAGTTTCCCCTTTTCCCCCCTCCTGGGGCCCGTATTGGGGCCACACCCTTTTTCTTCGCAAACTTGAAGCAGCTTCCCATGTGGATGCTTTGTGCCAAGTTTGGTCAAAATGCATCCAATCGTTCTTGAGAAGAAGTGATTTAAAGAAGGTTTTTACATATGGCCCCTTTTACACCCCTTATGGGCCCCAAAGGGGACATAATCACTTTTTTCAACATAATTTCATATATCCTTCACTAAGGAATGCTTTCTACCAAATTTGGTTGAAATTGGTCAAAGTTGAATTTTTGACCCTTTTGAGCACCCCCTAGTGGGGCCGTTTTTGACCCGATTTTTTTTTCATTCCCAAACTTTGTAGACCATGCCATAAGGACCCTAAATATCAAATAGGAACTTAATTTGACAGCTGGTTCATGAGAAGAAGATTTTTAAAGATTTACCTTATTTTACCCCCTTTTCCCCCCTCCTGCAGCCCCTATTGGGGCCACGCCCTATTTCTTCGCAAACTTGAAGCGGCTTCCCATGGGGATGCTTTGTGCCAAGTTTGGTCAAAATCCATTCAGTGGTTCTTGAGAAGAAGTCGAATATGTGAAAAGTTAACGGCACACGACGCACGACAACAGACAAATCATGATGGCAATAGGCCTTCGCCTCAGGCGACCTAAAAACCAAGTACCTTCAAAAGCAATTAGGTTGTTTTCTGCCTTATACCTGAATTATTTTTTTAAAGTGTTCTAATTTTTCACTTTAAATCACAGAATAAATTAAAAAAAAAAAGAAGTAAAGTATAAGATAAAATGATCATGTCAAACAGCTGGTTATTATCATGTGGATAATATTTTCACAATTTTGTGGTACACTAACGAGATCACAAAAATTTACACTGTGAAGTGAAGTATATATTGGAAGTCATTTTACATTCCAATCATGAAACTTAAATTCGTTAAAAGTATAATTTAATTGTTTTGAAAGGAAACCAAGAAATTTTTTTACTTGTGAACATAACCAATTAAACATTATTTTTTTGGTGACAGGCTTTAGACAAGACCACAAAAATCTACTGTTACAGGACATCCACATACTGACCTCTTTAGCACGTTCCTGTTTACTGTTTGTACCCCTGCCACTCGATCTGTTCTGGGGATTGAGGGGTGTTCCATGATCCTTTGTCCACTTCTCACAGAAAGGGATGTGATGGTCAGCTGCTGACTTACTGAATGACCGTCCACAATATCTACACTCCACAGGACCTACACAAACATACAGGACTGAATGACCGTCCACAATATCTACACTCCACAGGACCTACACAAACATACAGGACTGAATGACCGTCCACAATATCTACACTCCACAGGACCTACACAAACATACAGGACTGAATGACCGTCCACAATATCTACACTCCACAGGACCTACACAAACATACAGGACTGAATGACCGTCCACAATATCTACACTCCGCAAGACTTACACAAACATACAGGACTGAATGACCGTCCACAATATCTACACTCCACAGGACCTACACAAACATACAGGACTGAATGACCGTCCACAATATCTACACTCCACAGGACCTACACAAACATACAGGACTGAATGACCGTCCACAATATCTACACTCCGCAAGACTTACACAAACATACAGGACTGAATGACCATCCACAATATCTACACTCCACAGGACCTACACAAACATAAAGGACTGAATGACCGTCCACAATATCATATAGGACTGAATGACCGTCCACAATATCTACACTCCACAGGACTGAATGACCAACCACAACAGAAATAAAGAGCAATCAATTTTTTGTATAAAGGAACTTACATGTCCTTGTGAGGACCAAATATCTCTACAACAGGATCTTATATGTTCTTTCTATATTTTTTGCATTCAATGAATTTATTTCACACAAGAATCAGTGGCAGCCAAATGCCCCCATCTTAAGGCTGACTAGAACATTCATCTGAGGTTTTTCCTGTTTAAACATTTCAATCAAGCAGAAGTTTGTGAATGGTGATAACAGTTGTTCTCCTGGAAGTCAGTCCCTTCAAAGTCAAGCTCATCTACCATATATCGGACAATTTTGACAAATTGATGATAAATATGTTACCATCACAATATAAATATTTGATAAGTAATGAATACAGAGCTATATACTTTAAGTACAGAAAGCCTAGATTTTTAAACCTGGATTAGTTTGGTTTTGATAATATTGAAACATACCGAGATCACTGTCATCTCTTGTCATTTTTGCTGCTCGTCTGGCTCGACGAATGTTCTTCAGTAAATTTTCATGTGTATCACGCCAATGTTCACCTTTTGGCTTTGGATAATGAGCCCCGAAGGGATCACTATCATCAAACTGGCTGTGTCTCTGTCGGCGCTCACACGCTGGTTCGTGAGTATTCTGTGGATGAAATACTGTGGTTTACTACAAATTAACAAACCCCAAGCCCAGAGATCAAACCAGAGGGACTGTGGGTCTCTATGTCAGGGATAATTCAGCAATCCTGCAAAATTATATCAATTTATAGAAATGTTGATATGCTCCAAGTTTGGATTTGGAGAACATTTTTTTTTTTATTTTATTTATTTTTCTCCTTCGTTACATTATGAACATGACATAAAACAGAAACAAACAAATTCATACATCATTTCATATCAATTACATAACATTAGAGAAAAAAAAAGTTTCATAACATCATTAAAATATATGTAAATTAAATTTGATTTCTTTTACCTCTAAATATGATTAACAACAGGTGTGGTAAGAAACTAGAACAGTCAACTGTAAACTTTGTATTTATTCAGTGTTACAAACATCCCTCTACCATGTACGGGACAGACTTTTATATTCAACAGCCTTCACCTTAGTTACAATCATTATAAATCATGATTAAATGGTACCAACCCTACATGTACTATTACTTACTAATGCCTCAAGTGTCAAACGCTTCCCACAAAATGAACATCTGAATCTTGGTTCCGCATAGCCATCATCTGCAATAAAACATCAATGTCTGATCATCTTCTGTTATACTAAAATACAGTTCATAGACCTCTGTAGGTCTACCCTCTGTAGGTCTACATTGTTACCTCTGTAGGTCTACCCTCTGTAGGTCTACATTGTTACCTCTGTAGGTCTACCCTCTGTAGGTCTACATTGTTACCTCTGTAGGTCTACATTGTTACCTCTGTAGGTCTACCCTCTGTAGGTCTACCCTCTGTAGGTCTAAATTGTTACCTCTATAAGTCTACCCTCTGTAGGTCTACATTGTTACCTCTGTAGGTCTACCCTCTGTAGGTCTACATTGTTACCTCTGTAGGTCTACATTGTTACCTCTGTAGGTCTACCCTCTGTAGGTCTACATTGTTACCTCTGTAGGTCTACCCTCTGTAGGTCTACATTGTTACCTCTGTAGGTCTACATTGTTACCTCTGTAGGTCTACATTGTTACCTCTGTAGGTCTAAATTGTTACCTCTGTAGGTCTACATTGTTACCTCTGTAGGTCTACATTGTTACCTCTGTAGGTCTACCCTCTGTAGGTCTACATTGTTACCTCTGTAGGTCTACATTGTTACCTCTGTAGGTCTACCCTCTGTAGGTCTACATTGTTACCTCTGTAGGTCTACATTGTTACCTCTGTAGGTCTACCCTCTGTAGGTCTACATTGTTACCTCTGTAGGTCTACATTGTTACCTCTGTAGGTCTACCCTCTGTAGGTCTACATTGTTACCTCTGTAGGTCTACATTGTTACCTCTGTAGGTCTACATTGTTACCTCTGTAGGTCTACATTGTTACCTCTGTAGGTCTACATTGTTACCTCTGTAGGTCTACCCTCTGTAGGTCTACATTGTTACCTCTGTAGGTCTACATTGTTACCTCTGTAGGTCTACCCTCTGTAGGTCTACATTGTTACCTCTGTAGGTCTACATTGTTACCTCTGTAGGTCTACATTGTTACCTCTGTAGGTCTACATTGTTACCTCTGTAGGTCTACCCTCTGTAGGTCTACATTGTTACCTCTGTAGGTCTACATTGTTACCTCTGTAGGTCTACCCTCTGTAGGTCTACATTGTTACCTCTGTAGGTCTACATTGTTACCTCTGTAGGTCTACATTGTTACCTCTGTAGGTCTACATTGTTACCTCTGTAGGTCTACCCTCTGTAGGTCTACATTGTTACCTCTGTAGGTCTACATTGTTACCTCTGTAGGTCTACCCTCTGTAGGTCTACCCTCTGTAGGTCTACATTGTTACCTCTGTAGGTCTACCCTCTGTAGGTCTACCCTCTGTAGGTCTACATTGTTACCTCTGTAGGTCTACCCTCTGTAGGTCTACATTGTTACCTCTGTAGGTCTACATTGTTACCTCTGTAGGTCTACCCTCTGTAGGTCTACATTGTTACCTCTGTAGGTCTACATTGTTACCTCTGTAGGTCTACATTGTTACCTCTGTAGGTCTACATTGTTACCTCTGTAGGTCTACATTGTTACCTCTGTAGGTCTACATTGTTACCTCTGTAGGTCTACCCTCTGTAGGTCTACCCTCTGTAGGTCTACATTGTTACCTCTGTAGGTCTACCCTCTGTAGGTCTACCCTCTGTAGGTCTACATTGTTACCTCTGTAGGTCTACCCTCTGTAGGTCTACCCTCTGTAGGTCTACATTGTTACCTCTGTAGGTCTACCCTCTGTAGGTCTACCCTCTGTAGGTCTACATTGTTACCTCTGTAGTCATCACAAAAACAAAAAACAAAAGTCTATTTCATTTAGATATATTTATTTGCAATATCATTACTTTGGAGCGGTGTTTACAGAGGCTGCATTTCGGCCAAAAGATAAAACAAACTGGAAACACAGTTCCAACAATTAATCTGTAGTAGCTAGTGTGTGTTTCTTTAGACAAGATAGTCAACCAAACAAACATCTTCTCCATGGGAACATTTGGTATGTGATCTTATTAAAATCCTGACTTCATCTCTTGGAGGCTTGAGGCTACTAAACAGCTGGTGATTTATAAGACAGCCAATACATCCGTCTTCACATCGTCTCTTTCACGCTTATTTCCTCAATATTCCACAATACTTCCACACCCGTCTAGAAAATGAAAAGCAAATATGGTAACATCACAAGGTATAACACAGAGATGATTAGTAGTGGTAACTCCTATAGATGATGGAAATTGCCTGGGGAACACCATATATACTGGTATTCAATCAAATCATATGCCAAGGCTATTTCAATGTCCTGTTATAAGCCCACCCTCTGACTTTGTGTTGGAAGTGATGTGTAAGGTACTTTGAGGTCCTGTAATAAGCCCACCCTCTGACTTTGTGTTGGAAGTGATGTGTAAAGTCCATTGAGGTGGTCCTGCAGTAAGCCCACCCTCTGACTTGGTGTTGGAAGTGATGTGTAAGGTACTTTGAGGTCCTGCAATAAGCCCACCCTCTGAATTTGTGTTTGGAGTGATGTGTATTGTTCCCTGAACTTTTTACAGGATAAATAAAGGTATTCAAATAAACATGATAAAATATTATCAAGATTGCAAAGAGGTATTAGTGACAAACATTCACAGGTCAAACAATGCAGTTTATTATTGTTTACTGTTTCTTCATTCCATACTCACTTTTACCAAGACATGTACAGAACTAAGAGGTTTACACAGACATGTACAGAACTAAGAGGTTTACACAGACATGTACAGAACTAAGAGGTTTACACAGACATGTACAGAACTAAGAGGTTTACACAGACATGTACAGAACTAAGAGGTTTACACAGACATGTACAGAAATAAGAGATTTACACAAAATTCAGGGAAGATCTTCATGGTAATAAGAATTTCTGATTATACGAAGCATGAACAACAATAGACTCGTTTGCATAAATGCTTTTCACCATGCATACTACATGAACTTTAAACCAAATGTCTTACATCTGCAATCTATTTTCATGAAATTGAAATTTTGAAAAATTAATTCTTCAACAATTTACTTTTTCAAAAATACACAGTAATGATTGATAAAATTTACAGATTTGTATGTTATAATCTGTTTCACGAAAGTCACAAATCACAACATTAACAACAGACAACAAGTAAGAATCTGGTATATTACGGTCTGTTTCATGAAAGTCACAAATTAGAACATTAACAATAGACAAAAACTGCAGTCGTGTATATTATGGTCTGTTTCATGAAAGTCACATATTAGAACATAAACAATACACAAAAATGACAGTCTTTTATATTATGGTCTGTTTCATGAAAGTCACAAATTAGAACATGATTACATCACTGTGACTGAAATATTATTGTCAAAACCCTTGAACTACTGAAAAAAATATATCATGCAAAAATTCATACAATATACTGACTAAGGAAAATCAAGCAATTCAACTTACCTGTGTTTGGCATTCATTTTGATTATCTTAATATAACGAGATGTTCAAGGTGTCTGGGAAAGCATCCAAGTCATGTGGCTTCTGGAGATTGGAAACAGCTTGAAGGTGATGAAAGTACACTTTCATGCTCTATACAAATATTAATAGTCATACTTTCTTTCTCCATGATCTTCTATTTGAAAACTTTGAAAGACTTTAGACCTGTAAACTAAATCCCTGCAAATATTATTGGGACTCCATAAATCCTATGGCATAAAAACCTATTAAAGATAAGGTGTACCTTACATGTTAAACATTGAATAAATGTTAGCGATGTTTGTCTAATTGTTATCTTTTTTCTTTTTTTTTTTCAAATTCCATCCATCCATTCTTTTATTAAATAATATGCCACCATCTTTTAAGTTAGGACTTCAGAAACTTTACAAGTCATTTCACTATATCAATTTATTTGAATGACAGCAAATTTTTGGTTTTAATGCTATTGTTGTTTTTGAGCCCAACTTAAACAATTAGCGTGAAAGTGACCAATCAGACGACCTGTGACATTTCGTTATGTTCCAGGGCAAAAGTGGAAACAAGCTCTTATAGGAATCTCTTTATTAAAACAAAAGATTGGGTAAACACAAGATGCACCATGCATGCATGCATATATACATATTAAACTTGATTCCCACACACTCTTAAATTAGTGCAATTATGAACTATCCTGGTACTCAAATTCACAATTTTGTATAAAGACTGGAATAGTGAACCAAATTACCAGTGGGGTAATCTGTGGAATAAAAGGTGTCTGTACACTATGTTAATCCTTCATGTTTTCTCAACTGTCACACTTTCTGGAAACATGATTTAGGAATTATCACCTTCCAACAGGTGTAAACTGAGGAAGCATTCAAACATACTGAAGAAACATTCTTTATTCTAAATATAGTACTAAAATGAGGAAACGAAATTCCATTTTTATTATGAATTTTCATTTATCTTCTTTTTTTCCCGCCAAAAGTATCATTTTATCTCAATTGAATAAATACCTGTACTTAACATGTAAAATGTTTTCCTCTATAAACAGAAAAAATTTGGTCAAGAATATAGGTGTAGACCAACCTTCTTCTGAATCCGAACTGAATCTAAATCCTGGTTCATCATCCTCGTCTGATGATAGTTCAGCGTGTTGTGTTTGTCCCGGGGAAAACATATATTCTTGGTTCAATCCACCACTGTAACCGTGTTCAGGAGCAGTGTTTCGCTTCTCTTTCTTCTCTTTCTTAACATTGTGTGATTTTTTATGCTGTTTGTTTGCTTTTCCTACAGGGTTAACAGGAAAAAAGACATACATTGTTCGACATTGTTCAAATTTGGTCTGTTAGAACGTGGCCTCTATCGGTTTGGCCGTTTAGAACTCAAAGACAATTCGGCAAATTACAGTTCCTCACCAACATACAGCCTCACCAATGTTTATCCATACCCAAAGGATGAAATTCCAGCGAAAAGTAGCTATAGGAGATAGAGCCTCCACAAACCTTTCCTTCGATGTGGGTCAAAGATCAAAAAGGTCAAAATGTAGGTCAGCTTAACATACTTTTGATATATGCTCCATTACCTCACCATGATGAACCCATACACCTAGTATGAAAAGTTCAAGTAACAAGGAATGTAGGAAATGGAGCTCAGACTAACTTTTTCTTTGATGTAGGTCAAAGGTCAAAATGTAGGTCAGAATGATCAGAGTTGCAGTCTGGCATGTTACAGTCTGGACTGTTATGAATCTGACAGATCTATAGACTCAAAGGTAGGGAGGGCCGACAGAAACATTGACAGCTCTATAGACACAGTGGTAGGGAGGGCCAACAGAAATAGTGACAGCTCTATAGACACAGTGGTAGGGAGGGTTGACAGAAACATTGACAGCTCTATAGACACAGTGGTAGGGAGGGCCGACAGAAACATTGACAGCTCTATAGACACAGTGGTAGGGAGGGTTGACAGAAACATTGACAGCTCTATAGACACAGTGGTAGGGAGGGCCAACAGAAATAGTGACAGCTCTATAGACACAGTGGTAGGGAGGGCCGACAGAAATGGTGACAGCTCTATAGACACAGTGGTAGGGAGGGCCGACAGAAATGGTGACAGCTCTATAGACACAGTGGTAGGGAGGGCCGACAGAAATAGTGACAGCTCTATAGACACAGTGGTAGGGAGGGCCGACAGAAACATTGACAGCTCTATAGACACAGTGGTAGGGAGGGCCGACAGAAATGGTGACAGCTCTATAGACACAGTGGTAGGGAGGGCCGACAGAAACATTGACAGCTCTATAGACACAGTGGTAGGGAGGGCCGACAGAAATAGTGACAGCTCTATAGACACAGTGGTAGGGAGGGCCAACAGAAATAGTGACAGCTCTATAGACACAGTGGTAGGGAGGGCCGACAGAAACATTGACAGCTCTATAGACACAGTGGTAGGGAGGGCCGACAGAAACATTGACAGCTCTATAGACACAGTGGTAGGGAGGGCCAACAGAAATAGTGACAGCTCTATAGACACAGTGGTAGGGAGGGCCAACAGAAATAGTGACAGCTCTATAGACACAGTGGTAGGGAGGGCCGACAGAAATGGTGACAGCTCTATAGACACAGTGGTAGGGAGGGCCGACAGAAATGGTGACAGCTCTATAGACACAGTGGTAGGGATGGCCGACAGAAATGGTGACAGCTCTATAGACACAGTGGTAGGGAGGGCCTACAGAAACATTGACAGCTCTATAGACACAGTGGTAGGGAGGGCCAACAGAAATAGTGACAGCTCTATAGACACAGTGGTAGGGAGGGCCGACAGAAATGGTGACAGCTCTATAGACACAGTGGTAGGGAGGGCCGACAGAAATGGTGACAGCTCTATAGACACAGTGGTAGGGAGGGCCGACAGAAATGGTGACAGCTCTATAGACACAGTGGTAGGGAGGGCCGACAGAAATGGTGACAGCTCTATAGACACAGTGGTAGGGAGGGCCGACAGAAACATTGACAGCTCTATAGACACAGTGGTAGGGAGGGCCGACAGAAATAGTGACAGCTCTATAGACACAGTGGTAGGGAGGGCCAACAGAAATAGTGACAGCTCTATAGACACAGTGGTAGGGAGGGCCGACAGAAATGGTGACAGCTCTATAGACACAATGGTAGGGAGGGCTGACTGAAATAGTTATTCATGATAATAAACAGTTCTATAGGGTTAATGGTAATACCAGACATAAAATTATTGTCTGACAAATATAGCACTTATATATATAAAAAAACAGTTGTTTAGTAGTTAACCATAGAGGTTTGAAACACAATTTTGTACAAAATGAAATGCTTTCATCACAGAGACTCAAGACTTAGTGACAGAGTAATGTTTTAGATACCAGACAAGGAGATATAGAATTCAAAATTGTAAAGGTGATCATGATGATGTTTGTAAACCTGTATAACATAGTTAAGTGAGAAATAAAGTCCGACATGAAAATTAACAAATTCTATTTCTGGCGTCGGTAACCATTGTTTATAACACTGAAACATTGGATGTTTGTTAACCTGTAAATATATCTTTCTTATGCATGATTTTCAAAGTTGATCGAGGTTATTCCTTTGGATCCCGGTGCGGATTCCACAAGGCAGTGTCTTTGGGCCATTCCTCTTTAAAACTTACATAAATTACCTAAATTATTATCTCCATTATTCAAAGACAAAACAAAGTGATGTATGATGTGCACAGTATAGAAAATGTGCAAAATTTTCAAAACCTTTTGGAAAATCGTCAGTGAAAAAGTTACTGATTCTTCACTCGAAAGAAACTACTACAAAAATGAAGCAGAGTGAGAAAACTTAATGTTTGAAAGACAAACTTTTAGGGATTAGTATTGAATAGCAATTGAACTTGTTGATTTACGTTTCACGTGTTTTAACAGAGCAATTAGTAAAGCAGGCCTGATAAGACCGAATATTTGTTTACCTTGATAAATTAATGTTTTTTATTTATTAACAAGAGGTCCATGGGCCTTAACGGTCATCTGACAAAAAGCAAGCCAAACCTAGAAAGTGGGTTGAGGTCATTCATTTGAACAAAATTGGTAGCCTCTCCTCCAAGCATCTTACAGGCCCAATATCAGCACTCATGGACTTTTGCTTGTTGAGAAGAAGTCGTTTGTATATTTTAACATATTTGACCCCTGTGACCTTGAAAGTGGGTCGAGGTCATTCATTTTAATAAACTTGGTAGCCTTTCCTCCCAGCATGCTACAGACCCAATATCGGCACTCATAGACTTTTGCTTATTGAGATGAAGTCCTTTGTATATTTTAACATACTTGACCCCTGTGACCTTGAAAGTGGGCCAAGGTCATTCATTTGAACAAACTTTGTAGGGCTCCATGCCAGCATGCTATGGGCCAAGTATTAGCCCCCTAGGCCTTCTAGTATTTGAGAAGAAGTTATTTAAAAATTTTAACATATTTGGTGACCTTGAAAGTTGTTCCATGTGATAGCCTTCATCCCAGCATGCCACAGGCACAATATCAGGGTTATTGAGGAGAAGTCAAAGATTTTAACATATTTGTGTGACCTTGAACGTTCAAGGTCATTCACTTGAACAATCTTAGTAGCACTTCATCCCAGCATGTCACAGGCCAAATATCTACACTCTGAGCCTTTTGGTTAATGAGAAGAAGTTGTTTAAAGATTTTAACATATATGACCCCTGTGACCTTTAAAGTGGGTCAAGGTCATTCATTTGAACAAACTTGGTAGAGCTCCATGCCAGTATCCTCTGTGCCAAGTATTAGCCCCCTGGACCTTCTGGTATTTGAGAAAAAGTTGTTTGAATGAAAAGTTTACGCACGGCGCACGGCAGACGGCGCACGACGGCGGACGAAGCACGATGGCTATAGGTCATCTTGACCCTTTGGGTCAGATGACCTAAAAAGGATATCAAGTCCGATCACATCTGGAAATATAGCAGCCATTGTGTCAAACCCTCTCAAGCAAAGGATAAAGATCTTCTTGAAATGTCTACCAGAGTAAAACAAAGGCTTTTACTAGGCTTCAACACGCTTACCTAACGATGGTTAAACTTTCCAGTGCTGAAACACTGTAGAATATAGGGTAGTGTACATAACATCACAAACAATACAGGAGCTAGTTAGGTCAATCACTTCAAGTGGAATGTTCAGTTAAGAGAAGGCTGTCAATAATTAGTCCATCTTTTAACATTTGAGATTCAACATTTTAATTTCTCTAAACATTTTTGTTTACGGTAAGTGGTCTCTTTCATATCTCTTTATTCACCTTTCACTCCAACAACTTTTTCTGTGTTGATGGGCGTTTAATCAACCTCTGTCTTTTGTTTTTAAAACTGTTTGAATGCCAGAAAACATCACCTAAAATGTAACATGATACCATGGGTGGGTTCTGTGGCACAGCGTTAACACACTCCCCTTTCACACAAGGGACCAGAGTTTGACTACACAAGTGAATGTGAAAATAAATGGTTTCACCTGTCTGACCTCATTCATTTTTCATTGGGTTCTCCAGTTTGTTCCAATAGTAGGATTCCTTGTATGTTTCAATACAGACCAACCACAACAGTAATCAACATGATTTGTCATTTAACTTTTAAACGTCTTCAAGAGTTATTGCCCTTGGATTGATAAAAATTTCAATAATGTCTTTGCTGACATGATGGCAATCCTCAAAAACATATACGGTATGTATGTTATTGAAACTGCTGTTCCTTTCAATTTAAACATCACTTAATCTAAATTACGTAAAAGACTTTTGTCACCATGAATATCACATCACAGACAACATCGACATCAATGTTTGTATATACCATAAATAAGTATTTCAATTCAAACTGAGAAATTTCACATGCTATTTTTTTATGTAGGTAATGTCCCTTCATTTACTTGTGTATTGACGAAAATGTTAATAAATCTGCTAATCTAAAGAGAGAATCACTAAAATGTTTGTTTAAATCAAAAATATTAAATTCTAATAAAATACAATCCCGCTAAAAATAAAAGCATTTTGTTTTCATTTTAACTTTAACACTAGGTCTGTATTTCTCATTATGTGCCACAAAATACCACACTTTATTTATAATCCATGCAGATGTGTATATAAAATTATCTTTCTTCAATAAAAAGTTTCATAGTCCTGACTTCATAAATGAGGTAACATGCTAACATCATCAACCTACCTGTAAAGATGTCATCAAACTCATCCATTCCACCATGAAAAGATGAAAATTCAAATGGACTTTTCGAGCAAAACATTGAGAAATGGGCATCTAGATCATCTACAAATGATTTAAAAGCGAAGGAAAACATTCCAGATTTTGAACCAAATCCTGGAAAGCCAGCCTCAAAATCTCCGAAAAGGTCTTCATCCGGAGCGTTCCAGTCCTGACTCCAAGGTTTCTGTGGTTTACTCTTTGTTTTTTTCTTTTTACTTTTGTTGTTGGAATTTCTTGCCCCTTTGCCGGATGAAAAAAATGTGAAATTGAAATCCTCTTCTGGTGATGTAAATGTCCGACCTGAAGGTTTAGAATATGCACCACTATATCCCTTACCATCATCACTCCCAGTACTATAAGAAAACGTTGTGCTATAACTACCACTTGGTTTTGTTTTAGTAAAAGTTTTTTTCGGTTCCTCTTTTGGTTTGTTAACCTCTCTTTCATGCATTTCTCGTCGATCAGCACTTTTTAGATAATCGTATGCCGCAGAGATTTCCTTGAACTTTTCTTCAGCACCAGGTTCCTTGTTTTTGTCAGGGTGAAATTTCCGAGCCAGGTTTCGGTAGGACTTTTTGATCTCATCCTCCGTTGCTCCTGGCTTGAGACCAAGAACGGTGAAAAGGTTCTTGGTCATGGTTCCTGATCTATCTGTGACTCAGTGATCTGAAATACATCAATAACCATGATCTATTATATTTATCTAAATTAAAGTAATCTCTAACATCAGTATTCCAGAAATCATGCAATCCAGCTAGAAAAAATGCAGAATGGATTTCTTCAGCATTATTTAATCTAACAATCCGGCAATTTACATTCTGGTTTTGGACATAACTGTCACCATGTATACAGCATTTTATGCAATGTTGACTTGAATATGAGAAAACAAATTTGAAAAATTTATATGGAAAACAAATATTCATTATACTAAATGCAGTAATGCAGTTGAATGTTTCAGAAATTTCCACACACCCCACCCTCCCAATGTATATGCCTGAGGCAAAACCTTTCCTTCATGCCTAAAACTAAACAAGAGTCCCAATTGGAATGTATCCCTCATATAGATCACATTATAAAGAAAAGATATCATTAGTAACCATTGCGTTTCCTCACTGTTTTAGTAAGTTTACCATGGCCTCAGAAACATTCCTTCCATTTTGAAACAATTTGGATTCACATGTATATATACCATATCAGGGACGTATATATATCATACATCCCTGACGATATCTTTATCATTTATAACTAAAAAAACATTTTTTTCCTCGAATCTTATAAAATGCATCACAGTCACTTATCTGATATAAACAACACAGCCAACTTTCAGTATGATTATAGTCATGAACACATGTAAAATATTGAAAGTGTCTGGAAAGATGTATAATGGACTGTGGGTTTTTACTCAGGTTGGTTAATACCAGATACGAGTATATGTGTTCTATTACAGACTTAAATATAGGGGGCAGAAATACATATCTAATTCTAAGTATGTGGTTCTATACAACATGATATAGCTATAATATAACACTGTACAGTATACAGTCATTACAGGTACTTAGTGAAGTGATACATGTGTGTATCAGAAGTATGGTGGTAAGAAGTCGGCTTGGTAACAATTGTTGACACATACACTTTGTATATGAACACAAGCAAAGAGGGGGGCCTCGTTTGTCGAATTCGTGCACATCTGGTTCCAATCAAATCGCTATCTCTGAATCATCTCGGGAGAGCAGTATCAGAATCGGCACACGAAATCGACAAACCAACAGAAATCCTTAGATAATCCATTCTGAAAATTATTCTTATGAATTTTATAGTATTTTTTGTCTTTAGTCGATATAAAATCACACCGATACGTACCACAAAGATCCTGGAAAAACTCCTTTTGCCTCGATCACCTACATCTTTGAAACCTTGCCATGGAGCTTATATCAACAAATGAGAGGTCAAGGTCAGTAGGAGCAACCGTTATTCAGATAACTTCAACAATATATTTCTTGGTATGATACACTTTTTATAAAATCAGTTATTACTAAATTTTCTTGAGAAATGGGAGAAAAAGTCTTAATTTAGAACAAATATTCGTTTATAAATGATTACATTTTAATTTCCGGGGAGCATATGAGAACACTATAATTAAAGACCCATGAAACTCGTATTTTTCCGGAATTTCATGAAAAAAAATAATTAAAAATAAGGTCTATATAAGATCACAAAGTGAAAAATCATCACATCCATCATTTACAAAATTTTAAAAAATCTACCAGATTTACCCTATGATGAAATAAATTGCTATCCTAATCAAAGTGGGAATAATGCCATATTGCAGTGCCTACATCAAGCTTTGGGTGTACTTTCGGAATAAACACTTCTTTATTTTTTGAGAAATTACTACATTTTTGCAGATGCAGTTTCCGGCATTGACAACCTTTGTTGAATATATGAAATAAACCACGCCAGATCCGGAAGAAAGTCGAGTGGTCAGTCAGAGGAATGCAAGTCAAGTCGCTCCCAATCCTAAATAAGACAAGTCGCCCCCTCGTAAGACAAGTCGCCCCTACATATCAAGACAACTCGCCACCCAAAAATATGTATTATGCGTCCATGTATATTAAATCATTCTAAATGTATTACTATTATTGTAGATGTGTGTATATATGATGATTGAATATGATTTATAATTGATGTTATTTATGTGATATAATGATAATGTGCATGTTAAGGTGTGTTTAAATGTGTATGTATGTTGTATATGAGTACATAATCCTTAAATTGGAATAAATAAAATAGCATCAAACAACAAAGTAATTATATTTTCCTTTTGATGAAGGGGCGACTTGTCTTGATGTAAAGGGGGGCGACCTGTCTTGAGATAATATGGGGTGACTTGTCTTGGGGGCGACTTTATTTGATACCAGTCAGAGAGGCCTCAAGCTTAAGCCTACATGAAAAGACCAAATAGACATGTAACAGGTCACGGTCATATTTCACTTTATCCGTCTTATTTTAAGAAAAGGTTTATGATAAAGTTAATTGAATATGACATATTTCGTTGAATATCTAAAATATGCTAGGGACGATAGCCACCAACTCCTCCAATCTCTCGTGGTATAGCGATAAGCTTGACAGTCGATTGAGGGGCCGAGAATGAATAGCCACCGATTGAATTTCGAACATAAGATTATCATTTCACTACAAAAAAAGGTGTTTACATTGAAAATAGTGTTATTTTCATTGATAACATAGCAGTATTTTCAAAAGCGGCGGGTTGATGAAAATTATGGGGGTTTTACCATCGTGATCTCATTGAGAAATGTTCTATTTCTTTGTGTGATATGAAGCTGGACGTGTTTGATGCTCGTTAGTTTGTCTATTGGTTCCGTTGTGTGATCAGAAGCTGGACGTGTTTGATGGTCGTTAGTTTGTCTGTTGGTTCCGTTGTGTGATATGAAGCTGGACGTGTTTGATGCTCGTAAGTTTGTCTGTTGGTTCCGTTGTGTGATATGAAGCTGGACGTGTTTGATGTTCGTTAGTTTGTCTGTTGGTTCCGTTGTCCGAGTGTTTGATGTTCGTTAGTTTGTCTGTTGGTTCCGTTGTGTGATATAAAGTTAGATGTGTTTGATGTTCGTTAGTTTGTCTGTTGGTTCCGTTGTGTGATATGAAACTGGACGTGTTTGATGTTCGTTAGTTTGTCTGTAGGTTCCGTTGTGTGATATGAAGCTGGACGTGTTTGATGCTCGTAAGTTTGTCTGTTGGTTCCGTTGTGTGATATGAAGCTGGACGTGTTTGATGTTCGTTAGTTTGTCTGTTGGTTTCGTTGGTGTATGCATTGTTCTCATAACTTACTCTCTTTAAATGGTGTGTGTCATCTATGAAGCAGAATACACTTGCTATTCCAGAACACCTGGTCTTACTCTCCTGGTACTTTTAAGCAGTCACCATGTAAGTCTTTCTTTTGTTCGTATTTTGTTTATGGATGATTGAGTTTATATTATAATTATGTTGCCATTTTTTTTTTGTTTTTTCTTCTTCTTCTTCTTTTAGAATGATTACGAATTTAGCTTTTCCTTTTATTAGAAATTCTGATTTTCAAAGTTACTTCCTTCCCTTTATTACATAGCGATAATCTTGATATCGTAACATACATCTATACGTAGGAGCAAGACAATATATATTTCTGTAAACACCTCTAAGCTACCAATATTTGTGTTGATGTTTTTCCGATATTATTTGGATCCAGAGTCTCAGGTTTACACACATGTAGTAGTCTGACGTTTAACAGATCGAGGTGACATTACAGCATTGTTGCTCGGGCTTCTGGTTGTTAGTCGATAGAACCCTGTGTAATTACTGATTACCATGTAACAGAACAAATTAAGGTAATTCAGAGTAATATACACACAAACTGTTGTTTACGAAATATTACTGTTATTCATCATAATCCAAGATATCTCTGCTATATCGCCGTGTACGTACACCGCTTTCCCATTCGTTTATTATAATCACCACCGGAAGTTTACGTGTAGCAACGTCATTGCGCAGACTCGAAAGAAATATCCCTTCCAATCACATTGCGCCACACCGGCTTCTACACTTTGCCGGTTCACAAAATATTGTTACTGTCACGTCGAATTCCATTATTTATACCGATTTACCAGCAAAACGAAGAGGTAAGTATATTTGTAACCAGGAAAATAGTTTTTTTGGATATAATACAACTTTAATGCTAAAACAATTTCGTGTTTTGACACAAAAATGGGTCGAAATGTCCACGTGTCTTTCACCAACAGCAGTCGATCAGCTGTTTTTGACCATCTTGTTTATTTATAATTACAAAGCTGTATGATATATCAATGTATTATGTATGGCCATTTTTATACATGTTTGGTAAGTCATGAAAAACGTTACCGTCCCACCTGAGTATGTAAAATTGAAATTATGTGAGTGACATTTTATATGTTGAAAAGTATGCTTGTTAGCTTTATTTGGTGTTCCTCAGGTACACTTCACAATCACATCGTTCAGTTATCCAACGAATAGCGTGTCTATAGATGTATCAGATGAGAAATTTCGTTCACTGAGATGGGCAGGTCTATTTGGCTTATACGTTGGTGTTAATTCTTTGTCATTCAGCTAACGGAGTATCCTCCTTTTGTTAAGTTGGTGAAATATGGATTTTTTTTTCACTTTACAAAATTTTCAAAACTAATTCTCCGAATTATAATAATCACTCCTGTTGACCCGTATGAAACCATGCTAGGGATATCGCTGTGGGGAAAACGAATTACCAGTGGAAAACCGAAATGGTCAGGCAGGTCATGACCCCCTAACCTTTAACATCTGTTCGGGGAATGAGTGAATGGAAAGTGCATTACTAATACTCAACTGATATAAACATTTAGCTTCTTTATTATTGATATTTAAGTTTGTAGTGTTACATTGATAACATATCACTTAAACTAGTTTTAGTTTAGTTTTCATTCCTGTCATTCTTATTGTTACCGTCTACTATTTGATACCATATAAGTCAGCCAAATGTTCATCACAGTATGTTTGATGTACAAGCATTGATCAATTCTATGAAAAAAATGTACCAGATAGAATGATCATGTCTGCGATCATTATAGTTCTAACATGTTGGAGAGATTTGAATCCCTTCTTGATATTCTTCTGATTCCTTTTTTTGGATAAACAAAGAAACATATTTATTTGGAATTATCCATCCTAATGCTAACACTGTAGATAACGAAATTTTGATTTTCATTAAACACTATGTTTATATGTCAAGATGTCTAAAAAAATCTCTTAATTTAAATGCTCTTATACTTATATGCTCTTAACAAAATTTGAGAAATGCCCATTTTAGAACTATAGTATGTATGCTCACAAGTCTGTTCCCAATGGCCATGGCTTTGACTTTATCAAACTGACTTTAAATTTATTTGATTTCCACAAAATTAGTGCTATTTTTATTTAATAATGATTATAACCCTTCTTCTCTCTCTCGCTCTCTCGCTCTCTCTCTCTTTCTTTGTTTAGGATGTACAATGTTGTTTTTTTTATATATTTAATCCTGAGTGAGTATATGTGTAAGAGGAAATATCTTTGATAAGTGTAGGTGATATGATTTTGTATTTGTGTGTGTTAGTATTTTGTTACGAAGATTTGATTTGGTCTGTTGCTGTTTATCAGAAAACAAAATGGCTAACAGATGACCATTTTAGGTTTTGACCATGAAAATTTGAATTGCTATTTCTAGGGAAGTTCTTGATGAATCTTTTTCTGATTACATATGTAGGTTACCGTTGGCCCCTAATGTGCCATTTTGATTTTTGTGAATTATCTGAACAAACAAAATGGCAGACAGAAAACCATCTTGGATTTAAATGTTAAAGATTATTATTTTTTGTTTGTTTATTGAGAGAAATTTTCAAATTTCAGACAATGACAGATTCCAAAATTGTAATGGTTCTGTCCTTTTTTCACAGTTGCATTCCTTTGTTGAAGCTAGTTTTTCTAAAATCTCATAAAATGTTGAAATGTATCTCATTTTTTAATTGACCAGGATGATGATGCCCAGGCTGGGCCAGTTACTGGCCATCACTACAGTTCTGTGCTGCTATGTATCATTGACAGGTATGTATAAAACATTGTCTGTGTCCAAGTAGGCTGAGAGCTGGGATACGTACAGATGTCTTTGAGCTCTATCACATTTTGATTTCTCAGATATATAGAAGTATCTGTGATGTGTGTAATCAGGGTACAGTTTTGTAAATATAAAGTGATATTGAATATCTTAACAGATTTGTACGAAAGGTTTTTAGACACATGAATACCAATGTATAGACCGGCACAAAATTAAAAAACCATGAGCTATCACAAACATGGATGTTTTCAAGGACTGTGGGAGGAAACCCAGAGTACCCACATGGTTAGGCATCTGATGCGGGCATCAAACTCCAGACACTGACAGGAATGGCGAGTGTGATGTCACTGCACCAGCAGAAAACACATGGTCTTTTCTGAAATTGTTCAATGAAAAGGGTCAACTCAAATTACAGCCAGAAATATACATTGATGAATTATTTAGATAATAAAGAATTTTTGACAGATAACAAAAAATTCTCATATTGGATGCAACATATAAAACATTTAACCCTCAACTCTACTTGACATTTAATACAAATCAGCGTCTGAAAGTTTTGTCAGATGACATGTAAATTTAAGTTTAAAATGCATGGAACATTTCAAATTGCATTTCTGTTCGAGTTTCTTAAGGAATTTTACACAGCAGATTTTTTATATCAGAACTTAATTTAACCTTTGATATCAGAAATAATTTTGATTTTTCATATCAGAAACAATGTAGATTTTCAATATCAAAGATAATTCTAACTTTTGATTTCAGAAATAATTCAGACTTTTGATGTTGGAAGTAATTTTGACTTTTGATATCAAAAACAATTTGAATTTTCAATATCAGAACTTATTTTAACTTTCAAAATCAGAAAAAAATTTGACTTTTGATAACAGAGATAAATTTGACTTTTGATAACAGAGATGATTTTTAATTTTGATAACATAGATAAATTTGACTTTTGATAACAGAGATGATTTTGTATTTTGATAACCGAGATGATTTTTAATTTTGATAACAGGTGATTTATACCTTTTTGTATTTACAGTGGGATTCAATTTAGCTGTCATTGCAATAGATCTGGGCAGTGAATATACAAAGATTGCTCTTGTCAAGGTATATACTTTGATTCCAATCAATATTCCACTTAGAGACGTTGTTGTAAATTACATACTTCATTTCCTCTAAATTTCTGGCGAGTATAGGTTGGAGTTCCATTGTTGCTTTCAGTGATTAGTATTTCAGTTCTTTTCTTTTATTTTTATTTTTCATCAAACATGCCTGATATTCCTGAATCATTATTCTATAATTCCTGTAACACCGATTCAACATTTAACATCCTGTAACATTGGTTTAAATGCTGAAAATAAAGTACATTTTGTTTGTAGTTTAATGAATTTCCAAGTAGTGAAAAAAACACTTTTTTATGTTATAGCCTGGAGTCCCAATGGAAATTGTGCTGAATGAGTAAGTATTTCATTTTCTAAAATCATTTGTAAATTACACAAATGTATAAATATAAAAATAAGAGATACTTTATTTGTAGAAAATATATTAATTACAACACAGAGCCAAAAACTCAAATCAAAATGGTTAAAATCTGCACTAATACACAAATACATAACAAAATTTGTAATCGAAGTTACTTTTCATGTTTACAAAGTTTATAACAATTGAACCAGAAGCTTTAATAGACCTGGATATAGTCTATTGGCATATTCTGGAAGGGAGATAACTCTACACAGTAAAAAAGGATGAGGGTAAGATAGTGATTTCATTTTCTGTGGGACTGTATATAGATATCTGTCCTTGTCTGGTTTGTTCTCTGTGTCTGTACATTAATCTGAGACACTTAAAGTTTGTTGTGTTTTTTCAGTGAGTCCTCCAGGAAGACGGCGTCGATGGTGGCCATGAGAGATGGTGAGAGACACTATGGACAGGCGGCTGTCAATACAGTAAGTCATTGTATCAGATCAGAGGTAGGATCTCTGTCCTGGAGGTGCTTTACTGACTGGGATAGTTAAACATGTACTCAGATCATAGGTAAAATCTCTTTCCTGGAGGTGCTTTACTGACTGGGATAGTAAAACATGTACAACAAACGTAAACATGGTACAGGGTTCCACTGTTCATGGTAAAGCACAATCTCACAGTGTTCTGGTTTTGTTCTCAAAGATGTTCAGCTGTAACAACAGATTTTGTCATGGATCAGGACAGAGCTTGGCAACCAGCTACCCAACACATTACCAGCTACCCAACACATTACCAGTATCTTAACTCTTGATTTCTGATTGACACAGGGTGTCCGCTTCCCTAAAAAGGCCTTCTGGTATCTGATGCACATCGTAGGGCTGAAATATGAAGATCCACAAGTGGAGCTCTACAGGAAGCGGTTCCCATACTACAATCTTATCAAAGACGAGGACAGGGGCACAGTGTTGTTTCAGTTAGAGGAGTAAGTTTATCTTGTGAAACTGAAAAGTGGTATGACTGAAAATTCTCATCTTTTTGTCATAACTTTTAGTGATAGGTCATTAATTAAAAATATAAGAAAATTATTTTGTGAAAGGAGACCAATATATTGATTCCTGAATAGTAAAGCCAGACACTAGATTAAACTGCATCAAACAGCTGTTTGGTCCTTCTAGGACTCGTCAGTGATTCTACGTTATACAGCTGTTTCGTCCTTCTAGGACTCGTCAGTAATGAAAAGGCCTTAAAGTTTGAAGCCTAGGAGGCGACTAAGGAAAATCCAAAGTGATCAACAAAAAATTTATAATCTAGACGAGGAAGTGTAGCAGCCCTGTAATTAGATAAATCTTGTAATTTTCATAAATCAGATAAATTTAGAATAACGTCATGTACATGTTTATATTCTGAACCATGTCACTATTTGAGTGAGTTTAAATGTAGGTTATGATAAACTTTCACCTGATGATAAATATCTGGAATGACTCCGAGATCTCGGAAATAATGGCTGATTTAGATTTTTATCACTGAGATTCAATATGTAGAAGATATAAATGGAAATATTGATTTCAAAATTTATAATTATTTAGTACAAGAAACAAACTATTCAAATTATTTTGCAGTTAAAACAGGAAATCAATTATTGTTAATCAGTTAAGTATATCCAATTATTGATTTTAAAACTGGAACCAATATCCTATATCTTTTTACTTGGATATAATTTGTCTTACATATATCTTATAACAGATGGTCTTATATACTGTGACACATTTAATGCAGGACAATAAAATTTTAGCATATTTATACTTTATGGCAAATTACCACATAATTGAACCCATGTGTCCACTATGACTGTAGAATACACAACATATAGAAACTAATTAACACAACCTTAATTTAGCACAGAACTTTCAGTGCCAAAAGTACTAAAATGAACTCAACACGTAAATATATATGTTTACAGTAAGTTTAGAAATGTGTAAACATTGACCGTGTTTGTCATGAAAATTAGTTTGAGCTTGATAAGTTGAAAATTGGTAAACCCAATGTATCCCAAAAAACCTATCATTTATTAAATCAGTAACATGTTACATATTTATACAGCAGGGTTTTCCATAATTTTGTTAGTAGTAGGCTGTGTAGTGAAAGAAGGAGGCTGGCAAAGCCAGCTGATCCGAGTCGCAACACGGCGAGGTGGGGGTAGGCTGCCCTGTACATGTAGTCTGGAACTGGATTGGTGTAGGCGGCCAAATGATCAAAGTAGCCGGTCAAATTAGCAGGCGAGCGGCTTTTATGGAAAATCCTGTATACATGTAGTGACAATTTTAAAAGTTGAGTGTTAATATTATATTTCTGTAAAGATTGTTCTACGGTTGATAAAAATGAGGTAACATTCTAACATTTACTTTGGTGATTTTCAGTGACTCTACATACAGTCCTGAAGAACTAATAGCCATGCAGCTAGAGAAAGCAAAAGCATATGCTGAGACATTTGCAGGTAAAATTGTTGTTATTGCTAATCCATCTGTTTTTTTGACAATTTCATTGATCAATTGTTAACATAAATAATATAGAGAAAAATGACATCTGACAATTTAATTGGTCAATTGTTAACATAAACATATAGAGAAAAATGACATCTGACAATTTCATTGGTCAAATGTTAACATAAACATATAGGAAAAATAACAACAATTTCATTGTTAAACATACATTGGTCAAAACATAAACATATAGAGAAAAATAACATCTGACAATTTCATTGGTCAATTGTTAACATAAACATATAGAGAAAAATGACATCTGACAATTTCATTGGTCAAATGTTAACATAAACATATAGAGAAAAATAACATCTGACAATTTCATTGGTCAATTGTTAACATAAACATAGAGAAAAATACATCTGAGAAAAATAACATATAGAGAAAAATAACATCTGACAATTTCATTGGTCAATTGTTAACATAAACATATAGAGAAAAATAACATCTGACAATTTCATTGGTCAATTGTTAACATAAACATGTAGAGAAAAATGACATCTGACAATTTCATTGGTCAATTGTTAACATAAACATGTAGAGAAAAATGACATCTGACAATTTCATTGGTTGACTGATTACACTAGAATTTTAAAAAAAAAATTGATCCTGAGCTTTTTTTTCATTTGTTGGTAACCATTGAATAGAGAAAAAATAAAAATCGTTGATCAAATGATAACTATTTTTTCTAGTTGAAGTTGATTTTTGAAAGTTAATATGATGACTTACATCTGTGTTGGAGTTATGTTCCAGGATTCAATTCCTTGTGATATTGACTAGGTTGCTGTACTACAGTCACCTGAGATGGCCGACCTGTAAGTTTCTTGTTCTTGTTTCAGATCAGCCAATCAAAGATTGTGTTATTACAGTCCCAGCATTTTTCAGCCAATCACAAAGAAAAGCTATAATACAAGCTGCAGAAATGGTTGATCTCAATATTCTACAGATCCTGAGTGATAATGCTGCAGGTAGGTTTATCACAGACAGAGATATAAAACGAAGAACTACAATGAGTGCATTTGTAACAGAGATGTTCTGTTACACAACTATAACTATAGCACAATAGATTATACTGTTGGTGAATGTCTGTTTTGTCCCATTCTGATCTCATATTCTATCTCCAGATCCTCTTGTAGCTTTGGTCTTCATTTACTCCAAAACCATTCGTTTTCATTGAGCTCAGATTTTGTGGTTTAACAAAATTTTGCATTTTTGTTGGCACTTGATTTCATGAATAAATATTGTTCACAAATTCTGTTAGGAGTTTAATTCATTAAATTATATTCTTATATCATTTCATTGACATGTAAGTTGAGAGTAATCACTAATTCAGTGATGATAAAATCCCCATGAAAATGAATGACTCTCTATAAAGTATCCCGGAGTATCATAACAAATATAACACCGATTGATCACTCTGATATACGTAGCAGCATGTCATTCATGTCTGTTAAATATTTGATAAAATATTTTCTATAAAAATTATAATCAAATGCAATGTTTCTATATTTTCAGTTGCCTTGAACTATGGAGTGTTCAGAAGAAAAAACTTCAACTCCACGATGCAGTATTATATGTTTTATGACATGGGAGCGACCAGTACTACCGCCACAGTTGTAGGTAGGTGTTACAACATCTTCCCCATCTTTCCTCCTTTGTCCCCACCTTTCCTCCTTTGTCCCCACCTTTCCTCCTTTGTCCTGACCTTTCCTCCATTGTCCCCACCTTTCCTCCATTGTCCCCACCTTTCCTCCTTTGTCCCCACCTTTCCTCCATTGTCCCCACCTTTCCTCCTTTTTCCCCACCTTTCCTCCATTGTCCCCACCTTTCCTCATTTGTCCCCACCTTTCCTCTGTTGTCCCCACCTTTCCTCCTTTGTCCCCACCTTTCCTCCATTATCCCGACCTTTCCTCCTTTGTCCCCACCTTTCCTCCTTTGTCTTCACATTTCCTCCATTGTCCCGACCTTTCCTCCTTTGTCCCCACCTTTCCTCCTTTGTCCTGACCTTTCCTCCATTGTCCCCACCTTTCCTCCATTGTCCCCACCTTTCCTCCTTTGTCCCCACCTTTCCTCCATTGTCCCCACCTTTCCTCCTTTTTCCCCACCTTTCCTCCATTGTCCCCACCTTTCCTCATTTGTCCCCACCTTTCCTCTGTTGTCCCCACCTTTCCTCCTTTGTCCCCACCTTTCCTCCATTATCCCGACCTTTCCTCCTTTGTCCCCACCTTTCCTCCTTTGTCTTCACATTTCCTCCATTGTCCCTACCTTTCCTCCTTTGTCCCCACCTTTCCTCTGTTGTCCCGACCTTTCCTCTGTTGTCCCGACCTTTCCTCATTTGTCCCCACCTTGCCTCCTTTGTCCCCACCTTTCCTCCTTTGTCCCCACATTTCCTCCTTTGTCCCCACCTTCCCTGCTTTGTCCCCACCTTGCCTCCTTTGTCCCCACATTTCCTCCTTTGTCCCCACCTTTCCTCCTTTGTCCCCACCTTTCCTCCATTGTCCCCACCTTTCCTCCTTTGTCCTCACCTTTCCTCCTTTGTCCCAACCTTTCCTCCTTTGTCCCCACCTTTCCTCCTTTGTCCCCACATTTCCACCTTTGTCCCCACCTTTCCTCCTTTGTCACCACCTTTCCTCCTTTGTCCCCACCTTTCCTCCTTTGTCTCCACCTTTCCTCCTTTGTCTTCACATTTCCTCCATTGTCCCCACATTTCCTCCATTGTCCCCACCTTTCCTCCTTTGTCCCACCTTTCCTCCTTTGTCCCCACCTTTCCTCCTTTGTCCCCACCTTTCCTCATTTGTCCCCACCTTTCCTCCTTTGTCTTCACATTTCCTCCATTGTCCCCACCTTTCCTCCTTTGTCCCCACCTTTCCTCCTATGTCCCCACCTTTCCTCCTTTGTCCTATATACTCCCTTCTTCCCTCCTTCCTTCTCTTCAGTCCTTCCCTTATGTTTCAATCAAAATTTATTATTATATATTTATTGTTACACTGCTTGTTGTTTAAGTATTGGTGGATAAACTGTAGTGGAGAGGGCTTTATAAGTTGGTAAAATTTGTGTCCAATCCTATTGTACGAACTTTCTGCAATAAAATAATTATTAAACCAGATTACAACCTATTGATGCTTAGAAAATTGTTTTATATGTTTAAGATTTTTGGTGTAAATTGTGGAGTCTTCTGTAGGAGGAAATCTTGAAATGTTTTATTATAAGGTTATGGCTGGTATCATGATGTAAACAGTGACTCATAGTTTAACTTTTATTAAGAAGCATCTTTGAAATTTTGAAATAATGGAAACCTGATGAGTTTTTTATACAGGTATAGTAACAAATATGGGAAAATAAAATTGCATTAAGACAGGAGTGCCTGCACTACTCTTGGCTGAGGAAATCAGTTTAATTCACTCATTATATTTAATAACATGGAAAATAAAAATGAAAGAATGAAATTTTGTTTGTCTTTTTCCTCAGGTTATCAAATGGTTAAGATGAAGGAAGGAACCCGAGTAGAAACGAATCCTCAGCTGGTGATCAAGGGTGTAGGGTAGGTACTGATTAGGGTTGAAACCAAACCTCAGATGATGATCAAGGTGTGTGGTAGGCACTGACTAGGGTTGAAACCAAACCTCAGATGATGATCAAGGTGTGTGGTAGGTACTGCAAGGGTTGAAACCAAACCTCAGATGATGATCAAGGTGTGTGGTAGGCACTGACTAGGGTTGAAACTATACCTCAGCTGGTGATTGAGGGTGTTACATCTATGACAATAATCTTGGAAGATTAGACATTACAATGAAGATGAATTATCTCCCTTCTATTTGTTATAGACTAGAATCTTGGTAGACAAGAATTTACCATGAAGATGAATTATCTCCCTTCCTTCTATTTGTTATAGATATGACAAGAACCTTGGTGGACTTGAGGCTACCCTAAGGATGCGCGATCACCTAGCAAAATCTTTTACCAAGTCAAAGAAAACTAAGGAGGATGTGTACAAGAGTCCACGTGCCATGGGCAAACTCTTCAAGGAGGCAGAACGGGTGAAGAAAGTGCTCAGTGCCAATAATGATCATTTTGCACAGGTGAGTGACTGAATGATATCTTACTTTTAAGAAATATCTTTATTAATCATGGAATTTCACAAAAGTTAAATAAAATTGGTTTTCTTCATTAATAAATAAGAATAAAATTTCCATTTTTATGCAGATTTAGGTTTTTAGTTCTCCATTTAAATCTGTTTATTATGTTTACCTGTAGAGATCTCTGATGGTAATACCAAGCCTTTGTCTTCTGTAGGTTGAGGGACTTTTGGACAATGAAGATTTCAGGGTGAAGGTCACACGTGCTGAACTAGAAGGTATGACAATGGATCTGATGAAAAGAGTCACTAAACCAATCGAAGATGCATTGAAGATATCTCAAGTGACTTTGGTAAGTTACTAAGGAAGCTAATTAGATACTAAGGAAACTGATAAGTTACTATGGAAACTGATAAGTTACTATGGAAACTAAGTAGATAATTAGGAAACCGATAAGTTACTAAGGAAACTGGTAAATTACCAAGGCCACTGGAAAGTTATAAGGAAACTGGTAGGTTGATAAGGAAACTGGTGAGTCACTTACATTTCACATCAGATATATTTTCGCATTCATGTGCAAGAAGAGGAAATTGTGAAATTAAAATAGAGTATTTGCAAAATGTAAGTGACCTACAGTATATTTCAAATGGAGTGAAAGAATTTGGTCAGCTCGAGACTTACTGAGGACAATCAAACCTTACACGTGGGTTATGTTAATCCTGTCCACAGGACAAACTCATGTTCAATCATTTTTCACACATAGTTACAAATAAAATCAATAGCGTGTTTAAATGTTATAATGTGTCCCTACTGTCATTATTACCTGTGTCAGGTGTCATTACCCAGTGTGAGTTATCTTTCCCTGTCATAAACAGAATCACTTTGTGAAGTGTGTGAGAAATGGCTATTTTTAGCAGCTTTATTGATTGTGCCTCACCTGTTGTCTAAACATTTTGAATTTGGACATTTTGTTAGAACAAAAATCAATATATTCGATTGTCAGAGCAAAAAAAAAAGGAAAATTAATATTGTTTCAAAAATTTTGAAATTTCAGAGGATTTTACGGAAAGAAATTAGAAGAAATGATGTATGAATGTGATTTGAATGAAATTGTTAGTTGTCCTGTACTGGAAGGGATCAGACATCAGAAATAATTTATCTGAGATAAATAAGCAGGATTAATGCAGTAATGGATTTTAACCAAATTCATCTGGAACATCTTTAGGCAATATCAAAGGCCACGAAATAACATTGATTTTACTCATCAGAAAGCTGTCATAGAAGTGGACATTTTTTTTAGAGTTTTTCAGATTTTATCTTTAAAATAACTTTATTAATTTGTAGAAATGTTTTTAGAGTTTTTCAATTTCTATCTTGAAGATGAATTTGTTAGTTGATTGCTGTTTCTGTTACAGCCAGAAATCACAGAAATTATCTTGTTTGGCGGTGGGACCAGGACTCCCAAAGTGCAGACCATACTCAGCGAGTTCTTAGGACGGTAAATATACTATTGCACTGTGTACCGAACACAAACCATCACAATACCATATAACTTATATAGTGTACAGATCATCACAATACGCACAGGTAACTTATATAGTGTACAGATCATTACAATACCAGGTAACTTATATAGTGTACAGATCATCACAATACACACAGGTAACTTATATAGTGTACAGATCATCACAATACACACAGGTAACTTATCTAGTGTACAGATCATCACAATACCAGGTAATTTATATAGTGTACAGATCATCACAATACCAGGTAACTTATATAGTGTACAGATCATCACAATACACACAGGTAACTTATATTGTGTACAGATCATCACAATACACATAGGTAACTTATATAGTGTACAGATCATCACAATACACACAGGTAACTTATATAGTGTACAGATCATCACAATACACACAGGTAACTTATATTGTGTACAGATCATCACAATACACATAGGTAACTTATATAGTGTACAGATCATCACAATACACACAGGTAACTTATATAGTGTACAGATCATCACAATACACACAGGTAACTTATATAGTGTACAGATCATCACAATACCAGGTAACTTATATAGTGTACAGATCATCACAATACACACAGGTAACTTATATAGTGTACAGATCATCACAATACACACAGGTAACTTATATAGTGTACAGATCATCACAATACCAGGTAACTTATATAGTGTACAGATCATCACAATACACACAGGTAACTTATATAGTGTACAGATCATCACAATACACACAGGTAACTTATATAGTGTACAGATCATCACAATACCAGGTAACTTATATAGTGTACTTGAACTTGAATGATTTCAGCTTTAGAAAGATTCTTTCAAAGACAATAGTAAAATTGATGTCCATACATAGAAGGAAGGTCACACTTTATCCAGATTTCAACGTCTCAATAATAAATAAATTTGACACATAAGGAAGCGAAATTGATGGAAATGAAACAAGTATTTGATGTAAGGTGATGACTGATAGATAGATTATTGACAACTGTCCCGACTGATGGGCTCATGTTTTTGTAGGCAGGAGCTTGGGAAGAGTATCAACAGTGATGAAGCTGCAGCCCTTGGTGCTGTGTATCAAGCTGCTCACCTTGGTAAAGGCTTCAAAGTGAAAATGTTCGGAATAAAAGAAGGCACAATTTTCCCTATATCCGTAAGTATTGACATGACGGTAAAGCCATTCTAAGTCTTTTACGCTTTATCAGTAATTAATCGTTGACTGTGTAACCTCTGTCCAGGTTGAGTTCGCCAGGCAGACAGCAGGACAAGACGACAGTGCAGTGAAGCAGAAGACCGTGAAGAGAACCTTATTTGGTCGGATGAATCCATTTCCACAGAAAAAAGTGATGACATTTAACAAACACGTCAAAGATTTCACCTTCAATGTGACTTATAGTGACCTATCCTTCCTGTCAGAAGAAGAGGTCAGGTGAGTGTATCACTGTCTATAGAGGTATTGTAAGCCCTACAAACTTTCAGTTTTCAACAAGCCTTTGTTTAATCTGAATCATTTCCTGTTACTGTAATGTTACTTCTCAAATACAGCTTTAGTTGTTTAATTACTTCATTATATTTCATTCCCAGGTAAAGATCATGTGTTGTGTTACAGATCCATGGGCAATCCTTTGCTGGCCACCTACACTGTTACTGGTGTAGATACTGCCTACAGTAAACACGCTGAGGATGCCGACAGTAAAGGAGTGAAGGCACACTTCAGACTGGACGAGAGCGGTATACTTCACATGGATAAGGTATGTAGAACATTGTCTTAGTAAAATTAATGTTCTGAAGATCTGAGCCTACTTTGAGCACAAGGTCTTGGGGACAGAAGTATGGCTATAGTTTGTTCCAAGCCATTTAGATAGATTTTGATGCACAGCAGTAGAAACAAGAAGCTGTCATGTACATATCTGGACAACAATAGCTGAGTCAGCCACCAAACCAACACTTTATACAGTATAAGTTAGTGATCAGTTGTTGTTTATCAGCACCTGTAATTGATTGGAAATGTGTTCCCATAGTAATTAATTAGTGGCTGAAATAAGGAACTGACACTGCCTTCCATTATGATATGACGGGAAACTGAAATATTCCAACTCAGGAGGTCTAGGTGAAAGGAGAATTCATTACCACTAAGCTCCTCACCTTCCCTATTACTACTACACCCCTCAACCTTCCCTCTTACTACTACACTCCTCAACATTCCCTCTTACTACTACACTCCTCAACCTTCCCTATTACTACTACACCCCTCAACCTTTCCTCTTACTACTACACCCCTCAACCTTCCCTCTTACTACTACACCCCTCAGCCTTCCCTCTTACTACCACACCTCTCAACCTTCCCTCTTACTACTACACCCCGCAACCTTCCCTCTTACTACTACACCCCTCAACCTTTCCTCTTACTACTACACCTCTCAACCTTCCCTCTTACTACCACACCCCTCAACCTTCCCTCTTACTAATACACCCCTCAACCTTCCCTCTTACTACTACACCTCTCAACCTTCCCTCTTACTACTACACCCCGCAACCTTCCCTCTTACTACTACACCCCTCAACCTTTCCTCTTACTACTACACCTCTCAACCTTCCCTCTTACTACCACACCCCACAACCTTCCCTCTTACTACCACACCTCTCAACCTATCCTCTTACTACTACACCCCTCAACCTTCCCTCTTACTACCACACCCCTCAACCTTCCCTCTTACTACCACACCCCTCAACCTTCCCTCTTACTACCACACCCCTCAACCTTCCCTCTTACTACTACACCACTCAACCTTCCCTCTTACTACTACACCCCTCAACCTTCCCTCTTACTACTACACCCCTCAACCTTCCCTCTTACTACTACACTCCTCAACCTTCCCTCTTACTGCTTCACTCCTCAACCGTCCCCCTTACTACCACACCTCTCAACCTTCCCTCTTACTACTACACCCCGCAACCTTCCCTCTTACTACTACACCCCTCAACCTTTCCTCTTACTACTACACCTCTCAAGCTTCCCTCTTACTACCACACCCCTCAACCTTCCCTCTTACTACTACACCCCTCAACCTTGCCTCTTACTACCTAACCCCTCAACCTTCCCTCTTACTACTACACCTCTCAACATTCCCTCTAACTACTTCACCCCTCAACCTTCCCTCTTACTACCACACCTCTCAACCTATCCTCTTACTACTACACCTCTCAACCTTCCCTCTTACTACTTCACCCCTCAACCTTCCCTCTTACTACCACACCCCTCAACCTTCCCTCTTACTACCACACCCCTCAACCTTCCCTCTTACTACCACACCCCTCAACCTTCCCTCTTACTACCACACCCCTCAACCTTCCCTCTTACTACCACACCTCTCAACCTTCCCTCTTACTACTACACCTCACAACCTTCCATCTTACTACCACACCCCTCAACCTTCCCTCTTACTACTACACTCCTCAACCTTCCCTCTTACTACCACACCTCTCAACCTTCCCTCTTACTGCTTCACTCCTCAACCTTCCCTCTTACTACCACACCTCTCAACCTATCCTCTTACTACCACACCTCTCAACCTTCCCTCTTACTACCTAACCCCTCCACCTCTCAACCTTCCCTCTTACTACCACACCCCTCAACCTTCCCTCTTACTACAACACCCCTCAACCTTCCCTCTTACTACCACACCCCTCAACCTTCCCTCTTACTACCACACCTCTCAACCTTCCCTCTTACTACCACACCTCTCAACCTTCCCTCTTACTACCACACCCCTCAACCTTCCCTCTTACTACTACACCTCTCAACCTTCCCTCTAACTACCACACCCCTCAACCTTCCCTCTTACTACTACACCTCTCAACCTTCCCTCTAACTACCACACCCCTCAACCTTCCCTCTTACTGCTACACCTTTCAACCTTCCCTCTAACTACAACACCCCTCATCCTTCCCTTTAACTACTACACCCTCAATCTTCTTTTTTTAATGAGTACGTAGATAAAGAATGGATTATATCACACTTTTTAGAAAGTGAAGGGTCCACAGTGGTTCAGAGCGTTGACCTACTTCACCTTTGTGAAGATCTGAGGCGCAGGTTCAAGGCTTCCTATCTGTGACAATTTGTGTTTCCCAGGAACAGTTAAAGGTCACACTTGTAATGGTCAATGAAAATGTTAAAGTTTAAATGATTTCAGGCTGAGGTGGTGTTTGAGAGACAGGGGCCAGCAGAAGAGGAATCCACATGGTCAAGTATGTTATCTCCCTTGGAAAAAATTCTTCAGAAACAATTAATTGAAAACATGAAAAAACAAATCCCTAAATTATTGTCACTACTACATACAATGTATACCATTTACACACCCCTCTTAACGAAGAGGAAAAGAGTTACTTTGTCAATGTGTTTGCAGCCGCAATATTTTAGTCAGTTAAAGAATTAACTTAAACTCGGGTGAAGATTACACTTCCAATCCCGGGCAGTTTGTGCTTCTCAGAAAGCTGGTAAAGGGACCAATCTTTGCTGATATGGGTGTATCCTTAGGACAAGACACTTTAAACCTTATTCCTCTGGATTGCATATTATGGGCCTTCCATATGTTGTTCAGTGAAACAGCCAACAGCTAATACAAGTAGACCACACCTCAAAATGACATGGTTTTTGATAAAGAGAGTAAAAATAGTAACACAAAACTATCATTAACATTATTTTATTTTCCTGCGCCTTCCCAAACGGTGTCTGTTGGGTGTTTTTCTACCTGAATTTTACAGTAGCCTGTGTCTTTATACTTAGAAAATTGCTTTATGTTCTCTTTAAAATTGGGAAGATATTCTTGAATTTTTCTTCATTACACAAAAAAATACCTCTTTTTAGTGACAGGAAACCGCTTTTTTTCTCTGTTATACTGGGCAATTGGTCGTAAATATTTTGATTTGAACGTGTTACCAATATGTTGTTTTTTTTTCCTTTTTTTAATTTACAGAAATTTCAATATAACATCTGTTTTTTTTTCAAACAACTAGAGATTGGCAGTACACTTGGTGGGTTATTTGGATCGAGTACTGACAAAGAGACGAAGGTTGAGGATGCTGATCCTGGAACAGAGGTGAGTTACGGGTTTGGTCACATTTGTCAGTATTTACTTCAGTGCTGGTGAGTTGTGATAAGAGAAAAAAAATAGGTGAAAGCATTCTGCTTAATAAAGATTTCACATACCGTAAACTGACACAGTAACTTAACTTTCATGATTTCTTTACCCAAGATCATAGTCTATGTATGCAGATTTATGTATTTCCTGGTGACAACTTTAATAAAAAGTCTTAATTCTGTAACCATGTTCATCCAGTGACTGGATCTGGAGAAATGTGTATTTTGACGACAGATTTTGGTTTTAAAAATAGACAAACATGTCACCATGCTTGCCCTTTAGGACTTACAATCTTTGACCATAAAATGTAAATTGCTGGGATTGCCTCCCTTTGATCATAAGGCTTTATATTTTGTGTAGCATGAAGGCATGCCTAGTGTTGGGTGCCTCTTTTATATCATTGCCCTTATAAGGAATATGTATTTTATGATTGCAAAAATGACAAGGTGAAGGTACAGGCCAATTGGACATTTTTTACTTGATTTTTTCTTTTGTTTTTTTTTTCAGAAGCATGTTTATGTTGTTGGGTCCTGTTTGTGCATTTTAATTTGTTGTTTTGGTGTTTTCTAAAGTGTCCTTATTTCTAATTGTGAAAAAAAATATAAAACACAAATACCATTGAAAACTAGATACATCAGAATATGACAATAGTATACTGGCAGTCATAGAGTGCTGAGCTTTACAGAACTGGGACTAGTTTAATGTAAATCATACTACACCATCGGTCAGACATTGTGGTAGTGACTCTTTGTTCTGATGATAGCAAGTAAAAAGTGTCAAAATTCTAGCCATGTCCAGATAACTTTATTTTATCCTTCATAGATTTTGTCTAACTTTGATGCTGTCTTCACGTTTGTTTTAGGTGTCTTAGCATGTTGTTGAGACTGAGTTGTATACATCTTCATATTTTTATGAAGCTGAAATTTACCGTTTCTGTTTTCAAGTAAATACCATTTGATTTCCTGCTTTACAGTAACATTTATTTTTGAATAGCAAATAATTTGTGAACTTAAGTTAAAAAAAACACTCAAAGTCAATTAAATTATAAACACCAAAGGAAATTTTACAATATTAGCTCATGGCATCTGATGTCTGTCTTGTATCTGATGTCTGTCTTGTATCCAATGTCTGACTAACAACCTAAGTCTGCCTAGCATCTTATGTCTGTCCAGCATCCCAATGTCTGTCTAGCATCTGACCTGTGTCAAGCATCCAAAGTCTGTCCATAATCTATGTCTGTGTAGCACCTGATGTCTGTCTTACATGTCTGTCCAGCATTCATTTTCTGTCCATCATTTCGTCTGTCTATCTTCTGATGTTTTTCTAGCATCAAATGTCTGTCCATCATGTGTTATGTGTCCAGTATGTGTTATGTGACCAGTATGTGTTATGTGTCCAGTATGTGTTATGTGTCCAGTATGCGTTATGTGACCAGTATGCGTTATGTGTCCAGTATGTGTTATGTGTCCAGTATGTGTTATGTGTCCATATTTGTGACATTAATATTTCTAGATTAAGTTTGTTAAAATTAGTGACTTAGACTTTCTTTTCAGATTACAAAAATGAAAGTTTGGAAATATTTAAAGATTTGTTTTCAATCTTATAAGGGAGCCATCTTGTTGGGATAGTTGACTAGTTAATGGAAATCAGTTATCTGTAATAAGTTTTAATGAAAACGCTTAATAAAATGGGTTTTAATCTTCCATCCAAGGCTTTAGAATTGTACATTAATGACATCTGCTGGTAAATTATAGGAAAACAGAGCAAGCAATTTTACCTTGAGTCACTTGAAACTGACAAAAGTAAATCACAAATAATAGTGATTTACTATAGGGAAAAACATTTACCCAGTTTTTTATCTGCTCTTACCTGAAAAAATTTTCACCAGTTGTTGATATTGCTCTATGCATGCCCCTTATCATATATTTTTTCAATTTTACATCTAAATTTTAACCCATATTTTTGTTTTTTCTCACTTAGCAAAAAGGGAAAAAGTCAACATTTAAACTGCACATTCATAGATTTCCGTGTTCAATCTGATTGGCCACTAATTTTACTTATTTTTTATATCTTATTTCCTTTTCCTTTTTTGTTTTTCTTTATTTTTCTTTTTTTTTTTTTTCTGTGTTTGGAGCATGCTTTATTATCATTCTCATAAAATTTCTTACCAAGGGAGATAATTCTGATTCAACGGCCACTAACGGTGAAAGGGAAACAACTCAGACTGATAAATCAGATGATCGAACGGAATCTGGTGACGATAAGACATCTTTTAAGGATGACGAGGCAAAGGTTGTAAATTATAAATATCTTTCTGAAAAAGTTTTAAATAAAATAATTTATTATTGAGGCGGAGAGATGAAGTTGATTATTTACAATGTTTTATTTAGAATTAAAATATTCATCGTTTCCAATTTCACTCTGACAATGAAAATAGTTATATCATCCAGTGATTTTGTATCTGAGATAGAATCAGTAGATTCTTGCACCTTGTCAATTTTATCATTTTACCACTGAAATGTTGTGTTTTGTATTTCACTGTATTAGCATGTATCACTGTCTGTGTATTATCCTGCATGTTGTAACCACTAACTCAAAATCTCTCGTGTTTCCTTAGTATTAGGTGTTGTATGTTTATATACCACGAGGCGACTTTCTAAGTACCATATAAATCTTCATTGGATGGCTTTGGTAGATATTTAAACACAAGACCACTTTTGACGAGATTTGAGAATATAAATTTCAGAAATGAGTTAAATAACAGAAATTATTATCAGCGGATGTTTTGGATATTCCATCGCAATACCAGGAACGTTTCTGTGTCTCATGGCATCATTCCCTACCCCTTGATATCTTATTGTACAGGATATCCGGATATCTTATTGTAGAGAGTATCTTACTGGAAGGATATCTCATTGCACCAACAATTTCTACACACATCTGATTAGAATTTAGAGGTCATCTCTCACTAATAAAAGGTCAAAGGTCACATTTTTAGGTCATCTGACCCGAAGGGTCTGATGACCTATAGTCATCATGCTTCGTCCGTCGTCGTGCGCTGTGCGCCGTCCGTAAACTTTTCATTCAAACGACTTCTTCTCAATAATTGGAAGGCCCAGGCAACTAATATTTGGCCTGTAGCTTGCTTTGATGAAGCCCTACCAAGTTTGTTAAAAAGAATGACCTTGACCTTCATTCAAGGTCACAGGGGTCAAATGTCTTAAAATCTTCAAACGACTTCTTAATAACTGGAGGGCCCAGGCAACTAATATTTAGCCTGTAGCTTGCTTTGATGAAACCCTACCAAGTTTGTTCAAATGAATGACCTTGACCTTCATTCAAGGTCACAGGGGTCAAATGTCTTTAAATCTTCAAAGGACTTCTTCTCAGTAATCAAAAGGCCCAGGCAACTAAAATAAGGCCTGTAGCATGCTGGGATGAAGGACTACCAAGTTTGTTCAAATGAATGACCTTGACCCACTTTAAAGGTCACAGGGGTCTATGTTAAAATCTTTAAACAACTTCTTCTCAATAACCAAAAGGCTCAGATTGCTGATATTGTGCCTGTGGCATGCTGGGATGAAGGGCTATCAAGTTTGTTTAAATGAATGACCTTGAACAACTTTCAAGGTCACAGGGGTCAAATATGTCAAAATCTTTAAATAACTTCTTCTCAAATACTAGAAGGCCTAGGGGGCTAATACTTGGCCCATAGCATGCTGGCATGGAGCCCTACAAAGTTTGTTCAAATGAATGACCTTGGCCCACTTTCAAGGTCACAGGGGTCAAATATGTTAAAATATACAAAGGACTTCATCTCAATAAGCAAAAGTCTATGAGTGCCGATATTGGGTCTGTAGCATGCTGGGAGGAAAGGCTACCAAGTTTATTTAAATGAATGACCTTGTTTAAATAAAAAGCTCGGGTATAAGATATGTCGTAGAACAAAAGGTTGTGTTTATATTCACACCATAGTATCACTCTCCATATTCTACTATGTATCTTTGATGGTCAAGGTTAAAGGTCAAACCAGTTTGTCAAGTTCTACATTTGATAAAGTTCTAGATGTCATTGGTAAACAACAAAGGGTCAAAGGTTATGAAGCTCACCTTTTGAATTAAGAGCTTGTATCGTGGTATATAAATTTTTTTTTTTTTTTTTTTAGTTGCACTGTTTCAAGTGTTGAAGTTAGATACTGTTACTTGTAAAAAATATTTTTCTGTATGTTGTAGTGTGCCTCATGTCTAATGATAGACTTATGCTAACAATTTGATACCTTTCTTGTTAGGTCCCTGCTGAGGAAGAAGAAGAAAGCAAAAAGGAGAACGGGAATGAAAAGGAACAAAGAAAGACAGAAGGTGAAGATGAAAAAGAAGAAAAAAAAGAAGAGGAAGTGAAAGAAAAAGAGGAGGAAAAATCGGAAGAGAAAAAGGACGACAAGAAAGCTACAGAAGATGAGAAGGCTAAAGATAAGGAAGTAAATGGGACAGACAGTGAGAATGCCACGAAATCAGACGTGAGTTTTATAGCATTGATGGTAGATTTCATTTGATCGTAAGAAAATTATTGGAATTTTGATAAATAACAGATCATAGTATATGTTTTTCATTGAATTTTAAAAACGGAAAGTGACTGGCTTAATTAGCTCCCATTAGTGCATTTAGCTGCATTCGTCCAAACGGTGTTCAGTTGAAACCCATCAAGGAAGGTAAATACAGAGGACAGATGGAGCATCAATGTGTCGATGCTGTGGTTTTATTATTGGTTTACATGTTTGGGCTAGCTAGCCTCGTTCTAATGACGGAGAGCTCAGCTTACCGAAACATGTAAACCAATGATAAAACTAACGAATGTTGATATCCATCTTCTATAGCTTCTTAAATTGAAATGATGAAACAAGTTCACGATGCATGTCTGTATAAATTTTTCCATGATTTTTTAAAAACCAAATCTGAAAAGTCAACTCATAAGTTAAAAAATGATTTTTCATATTAATTTGATCTATAGGAGGACAAGAAGGCTAACAAAACTACGACCATCAAAGTGGATTTAACGTCGGAGTTCAAGACGTACGAAATCCCGCAGCTCAGTACCGACCAGCTGAAAGATAGCAAGAAAAAGTAGGACCTTCTTAGAATAAAATAAGAAATATTTAAGATTTATGAAGATTTTTTAGAAGATCGGAACAACCATGACTTTTTGGTATTGAATTCTTTCTTTAAGGAGTTGCTGAAAAATTACTTCAAAACAAGCAGTCTTGATAATGTACTAGAAAAAATTACCAGGGACTGTATTCATGAAACCGTTCTCATGCTCAAGCATGAATTTTGTGCTCAAGCCTTATGTCTTGTTTAACTTAAAGATTGATAATAATAAGACTGATTTTGCCGAATAGTTAAAAACAATTTTGAAAGGAATTCAAGTCAAGACTATATTCAAGGTTTATATTTGACATTTGTATTATTTTATATGATTTAGGTGAATTATAAAAAAAACTTGCTTGAGCACAAAATTCATGCCTGCGCATGAGAATGGTGTCATGAATACGGGCCCAGAACTACACGTTTATTGCTCAACATTTTGTTGGTAACCCTGTTCATTGTCGTGTCATTAAATTGAAGAATCCTTGTGTGCTTCCTTCTGGACCAACAAGTGGGATTAATAAGCTTAAAGCTTTTTTCGAAATTGTTGTAAAATAATTAACTTCATATTCATATTTGAATTAAAGAATTGTTATTGCTGTTTTTCATCAGATTAGCAGATCTAACGGCCAAGGACAAAGAGAAGAAACTGTTAGAGAAAGCTAAGAATGATCTGGAGGCATTTATCTTTGATATGGGTGACCGACTCTCACAACCGTTATACGAAAAGTGCTCAACTGAGACAGAGAGAGAGGAGTATAGTAAAACTCTGTCAGAATCGTCAGATTGGATGTACGAACAGGACGATGACGCCAAGAAAGAAGTAAGTGTCTCTTTTTCAGCCATCAATGGAACTTTTGTTTTTTAAATCAAATTTTTTGTTTTCTTTTTCTTTAAGGTTTAAGATATAAAACAATCCAGCTATATGATATGTGTTGAATGGAAAAGACTGTTGTATTTATCTAGAGTAAAATAATTGAGGTTTTAGTTTTTTATATGGACACAATTGCTTAGTCAAGTGTCGCATTCATCTTGTTAGTAAATTTAGGAAAAAGAAATATTGAAATAGCTTCAGTGTGAGAGTGTGTTATGTGGGTAAAAATTTCATTCATACTGAGGCCTTGGTATTATAATACTAAATGAATCTTTCCATGATTATTCAGCAGAGAACCTGTCCCAAATATTAACCTCTCCATTGCTTTTGTTGTTCATTTAAAAGTCTCTGGACATATTGTCTGGGAATAAGCCCACCCCTGACTCTGGATTTGTATGTTGGGCCACTGGGCTTATTGGCCTGTAATAAGCCCACCCCTGACTCTGGGTTTGTATGTTGGACATGTGGGCTTGTTACCCTGTAATAAGCCCACCCCTGACTCTGGGTTTGTATGTTGGACATGTGGGCTTATTGGCCTGTAATAAGCCCATCCCTGACTCTGGGTTTGTATGTTGGACATGTGGGCTTGTTGCCCTGTAATAAGCCCACCCCTGACTCTAGGTTTGTATGTTGGACCTTTGGGCTTGTTACCCTGTAATAAGCCCACCCCTGACTCTGGGTTTGTATGTTGGACATGTGGGCTTGTTACCCTGTAATAAGCCCACCCCTGACTCTGGGTTTGTATGTTGGACATGTGGGCTTGTTACCCTGTAATAAGCCCACCCCTGACTCTGGGTTTGTATGTTGGACATGTGGGCTTGTTGCCCTGTAATAAGCCCACCCCTGACTCTAGGTTTGTATGTTGGACCTTTGGGCTTGTTACCCTGTAATAAGCCCACCCCTGACTCTGGGTTTGTATGTTGGACCTGTGGGCTTGTTACCCTGTAATAAGCCCACCCCTGACTCTAGGTTTGTATGTTGGACCTGTGGGCTTGTTGCCCTGTAATAAGCCCACCCCTGACTCTAGGTTTGTATGTTGGACCTTTGGGCTTGTTACCCTGTAATAAGCCCACCCCTGACTCTAGGTTTGTATGTTGGACCTGTGGGCTTGTTACCCTGTAATAAGCCCACCCCTGACTCTGGGTTTGTATGTTGGACCTGTGAGCATGTTGCGGGATAACAAAATTAGATTGCCAATAGAAATAAAATTGTGTGACATTTCAGATTTACACAGAAAAGCTAAGGGAGCTGAAGAAGATGACGAGAGATCTAGAAATGCGGGTGACAGAGATGAAGGAACGACCTGAGGCGTTACAAGCACTTGAATCCATGTTAAACCACTCTGTGTTCTTCCTGAAGACGGTGCAGAACCTTTCTCAGGTGGAGGAACCCATCTTCACTGAAGTAGAAGTCACGACTCTCGGGAAACTCATCAACGACACAATGGTATTTACTGTTACATGTTTCAATTGTGATCACAAACCACCATGAATCAAGAGAAAATATAAGCAGCTGTTAAGTTTGTTAACAAAAGTTAATCACTTCAAAATTGATGCGTTTTAGAAACAGAAAATATTAATAGCCAGAAATATTGACTTCTGTAGCTAAAGTAACATGTGTATCCTAAAGTCCATAACCTATTATAGTACAAATCAACAATCTGATTCAGACATTAGATAAAAACACAAGCTGTTGAACAATGACCTACTGTATTCAGGGAAATTTTTCTAAAGTTTTTAACTTTTGTGCCGGTCACTCTTTTATAAATAAGGCAAATGTAACCCCAAGAAAATACTAGCCGAAATATACCACACGCCTAGAGAGAACTTCTCTGTAGCTCTGTAACCATGGTAAAATACTAGCCACAATATACCACACGGCTAGAGAGAATGTAACCCTGGTAAGATACTAGCCACAATATACCACACGCCTAGAGAGAATGTAACCCTGGTAAGATACTAGCCACAATATACCACTTGCCTAGAGAGAACTTCTCTGTAGCTCTGTAACCCTGGTAAATACTAGCCGCAATATACCACTCGGCTAGAGAGAACTTCTCTGTAGCTCTGTAACCCTGGTAAATACTAGCCACAATATACCACTCGGCTGGAGAGAACTTCTCTGCAGCTCTGTAACCCTGGTAAATACTAGCAGCAATATACCACTCGGCTAGAGAGAACTTCTCTGTAGCTCTGTAACCATGGTAAAATACTAGCCACAATATACCACTCGGCTAGAGAGAACTTCTCTGTAGCTCTGTAACCCTGGTAAAATACTAGCCACAATATACCACTCGGCTAGAGAGAACTTCTCTGTAGCTCTGTAACCATGGTAAAATACTAGCCGCAATATACCACATGCCTAGAGAGGACTTCTTTGTAGCTCTGTAACCCTGGTAAAATACTAGCGACAATATACCACACGCCTAGAGAGAACGAGAACTTCTCTTTAGCTTGAATGGTTGAGCATCAGACTAGTAACCAGAGGTCCCGGGTTCGATTCCTAGCGGAGGCATTGAAATAAATAATGACTTCTGTTACACAAATACAGTGGCTTGAGTTTTTAAGTTAAACCAGAATATGTAATAGTATAGATGGTCATATTTGTGGGGGTTTAATTTACGCAGTTTTCACAGTCAATATAGATAATGTGGAATTATATATCATATTAACATTTTTCCTGTGAAAATCTTAAGATAATATCTGTAATGCCAGCGTGAAGTATTGGCCCAACAAAATTTTACTTTACAGGATGGTTTAATGTTAAATAAAATCTGTTGTAGGATTGGAAGAATGCTACTGTGAAGGAACAGGAAAAAATGCTGCCTACAGAAAAACCCAAATTAGTGGTTCAAGACATCGGAATGAAGATCCAAGCTTTAGACAGAGAAGTGAAATATCTAATCAACAAAGCCAAAAACTTCCGACCAAAGCCGAAGTCGAAACCCAAGAAAAATACCACGTCTTCTGCTAACGATACAGCCACTAATGAAACTCAGTCAGCTGACAGTAAAACTGATTTACCGACTGATGGGGACTCAGAGGACACAGGTAAAGAAACACACACATTTTTATACATGGGTACCGTAAATGTTCTGATGATGACTCCCAGGACACAAGGACAGAAACACACACATTTTTATACATGGGTACCGTAAATGTTCTGATGATGACTCCCAGGACACAAGGACAGAAACACACATTTTTATACATGGGTACTGTAAATAATTGTTTTCATGGTTACCAAAAGTTTACTGAAAATTTGAAGCAAAATGAAATATTTCTTACAGCAACCATGAAAATATCTCAATATTAGTTTGATATTGCATGTATATATGCCTTGATTTTTGTTTCATCCTTCAAAATAGTGAAAAACGGAAGTCAGTGAAAATAACAAACTTTAACAGTAAACTCTGTTATTTGATATCCACTGTTATCACTGATTGATTCTCTTCTCAGGTACGACATCAGAGGGGACCACAACGACTCCGGGAGAAGAAAGTGAGTTTCCCACACCACCCACGGAGGAGACCACAACGACTCCGGGAGAAGAAAGTGAGTTTCCCACACCACCCACGGAGGAGACCACAACTCCAGGTGAAGAAAGTGAGCTTCCACCTCCACAAACAGAGAGTGACACTACCAAAAAGGAGGAGGAAGAAGAAATTTTACAACTAGGTCAGTGATGATGCTGGTGATGATACAAGACAAAGTACACACAATATCTAATTATGAACTGTATCAGGTTCCTGATAATGGTAGTCTTATTTAACATTTATCACCAGTGTGTATTCTAGGTCAAGATATCACAATACAACACATTTGTTGTCTGTTGGTATGTCTTCAGTTTCCTGACAGTAAATAATCGTTTGTTGTGTCTATAATTCCTTAACAGTAACTGTTTGTTGTGTCTATAATTCCTTAACAGTAACTGTTTGTTGTGTCTATAATTCCTTAACAGTAACTGTTTGTTGTCTATAATTCCTTAACAGTAACTGTTTGTTGTCTATAATTCCTTAACAGTAACTGTTTGTTGTCTATAATTACTTAACATTAACTGTTTGTTGTCTATAATTCCTTAACAGTAACTGTTTGTTGTCTATAATTCCTTAACAGTAACTGTTTGTTGTCTATAATTCCTTAACAGTAACTGTTTGTTGTGTCTGTAATTCCTTAACAGTAACTGTTTGTTGTCTATAATTCCTTAACAGTAACTGTTTGTTGTGTCTATAATTCCTTAACAGTAACTGTTTGTTGTCTATAATTCCTTAACAGTAACTGTTTGTTGTGTCTATAATTCCTTAACAGTAACTGTTTGTTGTGTCTGTAATTCCTTAACAGTAACTGTTTGTTGTCTATAATTCCTTAACAGTAACTGTTTGTTGTCTATAATTCCTTAACAGTAACTGTTTGTTGTCTATAATTCCTTAACAGTAACTGTTTGTTGTGTCTATAATTCCTTAACAGTAACTGTTTGTTGTGTCTGTAATTCCTTAACAGTAACTGTTTGTTGTGTCTATAATTCCTTAACAGTAACTGTTTGTTGTGTCTATAATTCCTTAACAGTAACTGTTTGTTGTCTATAATTCCTTAACAGTAACTGTTTGTTGTGTCTATAATTCCTTAACAGTAACTGTTTGTTGTGTCTATAATTCCTTAACAGTAACTGTTTGTTGTGTCTATAATTCCTTAACAGTAACTGTTTTTTGTGTCTATAATTCCTTAACAGTAACTGTTTGTTGTCTATAATTCCTTAACAGTAACTGTTTGTTGTCTATAATTCCTTAACAGTAACTGTTTGTTGTCTATAATTCCTTAACAGTAACTGTTTGTTGTCTATAATTCCTTAACAGTAACTGTTTGTTGTGTCTATAATTCCTTAACAGTAACTGTTTGTTGTGTCTATAATTCCTTAACAGTAACTGTTTGTTGTGTCTATAATTCCTTAACAGTAACTGTTTGTTGTGTCTATAATTCCTTAACAGTAACTGTTTGTTGTCTATAATTCCTTAACAGTAACTGTTTGTTGTGTCTATAATTCCTTAACAGTAACTGTTTGTTGTGTCTATAATTCCTTAACAGTAACTGTTTGTTGTGTCTATAATTCCTTAACAGTAACTGTTTTTTGTGTCTATAATTCCTTAACAGTAACTGTTTGTTGTCTATAATTCCTTAACAGTAACTGTTTGTTGTCTATAATTCCTTAACAGTAACTGTTTGTTGTCTATAATTCCTTAACAGTAACTGTTTGTTGTCTATAATTCCTTAACAGTAACTGTTTGTTGTGTCTATAATTCCTTAACAGTAACTGTTTGTTGTGTCTATAATTCCTTAACAGTAACTGTTTGTTGTGTCTATAATTCCTTAACAGTAACTGTTTTTTGTGTCTATAATTCCTTAACAGTAACTGTTTGTTGTCTATAATTCCTTAACAGTAACTGTTTGTTGTCTATAATTCCTTAACAGTAACTGTTTGTTGTCTATAATTCCTTAACAGTAACTGTTTGTTGTCTATAATTCCTTAACAGTAACTGTTTGTTGTCTATAATTCCTTAACAGTAACTGTTTGTTGTGTCTATAATTCCTTAACAGTAACTGTTTGTTGTCTATAATTCCTTAACAGTAACTGTTTGTTGTGTCTATAATTCCTTAACAGTAACTGTTTGTTGTCTATAATTCCTTAACAGTAACTGTTTGTTGTCTATAATTCCTTAACAGTAACTAAGTGGATTTTGTTTGTTTTTTATCAGGAGACGGTGATGATACGTCTACAACAACTACAGAAAAAGACAATACAGAATCTACGACAAGAAATAATAAACACGACGGCAGTGATTTATAACATCGGAGATACATAGATACCTATTGATTGTTATTTATAACCTGTTTCATTAATGTCATCTTATAGCCTGTTTCATTTAATGTGATCATGTACAGAGGCTGCAGTTTGGTGCAAACAGTGGATATTGATTTCAGACTTCAGACAATTGTGGATGTCACTTGAAGCTTGTTTTGTAAATCTTGAAAATTTGTATTTTTTGGTTGTCATGTGGTCAAAATTTTGTATTTTTTTTCTCCATATTAGTCCTATTGGACCGTTAAAAGATTTTTTCATGAATTTAAAGCAATTTTTCTGTAACATTAAGTTTCTTTGGTGGTATACTTCTTTTACAATTTAACACTATTCTGCGTTGTACCCTGGGGAACAAATCCTGTAAAAATCAAATCTCTGGCTTTGACAACATGTGTATTTGTTTGACCAGTTAGACCTGGGTTGTTTGTCTATGAAATAAGGACCTGAATGCTTTGCTTTCTGACAAGGTTCAACTTAGCGGTTTAAAGCCTGTATTTATGGTCCTTCCTTATTCATGTCTGAAATGATACATTAAAATGTTGGCAATCCACCTATTCTGTATATAGAGTAGAGTTTGTTTGCTTGGGTTATCTCCCCCTTAGCAGCCAGGGTCATTTTTATATGGGGTCCCCTTGTAGTAGATAGTGGCTGACTTACTGAACAACATACAGGAGGCCCATCACACGTTATGTAGAGCTTGCACCTGGGATCTCCACCTGTTGTAAAGGTCTGTACTGAGATACAGTCTCTCCTTAAACAACAGGGGATAGCTGATTTGTTAAATACAGACTTCTGGCTACAAAAACAGGTTCATTTCTATATACATTCATTTAATGAGGATGATACTACATCCCTCATGTGGAACGTTGTGGAAGCGTCCTCGGGTGGATCTATACATACATTGTACGTAGAAATAATTTCTGATCTACACAGATGTATATAAAGAAACTATTTATTCTACAGTAAGCCAGAGTTAATGACCTTGTTTATATCACTCTTGCTGTCCCGGCCCCAGATTTATAAATCTTCCTTAACTTAAGGAAATTTCCTTAGAATTGCCCATAGGAAAGCATTACATATGTGAAGGAAATTTCCTTGTATCAAATTTTTCCTTATCTTGTGTAATACTTTTCTGAAGCCTGGCAGGATTTATACAGAAAGGTCATGATGTTATAAGGAAGAAACTAAAGTCAGTTTAGACAGTATATCACTTTTGAAGATTTAATGTATTTCTCAGGTTTTACTTACAACAAATTCACTTATATATTGCATATGGAAGATGAGGTAAGAAAGGCTGAAAGTTTTCATTTTTCTATACTAAAATTGGAGACAAATGATCAAAATCTATAAATCACAGCCAGGGCCACCGCGGTGAAACGTGCTAATAGTTTCCAGATTTTCTTGATATTTTCCTATGAATCAGTTTCTGTATTGTTTAACTACTTTAACAAATCCATATTTTGTTTGGAAGAACAACATTATAGAGGAAGGAGATGATTGGGAAGTCTGTGTCTGTGTGGTGTATGACAGAAGATGTGTGTTTTATCGGAGAGTGTTGTGTGTTCATTCGCAATTTAGATTTATGCTCATTAGTTTACACTTCAAGGACAAAGATTTAAATTCAGGTCGAGTCACACAAGTCAGCACAACATAATATATTTATTCCAAGATGCTTCATTTTTTTTTTCATTTTAAAGAAGGGGAGAAATTAGTAGAACTGTTGATGGAAGAGGAAGAAATTACATGATTTCTGTTTCCCTACAACAACTTATCATGGGGATGCATTTTGAAATAAAATTTGAAAAAAAAAATGTTCTTATTGCTTGCATACAATGCTATGATGTAACAATAGTGTAAAACAACATCTTACAATGACTGGTCTGTGTAAGTAATGTGTTTTATATGAAATTTTTATATAAGCATTGCCATACCTGTTGTTACTGATACGTGTACAGGATTCTTAGATAAAAAATCCTACAGGAGTGTTGATTTAATATAATTCATATTTCTGAGGAAAATTTTTTAAAAATCAGGCAAACTCTCTAACTTCTCTTTAAACATTCCTGTCGTTCAGCGACTGTGAAGGGGATTATATGATAGTTTAGATATGGGACATTTCACCATGCTAAGCTGCTTGTTAACTCGCTGCCTAATCACAATAATTTTTTTTGTCAATTTCTTGACCTGTATGTTCAGTTAAAAAACTTGTGTTCGTAAGTTCCTGAGTGACGATATTGATCAAGTGTTGTAACATTTTCGTATTGTTTTCAACTAAATATTTTGTATATAAGGATTTGAATGTTGTATGTTTGTGTACAAGAGAGATATGATGTATAGAAGATCTAATCACATGTCTGACAAGTTTCCCAGCCTGGTGTTGTCTCTTATTTATTGTTGTAAATAAATAATTTCAATTTTTCAAGCGAGATGGATGTTGATGATGTCGTACAGGCATTGTCAGGGCTACAACAGTAACAAATGAGATTTGACAAAAATGTGAATGAAAAAGTGCAGTGCAAGTTTAATAGAATAAACTGTTGAATGACATCTAGTGTGTTATCATTGTATGTCAATCATCACAGCGTATTTACCATCTAATAATAAACATTCTTTATTGAGGATGACACATGTTTAGCCAAACAGCTGATCTTCCACATGGTCCTCTGTCTCCTATCAAGTGGTCCTAATGGGAAGGTGGTGGGTTGAGGTTCAATAACTATAACTCATTATTATATACTGATGTCTGTTTTACAAGTATATACAGGTGGTCTCTATTGAAAGGTATTTTTCATATCGATGTGGCCTTTACAGACAGTTGTCTATTATAGACAAGTGACCTTTACAGACAGTTGTCTATTATAGACAGGTGGCCTTTACAGACAGCTGTCTGTGATAAACAGGTGGTCTTTACAGACAAGTTGTCTATTATAGACAGGTGGCCTTTACAGATAGTTGTCTATTATAGACAGATGGCCTTTACAGACAGTTGTCTATTATAGACAGGTGGCCTTTACAGACAGCTGTCTGTGATAAACAGGTGGTCTTTACAGACAAGTTGTCTATTATAGACAGGTGGCCTTTACAGACAGTTGTCTATTATAGACAGGTGGCCTTTACAGACAGCTGTCTGTGATATACAGGTGGTCTTTACAGACAGTTGCCTGTTATAGACAAGTGGCCTTTACAGACAGTTGTCTGTTATAAACAGGTGACCTGACCAGGTATTTGTTTTATATTGATGATGTTTATAGACATATATTTCTTCAAATATATAAAACAGCTGGTCCTTATAGATGGGCATTTCTCCGATACAGATGAACTTTCATAGACAGGTATTTTTGCTATATGGTATAGTATGGCATAGCCAAAAGGAAAATTGAATTAAAGAATAATTTTATGGTAGTTTTCCACAACAAGAGATCCTAAAGGGATGCCCACCATTGTTTGATCTTTATTTGTTTTTTAAAGTTGGATCTTTTCACCTTCTTTTCTCTTGTCTGTTTTTGCTTTTAATGATAAGACATTTGAACATCCGTTTGAAGAAATGGTGGTAATATTCTTTTACTGCCAAATCAAAGATTGTCACCTGGAAGACATTTTATTTTGCATATCAGTCCCAACTTCAAATTTGAGAGTCCATCCTGTACTTCACAAGAAATAGGGACAACAAATTCATTGTAAAAATCCAAGATGGACATCTGTCACCCATTTTGTTTCTGATCAGACCCAAAATCTATCCTGTACTTCTTAAGAAATAGCAGTAACAAAAAGAGTTTACACACAGACAGATGTAGGGAAATATCCACCTTCAGATTGTGGGCAAAAAAGCAATAACAGTGTTCAATTGAACAGACAGTACCTGTTCATCATCTTTGTGTTTCGATTAAAATGGAACATATCCAATTTGTTAACAAGAAAAGTCTTCATGCATTTGAGAATGATAAAAAAGATTGATATGAATATTCCACTGTAGATCCTTCAGCTGTTTATTGATATGTGACAGATCACTGATGGATGAACAGCTGTGACAGATCACTGATGGATGAACAGCTGTTTATTGACATGTGACAGATCACTGATGGATGAACAGCTGTTTATTGACATGTGACAGATCACTGATGGATGAACAGCTGTGACAGATCACTGATGGATGAACAGCTGTGACAGATCACTGATGGATGAACAGCTGTTTATTGACATGTGACAGATCACTGATGGAGGATCACTGATGGATGAACAGCTGTGACAGATCACTGATGGATGAACAGCTGTTTATTGACATGTGACAGATCACTGATGGATGAACAGCTGTTTATTGACTTGTGACAGATCACTGATGGATGAACAGCTGTTTATTGATATGTGACAGATCACTGATGGATGAACAGCTGTGACAGATCACTGATGGATGAACAGCTGTTTATTGACATGTGACAGATCACTGATGGATGAACAGCTGTGACAGATCACTGATGGATGAACAGCTGTTTATTGATATGTGACAGATCACTGATGGATGAACAGCTGTGACAGATCACTGATGGATGAACAGCTGTTTATTGACATGTGACAGATCACTGATGGATAAACAGCTGTGACAGATCACTGATGGATGAACAGCTGTGACAGATCACTGATGGATGAACAGCTGTGACAGATCACTGATGGATGAACAGCTGTGACAGATCACTGATGGATGAACAGCTGTGACAGATCACTGATGGATTAACAGTTGTGACAGATCACTGATGGATGAACAGCTGTTTATTGACTTGTGACAGATCACTGATGGACGAACAGCTGTGACAGATCACTGATGGATGAACAGCTGTTTATTGACATGTGACAGATCACTGATGGATGAACAGCTGTGACAGATCACTGATGGGTGAACAGCTGTGACAGATCACTGATGGATTAACAGTTGTGACAGATCACTGATGGATGAACAGCTGTTTATTGACTTGTGACAGATCACTGATGGATGAACAGCTGTGACAGATCACTGATGGATGAACAGCTGTGACAGATCACTGATGGATGAACAGCTGTTTATTGACATGTGACAGATCACTGATGGATGAACAGCTGTGACAGATCACTGATGGATGAACAGCTGTGACAGATCACTGATGGATGAACAGCTGTTTATTGACATGTGACAGATCACTGATGGATGAACAGCTGTGACAGATCACTGATGGATGAACAGCTGTTTATTGACATGTGACAGATCACTGATGGATAAACAGCTGTGACAGATCACTGATGGATGAACAGATGATGGATGAACAGCTGTGACAGATCACTGATGGATGAACAGCTGTGACAGATCACTGATGGATTAACAGTTGTGACAGATCACTGATGGATGAACAGCTGTTTATTGACTTGTGACAGATCACTGATGGATGAACAGCTGTGACAGATCACTGATGGATGAACAGCTGTTTATTGACATGTGACAGATCACTGATGGATAAACAGCTGTGACAGATCACCGATGGATGAACAGCTGTGACAGATCACTGATGGATTAACAGTTGTGACAGATCACTGATGGATGAACAGCTGTTTATTGATATGTGACAGATCACTGATGGACGAACAGCTGTGACAGATCACTGATGGATGAACAGCTGTTTATTGACATGTGACAGATCACTGATGGATGAACAGCTGTGACAGATCACTGATGGATGAACAGCTGTGACAGATCACTGATGGATGAACAGCTGTTTATTGACATGTGACAGATCACTGATGGATGTGACAGAATGGATGAACAGCTGTGACAGTGACAGATCACTGATGGATGAACAGCTGTGACAGATCACTGATGGATGAACAGCTGTGACAGATCACTGATGGATGAACAGCTGTTTATTGACATGTTACAGATCACTGATGGATAAACAGCTGTGACAGAGCTGTGACAGATCACTGATGGATGAACAGCTGTTTATTGACTTGTGACAGATCACTGATGGATGAACAGCTGTGACAGATCACTGATGGATGAACAGCTGTGACAGATCACTGATGGATGAACAGCTGTTTATTGACTTGTGACAGATCACTGATGGATGAACAGCTGTGACAGATCACTGATGGATGAACAGCTGTTTATTGACATGTGACAGATCACTGATGGATGAACAGCTGTGACAGATCACTGATGGATGAACAGCTGTGACAGATCACTGATGGATGAACAGCTGTTTATTGACTTGTGACAGATCACTGATGGATGAACAGCTGTGACAGATCACTGATGGATGAACAGCTGTTTATTGACATGTGACAGATCACTGATGGATGAACAGCTGTGACAGATCACTGATGGATGAACAGCTGTGACAGATCACTGATGGATGAACAGCTGTGACAGATCACTGATGGATGAACAGCTGTGACAGATCACTGATGGATGGATAAACAGCTGTGACAGATCACTGATGGATGAACAGCTGTGACAGATCACTGATGGATGAACAGCTGTTTATTGACATGTGACAGATCACTGATGGATGAACAGCTGTGACAGATCACTGATGGATGAACAGCTGTGACAGATCACTGATGGATGAACAGCTGTTTATTGACATGTGACAGATCACTGATGGATGAACAGCTGTGACAGATCACTGATGGATGAACAGCTGTTTATTGACTTGTGACAGATCACTGATGGATGAACAGCTGTGACAGATCACTGATGGATGAACAGCTGTTCACTGATGGATGAACAGTTGTGACAGATCACTGATGAACAGCTGACAGATCACTGATGGATGAACAGCTGTGACAGATCACTGATGGATGAACAGCTGTTTAGATCACTGATGGATGAACAGACAGATCACTGATGGATGAACAGCTGACAGATCACTGATGGATGAACAGCTGTGACAGATCACTGATGGATGAACAGCTGTGACAGATCACTGATGGATGAACAGCTGTGACAGATCACTGATGGATGAACAGCTGTTTATTGACATGTGACAGATCACTGATGGATGAACAGCTGTGACAGATCACTGATGGATGAACAGCTGTGACAGATCACTGATGGATGAACAGCTGTTTATTGACATGTGACAGATCACTGATGGATGAACAGCTGTGACAGATCACTGATGGAAGAACAGCTGTGACAGATCACTGATGGATGAACAGCTGTTTATTGACATGTGACAGATCACTGATGGATAAACAGCTGTGACAGATCACTGATGGATGAACAGCTGTGACAGATCACTGATGGATGAACAGCTGTGACAGATCACTGATGGATGAACAGCTGTGACAGATCACTGATGGATGAACAGCTGTGACAGATCACTGATGGATGAACAGCTGTTTATTGACACAGATCACAGCTGTGACAGATGATGGATGAACAGCTGTTTATTGACAGATCACTGATGGATGAACAGCTGTTAATTGACAAGTTACAGATCACTGATGGATGAAAAGCTGTGACAGATCACTGATGGATGAACAGCTGTGACAATCAGCTGTGATGGATGAACAGCTGTTTATTGACATGTGACAGATCACTGATGGATGAACAGCTGTGACAGATCACTGATGGATGAAACAGATCACTGATGGATGAACAGCTGTGACAGATATGAACAGCTGTGACAGATCACTGATGGATGAACAGCTGTTTACAGCCTTTCAGATCATGATGGCATGCACAGGTGTTACATCACATTGTATCAAAACATTTTGATTTGAACAACAATTTTAAATACATTCATTTTATGAAAACAACTTTAAATATTGGAATCAGCCCATGTCTCTAAACATTTAGAACAATTAACCTTAAAATAACTTGAAATGTAGACAGAATGTTTATGATACTTGAACATCACATCTGACTATCATCAGAACAAGAAACTACTGTAATAATATCATTACTTCTTAAATATCTAGTATTTTGTTGAATGTAAGCTGCTGTAGCACTGCTTGAGTAGGTAGATACTTTACTAGCACTTATAATAATTACTGTAAATCACCAATATTTTATTTAGCAAATTTTTATCTCCTGCCATATTCATGAATACATGATTTCATATAACAAGGATGATACGGTACAGTACTTTATACAAAGTTGTCCATTTTGTTATTTCCACCTATTTTCTTAACTTTTACCACGACTTACAAATCAGAATCTGCAAATCAGATAAAAAAGATTATTGTTTAAAATACTATCTAATCTCCAGAAATACAATATATCTCCAGAAATACAATATATCTCCAGAAATACATTATATCTCCAGAAATACAATATATCTCCAGAAATACATTATATCTCCAGAAATACATTATATCTCCAGAAATACAATATATCTCCAGAAATACAATATATCCAGAAATACAATATATATCCAGAAATACAATATATCCAGAAATACAATATATCTCCAGAAATACATTATATCTCCAGAAATACATTATATCCAGAAATACAATATATCTCCAGACTATGCCCCTATATCCTTACTAGGAATTTTGAGGTTTATAAACTAGGTCAAATTGTCGGATATGAAAATGGTCTCTATAATAGTAAATGCAAGAAATAAAAATTCACACAGACAAAACTATAAAATTGTTGTCACATTTGAACACAGACAAAATTTGTATCACCACAAGTGCTCTGTTTTTTTCCACATTTTCATGATAGTTGTGTGAGTTATATAAAGTCTGACATGAAAACTGACATGAAAAATAAAAATCTGAAAATTTCATAATGACAAAACTATAAAACTGCTGTCCTACTTGTTGAACACATTGAACAAACTAAATTTGTATCACCACAGCTGCTTTGTTTATAGGTTTTCCTGATAGTTGTGGGTTCACAAATATGTTAATCAGTCCAGATATATTCCTAATGCTGAGCTTAGTGATACATGTTGGTATATGGTCATTGTTGATTCAGTAATATCTGTTTGGGTGTTGTCCTGGTAACGAGGGCCGTCCTGGAGCCCCCTGTGTTGGAAAATTTGCCTGAAAAAATTTATAAATCTAAATATACATACAAACCAAAATACACTAATATTGAATCTATAATTAAGTTTTGCAGTAGAAATATATTAAGGGGGGAGTATCAAATCATTAATTTTTGTGAGGAATTTACATTGATTAATTTCCTCGGTAATCTGTATCTACTAGTTCATACATTCAAGTCCCCTTAAAACAAGTATAAATTAATTTATCATTCAATCATCCCTTTTTGTAGATAATTTTTTTTTATTGTGAGGAAAACTACAAATACATACCTTACAACCCTTAAAATCATTTCTACGAGAATTGATTGGCCTTCATCTACCCATCATAGAATTTCATGGAACAAGAGGCCCATGGGCCTTAACGGTCATCTGACAAAAAGCAAGCCAAACCTAGAAAGTGGGTTGAGGTCATTCATTTGAACAAACTTGGTAGCCTCTCCTCCAAGCATCTTACAGGCCCAATATCAGCACTCATGGACTTTTGCTTGTTGAGAAGTCGTTTGTATATTTTAACATATTTGACCCCTGTGACCTTGAAAGTGGGCCAAGGTCATTCATTTGAACAAACTTTGTAGGGCTCCATGCCAGCATGCTATGGGCCAAGTATTAGCCCCCTAGGCCTTCTAGTATTTGAGAAGAAGTTATTTAAAGATTTTGACATATTTGACCCCTGCGACCTTGAAAGTTGTTCAAGGTCATTCATTTAAATAAACTTGGTAGCCTTTCCTCCCAGCATGCTACAGACCCAATATCGGCACTCATAGACTTTTGCTTATTGAGATGAAGTCCTTTGTATATTTTAACATATTTGACCCCTGTGACCTTGAAAGTGGGCCAAGGTCATTCATTTGAACAAACTTTGTAGGGCTCCATGCCAGCATGCTATGGGCCAAGTATTAGCCCCCTAGGCCTTCTAGTATTTGAGAAGAAGTTATTTAAAGATTTTGACATATTTGACCCCTGTGACCTTGAAAAATGTTCAAGGTCATTCATTTAAACAAACTTGATAGCCCTTCATCCCAGCATGCCACAGGCACAATATCAGCAATCTGAGCCTTTTGGTTATTGAGAAGAAGTTGTTTAAAGATTTTAACATATTTGACCCCTGTGACCTTTAAAGTGGGTCAAGGTCATTCATTTGAACAAACTTGGTAGTCCTTCATCCCAGCATGTCACAGGCCCAATATCTACACTCTGAGCCTTTTGGTTAATGAGAAGAAGTTGTTTAAAGATTTTAACATATTTGACCCCTGTGACCTTGAAAGTGGGTTGAGGTCATTCATTTGAATAAACTTGGTAGCCTTTCCTCCCAGCATGCTACAGACCCAATATCGGCACTCAAAGACTTTTGCTTATTGAGATGAAGTCCTTTGTATATTTTAACATATTTGACCCCTGTGACCTTGAAAGTGGGCCAAGGTCATTCATTTGAACAAACTTTGTAGGGCTCCATGCCAGCATGCTATGGGCCAAGTATTAGCCCCCTAGGCCTTCTAGTATTTGAGAAGAAGTTATTTAAAGATTTTGACATATTTGACCCCTGTGACCTTGAAAGTTGTTCAAGGTCATTCATTTAAACAAACTTGATAGCCCTTCATCCCAGCATGCCACAGGCACAATATCAGCAATCTGAGCCTTTTGGTTATTGAGAAGAAGTTGTTTAAAGATTTTAACATATTTGACCCCTGTGACCTTTAAAGTGGGTCAAGGTCATTCATTTGAACAAACTTGGTAGTCCTTCATCCCAGCATGTCACAGGCCCAATATCTACACTCTGAGCCTTTTGGTTAATGAGAAGAAGTTGTTTGAAGATTTTAACATATTTGACCCCTGTGACCTTGAAAGTGGGTCAAGGTCATTCATTTGAACAAACTTGGTATAGCTCCATGCCAGTATCCTCTGTGCCAAGTATTAGCCCCCTAGACCTTCTAGTATTTGAGAAGAAGTCGTTTGAATGAAAAGTTTACGGACGGCGCACGGCGGACGGCGCACGACGACGGACGAAGCATGATGACTATAGGTCATCGGACCCTTCGGGTCAAGATGACCTAATAACCATGAAAATTTAACCCCACAAAAAATATGATTACAGAAATCTGTAAAATTCTTCTCCTTTCAATTAGATACAGAAATGTAGCCATACCAAACTGACACATGTGTGCCCTGTGTTACAGTGTGTGTCCTGTGTTACAGTGTGTGTCCTGGTGTGTGTCCTGTGTTACAGTGTGTGTCCTGTGTTACAGTGTGTGTCCTGTGTTACAGTGTGTGTCGTGTGTTACAGTGTGTGTCCTGTGTTACAGTGTGTGTCCTGTGTTATAGTGTGTGTCCTGTGTTTACAGTGTGTGTCCTGTGTTACAATGTGTGTCCTGTGTTACAGTGTGTGTCCTGGTGTGTGTTCTGTGTTACAGTGTGTGTCCTTGTCGTGTATTACAGTGTGTGTCCTGTGTTACAGTGTGTGTCCTGTGTTACAGTGTGTGTCCTTGTCCTGTGTTACAGTGTGTGTCCTGTGTTACAGTGTGTGTCCTTGTCCTGTGGTTACAGTGTGTGTCCTGTGTTACAGTGTGTGTCCTGTGTTACAGTGTGTGTCCTGTGTTACAGTGTGTGTCCTTGTCCTGTGTTACAGTGTGTGTCCTTGTCCTGTGTTACAGTGTGTGTCCTTGTCCTGTGTTACAGTGTGTGTCCTTGTCCTGTGTTACAGTGTGTGTCCTGTGTTACAGTACTTAGAGGGTTTTTGACTGAGAAGTGTGTGTCCTGTGTTACAGTACTTACAGGGTTGTTGACTGAGAAGTGTGTGTCCTGTGTGACAGTACTTACAGGGTTGTTGACTGAGAAGTGTGTGTCCTGTGTTACAGTACTTACTGGGTTTCTGACTGAGAAGTGTGTGTCCTGTGTTACAGTACTTACAGGGTTGTTGACTGAGAAGTGTGTGTCCTTTGTTACAGTACTTACAGGGTTGTTGGCTGACAAGTGCGTGTCCTGTGTTACAGTACTTACAGGGTTTCTGACTGAGAAGTGTGTGTCCTGTGTTACAGTACTTAGGGTTGTTGGCTGAGTAGTGTGTGTCCAGAGTTACAGTACTTACAGGGTTGTTGGCTGAGAAGTGTGTGTCCTGTGTTACAGTACTTACTGGGTTTCTGACTGAGTAGTGTGTGTCCAGAGTTACAGTACTTACAGGGTTGTTGACTGAGAAGTGTGTGTCCTTTGTTACAGTACTTACAGGGTTGTTGGCTGACAAGTGTGTGTCCTGTGTTACAGTACTTACAGGGTTTCTGACTGAGAAGTGTGTGTCCTGTGTTACAGTACTTACAGGGTTGTTGGCTGACAAGTGTGTGTCCTGTGTTACAGTACTTACAGGGTTTCTGACTGAGAAGTGTGTGTCCTGTGTTACAGTACTTAGGGTTGTTGGCTGAGTAGTGTGTGTCCAGAGTTACAGTACTTACAGGGTTGTTGGCTGAGAAGTGTGTGTCCTGTGTTACAGTACTTACTGGGTTTCTGACTGAGTAGTGTGTGTCCAGAGTTACAGTACTTACAGGGTTGTTGGCTGAGAAGTGTGTGTCCTGTGTTACAGTACTTACTGGGTTTCTGACTGAGAAGTGTGTGTCCTGTGTTACAGTACTTACAGGATTGTTGGTTGGTTTGTATGCTGTGGTGGTCGGTGGCGCCTGGCCTCTGGCTGAGTATCCCGTCATTATACTTCCCTATAAATTATTTTACAAAATGTTAACTCTGATAGATATCAACATGAAGAATTATCTAACAACATTATCTGAAAAGATTCACTCACTAATATAAACACTGGTTACTGTGATCAAACTTTTTTGTGATGATATAAAAGTTGATTAAAAATTAAAAAAATCAAGAGTATCAGTGAAACATGGTCTACGAACACGAACACGACTTTACTGGCTACAAAATTTAATAAAACTGCAATAATTATGTAATGAAGAAGTTTCCGGTCCTGAATTTTACTGCAATTCTCGTAGTATGACCTATGTATACACAAAGGTTTTTTACTATCAAATTATGCAAAAAGTGTTATGGTTCTTGTACAATGCACTTCTCCTTATCCCTATCTATCATTTAGATATCTCTTATAGCTTTTGTGATATGCTCTGGACAAAATTTGGACAGAAGGACAGACAAATGGATAGTTGGACGGACAAAGCTGTGACTGTATGCTCTCACTTCCAAAGCAAAACAAATACTAACTTATTCACATCACAGTCTTAATTTAAACCCAATTTTGAAAAAAAATATGCCAAAGTATGAAAAAAAGTAAAATCTGCATGGGGACACTTAAAAAAGTACAAGGAGAAAAAGACCAGGCCCCACTTGTATAAAACATCTCAACTTGAGATTTCTTCAAGTCGAGATTTTCCTCAGCTGATATCTCCTCAAAAACGGCTTGTATAAAATTTTCTCGAGGAACAGGAGGAAGTCATTGGCTAGGATGTCCTGAAATTCCCTGAGGAATTTTCATACAAGATATTTTCAAGGAGATATAAGCTGAGGAAAATCTCGACTTGAGGAAATCTCAAGTTGAGATGTTTTATACAAGTGGGGCCAGGTGTTCAGAAAGGATAAGTGTCTTTGACTTAATCAATGATACTGGCCATGTAGATCTAGATCAATCCATATAAGGAGTGTCATGTTTCCAAATTAGAACAAGGTCAACTTTAACAGAACAACCAGGAAAACTAACGAGCTTCCAAAATGTCTGATTTCATACTGCTAAGATAATAGAATAATTCCTAATGAGGTCAATGTCAAATTATACTAAGAGGTTGTCTTGGTCGGTTTACTAACCTTGGATTGAGGTACAATCTTAGACAACAACCAAATAGTTATATTACAGGCTGGGTACCTGGTGTTTTGCAGGACATAATTGACATTCTCTAAAAAAACATCCAAAACCTCACCTTGCTTGATTGCTGTTGCTGTTGTTGCTGTTGTTGTTGCTGCTGTTGTTGTTGTTGTTGCTGCTGCTGAAGTTGAATCTGTTGATGAACAAGCCCTGCTTGTTGTCCTGGCAACGGTGCCACTCCTCTAATCTGTGACTGCTAGAAATAACATGAGAATTTTGAAAATTGTTCGTCATTTTGATTCTCAGGCACCAAGTTTCATAAAAAAAAGTGTTTAAAGACTTTCAAACATACACCAGAATACAAAGAAGAGACGGAGACAGTCAAATAAACAACTGTCACAGCGGAAGTATTTTCTTTTAAAATTTCTTCATTTACCACAAAGTGTCAGTAAATTATACAATAATTGTGAACATACCTGCTGCATTTTGTACTTTTCTTCATTGAATCCTGCCTTCTGATTAGCATGTTCTAACTGTTGCTGTAGAGGAATGGCTGCCCCGTGGCTCGGAGTCATGTAACCTGAAAGTAATCACCATTTATTTTTACCTGTGTCATATTTTCACTATTTTTCCATGTCTGAATGGTGAATATTGAATGAAGAATGATTGATAAAGAATTGTATCACCCGTTATTTCAACAGTGAAAATATGACAAGGCCATATTAAATATTACTGGTTTTAAAGCCAAATAGTAATAAGTTATTTAAAGGTCAAAGGTTGTGTAAAGTTCAATATACATAATATGTACATGCACACTGATGATAATCTTGGACACTTTCATTCCCAGCGAAAATTGTCCAGATCAGGAGTTTTCCAGATCAGGAGTTTTCCAGATCAGGAGTTTTCCAGATCAGAGTTTTCCAGATCAGAGTTTTCCAGATCAGTAGTTCAGATCAGAGTTTTCCAGATCAGGAGTTTTCCAGATCAGGAGTTTTCCAGATCAGGAGTTTTCCAGATCAGAGTTTTCCAGATCAGAGTTTTCCAGATCAGGAGTTTTCCAGATCAGGAGTTTTCCAGATTAGGAGTTTTCCAGACTGCTGAATATAGTAAACCATCTAATCTAACAACAGTTCTATCTTCACTACAGATAAGTACTCTGGGATCCCATTAGAGATGTGTGCTCAGCAGTTAACAATTTTACTCTACCCATTTCATTCCTTTTTATTGCAACATAACACTTAAATGTCACTCAATTGTGATGTTGTTTGATTAACTGATTGTTGGACACAATTTGGTGAGGTTTTGGTGAATTGAATAAGCCTAAACTCCCATATTTTTAGTGTTGTACCCCAAGGGGTCAGATAATTAGGCATGGGTGAATGGCCGCCATTTTAAATAAACAGAAATTTTTTTAAAAAATCATGGCTGTGTTTGATTTTGTGCTTAAAAGTGTTGGCGAAACTGTCTGACAACAAATAGTCACCAAAAACAACAAGTACAACAAAAGAGGGACAGGATGACCAACCTAAAATGGCTACCACTACTATGACTTTTTCACAGGTCGAACATGTGGCAAACACAAGTGCTCAGAACAATTCAGTAACTAACAATATACAGGAAATGACAAGCAATTTTTAATCCACTATGGACGTCCAATTACAAATGTGACATGACACACATTGTGCTGGTCATTATGATGGACACGACATCAGTACACAAGTGTGACATGACACACATTGTGCTGGTCGTTATGATGGACACGACATCAGTACACAAGTGTGACATGACACACATTGTGCTGGTCGTTATGATGGACACGACATCAGTACACAAGTGTGACATGACACACATTGTGCTGGTCGTTATGATGGACACGACATCAGTACACAAGTGTGACATGACACACATTCTGCTGGTCGTTATGATGGACACGACATCAGTACACAAGTGTGACATGACACACATTCTGCTGGTCGTTATGATGGACACGACATCAGTACACAAGTGTGACATGACACACATTCTGCTGGTCGTTATGATGGACACGACATCAGTACACAAGTGTGACATGACACACATTCTGCTGGTCGTTATGATGGACACGACATCAGTACACAAGTGTGACATGACACACATTCTGCTGGTCGTTATGATGGACACGACATCAGTACACAAGTGTGACATGACACACATTCTGCTGGTCGTTATGATGGACACGACATCAGTACACAAGTGTGACATGACACACATTCTGCTGGTCGTTATGATGGACACGACATCAGTACACAAGTGTGACATGACACACATTCTGCTGGTCGTTATGATGGACACGACATCAGTACACAAGTGTGACATGACACACATTCTGCTGGTCGTTATGATGGACACGACATCAGTACACAAGTGTGACATGACACACATTCTGCTGGTCGTTATGATGGACACGACATCAGTACACAAGTGTGACATGACACACATTCTGCTGGTCGTTATGATGGACACGACATCAGTACACAAGTGTGACATGACACACATTCTGCTGGTCGTTATGATGGACACGACATCAGTACACAAGTGTGACATGACACACATTCTGCTGGTCGTTATGATGGACACGACATCAGTACACAAGTGTGACATGACACACATTGTGCTGGTCGTTATGATGGACACGACATCAGTACACAAGTGTGACATGACACACATTGTGCTGGTCGTTATGATGGACACGACATCAGTACACAAGTGTGACATGACACACATTGTGCTGGTCGTTATGATGGACACGACATCAGTACACAAGTGTGACATGACACACATTGTGCTGGTCGTTATGATGGACACGACATCAGTACACAAGTGTGACATGACACACATTGTGCTGGTCGTTATGATGGACACGACATCAGTACACAAGTGTGACATGACACACATTGTGCTGGTCGTTATGATGGACACGACATCAGTACACAAGTGTGACATGACACACATTCTGCTGGTCGTTATGATGGACACGACATCAGTACACAAGTGTGACATGACACACATTGTGCTGGTCGTTATGATGGACACGACATCAGTACACAAGTGTGACATGACACACATTGTGCTGGTCGTTATGATGGACACGACATCAGTACACAAGTGTGACATGACACACATTGTGCTGGTCGTTATGATGGACACGACATCAGTACACAAGTGTGACATGACACACATTGTGCTGGTCGTTATGATGGACACGACATCAGTACACAAGTGTGACATGACACACATTGTGCTGGTCGTTATGATGGACACGACATCAGTACACAAGTGTGACATGACACACATTGTGCTGGTCGTTATGATGGACACGACATCAGTACACAAGTGTGACATGACACACATTGTGCTGGTCGTTATGATGGACACGACATCAGTACACAAGTGTGACATGACACACATTCTGCTGGTCGTTATGATGGACACGACATCAGTACACAAGTGTGACATGACACACATTGTGCTGGTCGTTATGATGGACACGACATCAGTACACAAGTGTGACATGACACACATTGTGCTGGTCGTTATGATGGACACGACATCAGTACACAAGTGTGACATGACACACATTGTGCTGGTCGTTATGATGGACACGACATCAGTACACAAGTGTGACATGACACACATTGTGCTGGTCGTTATGATGGACACGACATCAGTACACAAGTGTGACATGACACACATTGTGCTGGTCGTTATGATGGACACGACATCAGTACACAAGTGTGACATGACACACATTCTGCTGGTCGTTATGATGGACACGACATCAGTACACAAGTGTGACATGACACACATTGTGCTGGTCGTTATGATGGACACGACATCAGTACACAAGTGTGACATGACACACATTGTGCTGGTCGTTATGATGGACACGACATCAGTACACAAGTGTGACATGACACACATTGTGCTGGTCGTTATGATGGACACGACATCAGTACACAAGTGTGACATGACACACATTGTGCTGGTCGTTATGATGGACACGACATCAGTACACAAGTGTGACATGACACACATTGTGCTGGTCGTTATGATGGACACGACATCAGTACACAAGTGTGACATGACACACATTGTGCTGGTCGTTATGATGGACACGACATCAGTACACAAGTGTGACATGACACACATTCTGCTGGTCGTTATGATGGACACGACATCAGTACACAAGTGTGACATGACACACATTCTGCTGGTCGTTATGATGGACACGACATCAGTACACAAGTGTGACATGACACACATTCTGCTGGTCGTTATGATGGACACGACATCAGTACACAAGTGTGACATGACACACATTCTGCTGGTCGTTATGATGGACACGACATCAGTACACAAGTGATGATGATGAGTCCATGGACATCTGTAAGCAGATTGATGAATTTTTAAAATTGCCAGAAAAGGACAATGGTGATATAAATGTATCTAAAATGGGACATAAAGCTAAGGATAAAGACGATGATCTGCCAGAGTGCATTACAGAGCTGGTTCAGGATTTCAGTCAGGAGGAAAACACTAAACCAAAAAGTAGCAAACCTGTTCACGGACATTTTAACAAAAAAATGTCCAAAAATCTAGATAAATTTGGATGCCTTATCCTGGGCCAGAGCATATTGAGAACTTGCAAACACCTCATGTAAATCCAAAGATAAGGCTCAGGCTTAAGTCTGATATGAAATGTCACGATATCTGTGTGCAGAAGGCACAAAGGAGGATCAGCATAGGACTTATGTTCGTCTTCAAATGTTGACAGACCCAAAGACAAAACAGTGAATTTCAAAACAAATTTGGATGAAATGCTGAAATTAGTGCTCAGCAGCTGAACACTGACAGGCAGTGCCTCACAGGAGATCAGTCAATGTGAACACTGACAAGCAGTGCCTCACAGGAGATCAGCCAATGTGAACACTGGCGAGCAGTGCCTCACAAGAGATCAGCCAATGTGAACGCCGACGGGCAGTGCCTCACAGGAGATCAGCCAATGTGAACACTGACGGGCTGTGCCTCACAGGAGATCAGCCAATGTGAACACTGACGGGCAGTGCCTCACAGGAGATCAGCCAATGTGAACACTGACGGGCAGTGCCTCACAGGAGATCAGCCAATGTGAACACTGACGGGCAGTGCCTCACAGGAGATCAGCCAATGTGAACACTGACGGGCAGTGCCTCACAGGAGATCAGCCAATGTGAACACTGACGGGCAGTGCCTCACAGGAGATCAGCCAATGTGAACACTGACGGGCAGTGCCTCACAGGAGATCAGCCAATGTGAACACTGACGGGCAGTGCCTCACAGGAGATCAGCCAATGTGAACACTGACGGGCAGTGCCTCACAGGAGATCAGCCAATGTGAACACTGACGGGCAGTGCCTCACAGGAGATCAGCCAATGTGAACACTGACGGGCAGTGCCTCACAGGAGATCAGCCAATGTGAACACTGACGGGCAGTGCCTCACAGGAGATCAGCCAATGTGAACACTGACGGGCAGTGCCTCACAGGAGATCAGCCAATGTGAACACTGACGGGCAGTGCCTCACAGGAGATCAGCCAATGTGAACACTGACGGGCAGTGCCTCACAGGAGATCAGCCAATGTGAACACTGACGGGCAGTGCCTCACAGGAGATCAGCCAATGTGAACACTGACGGGCAGTGCCTCACAGGAGATCAGCCAATGTGAACACTGACGGGCAGTGCCTCACAGGAGATCAGCCAATGTGAACACTGACGGGCAGTGCCTCACAGGAGATCAGCCAATGTGAACACTGACGGGCAGTGCCTCACAGGAGATCAGCCAATGTGAACACTGACGGGCAGTGCCTCACAGGAGATCAGCCAATGTGAACACTGACGGGCAGTGCCTCACAGGAGATCAGCCAATGTGAACACTGACGGGCAGTGCCTAATGGGAGATCAGCCAATGTGAACACTGACGGGCAGTGCCTCACAGGAGATCAGCCAATGTGAACACTGACGGGCAGTGCCTCACAGGAGATCAGCCAATGTGAACACTGACGGGCAGTGCCTCACAGGAGATCAGCCAATGTGAACACTGACGGGCAGTGCCTCACAGGAGATCAGCCAATGTGAACACCGACGGGCAGTGCCTCACAGGAGATCAGCCAATGTGAACACTGACGGGCAGTGCCTCACAGGAGATCAGCCAATGTGAACACTGACGGGCAGTGCCTCACAGGAGATCAGCCAATGTGAACACTGACGGGCAGTGCCTCACAGGAGATCAGCCAATGTGAACACTGACGGGCAGTGCCTCACAGGAGATCAGCCAATGTGAACACTGACGGGCAGTGCCTCACAGGAGATCAGCCAATGTGAACACTGACGGGCAGTGCCTCACAGGAGATCAGCCAATGTGAACACTGACGGGCAGTGCCTCACAGGAGATCAGCCAATGTGAACACTGACGGGCAGTGCCTCACAGGAGATCAGCCAATGTGAACACTGACGGGCAGTGCCTCACATGGGAGATCAGCCAATGTGAACACTGACGGGCAGTGCCTCACAGGAGATCAGCCAATGTGAACACTGACGGGCAGTGCCTCACAGGAGATCAGCCAATGTGAACACTGACGGGCAGTGCCTCACAGGAGATCAGCCAATGTGAACACTGACGGGCAGTGCCTCACAGGAGATCAGCCAATGTGAACACTGACGGGCAGTGCCTCACAGGAGATCAGCCAATGTGAACACTGACGGGCAGTGCCTCACAGGAGATCAGCCAATGTGAACACTGACGGGCAGTGCCTCACAGGAGATCAGCCAATGTGAACACTGACGGGCAGTGCCTCACAGGAGATCAGCCAATGTGAACACTGACGGGCAGTGCCTCACAGGAGATCAGCCAATGTGAACACTGACTGACGGGCAGTGCCTCACAGGAGATCAGCCAATGTGAACACTGACGGGCAGTGCCTCACAGGAGATCAGCCAATGTGAACACTGACGGGCAGTGCCTCACAGGAGATCAGCCAATGTGAACACTGACGGGCAGTGCCTCACAGGAGATCAGGCAGTGCCTCACAGGAGATCAGCCAATGTTAACACTGACGGGCAGTGCCTCTCTGGAGATCAGCCAATGTGAACACTGACGGGCAGTGCCTCACAGGAGATCAGCCAATGTGAACACGGACGGGCAGTGCCTAATGGGAGATCAGCCAATGTGAACACTGACGGGCAGTGCCTCACAGGAGATCAGCCAATGTGAACACTGACGGGCAGTGCCTAATGGGAGATCAGCCAATGTGAACACTGGCGAGCAGTGCCTCACAAGAGATCAGCCAATGTGAACGCCGACGGGCAGTGCCTCACAGGAGATCAGCCAATGTGAACACTGACGGGCTGTGCCTCACAGGAGATCAGCCAATGTGAACACCGACGGGCAGTGCCTCACAGGAGATCAGCCAATGTGAACACTGACGGGCAGTGCCTCACAGGAGATCAGCCAATGTGAACACTGACGGGCAGTGCCTCACAGGAGATCAGCCAATGTGAACACTGACGGGCAGTGCCTCACAGGAGATCAGCCAATGTGAACACTGACGGGCAGTGCCTCACAGGAGATCAGCCAATGTGAACACGGACGGGCAGTGCCTCACAGGAGATCAGCCAATGTGAACACTGACGGGCAGTGCCTCACAGGAGATCAGCCAATGTGAACACTGACGGGCAGTGCCTCACAGGAGATCAGCCAATGTGAACACTGACGGGCAGTGCCTCACAGGAGATCAGCCAATGTGAACACTGACGGACAGTGCCTAATGGGAGAATTCGGCCAGATCTGAACAATCAATAAACATCATTGTGTTCAAACACAATCCAATAACAACACAGTTGTTTAAAAGAATAATTCTGACCACCTTTATCGTTTCAACAGGTTTACACGAATGAAGCCAAAGTCATACCAGAGTTACCTCCATTGATTAAATAGTAACAAAGCCATCAATTTGATGCGGTTGGTTGTTTTCAGAATGTTTATTTGATTTTACGGTTACCTCTAACACAAAAATCACTGGTAAATTCCTTGGTGATGATCTAGTAGCAGTTATCATGACTACATGGTGAGTTTTCTGGAATTTTTACATCAAGATTATGGCAGATATAGTGTATTTTGACCAATCAAAATACTGGGATTACTTTACCTCCTGATTGCTGCACTCTCTGTACAGGATACCCTGGGTATGCATCAGGGTTAATTTGCTTGGGTTGTTGATGGGTGGCATAGTGATTAGGGTAGGCAGTGAAAGCTGATTGGCTGCCTGAACCACTATATTTTCCAGCTGGTGATTTGCTACTCGTGTAACTGGGGGTGGCTCCAGCTGCGGCCTGTTGATACGCATGACTAGCTGCCTGTTGATTTGCATATGATACTTGTGTAGGCTGGCCTTGTTGAAAGTTTCCAGACTCTGGAATTATACAGAGAATACAGAAACACATCAGTGGAATTATACAGAGAATACAGAGACACATCAGTGGAATTATACAGAGAATACAGAGACACATCAGTGGAATTATACAGAGACACATCAGTGGAATTATACAGAGACACATCAGTGGAATTATACAGAGAATACAGAGACACATCAGTGGAATTATACAGAGAATACAGAGACACATCAGTGGAATTATACAGAGAATACAGAGACACATCGGTGGAATTATACAGAGAATACAGAGACACATCAGTGGAATTATACAGAGAATACAGAGACACATCGGTGGAATTATACAGAGAATACAGAGACACATCAGTGGAATTATACGGAGAATACAGAGACACATCAGTGGAATTATACAGAGAATACAGAGACACATCAGGGGAATTATACAGAGAATACAGAGACACATCAGTGGAATTATACAGAGAATACAGAGACACATCAGTGGAATTACCGTAAATTTGCGGGTATAGTGCGCAGGTACTTTTTTGGGGTCAGATTAAAAAAAAAATTCTTCAGAAAGATTAATTGCTTACTGGTTACCGCGATGAAACAGTTGTGGTTTGATCCATTGATAATTAGGAAACCACAATCATCATGACCCTAACATATTTAATTACCTTATGTAAACAAATTCACACAGGTGCCTGACTTAACAAGCATGAAAGGCTTGGCTAATTGGATAATTAACTGTTCTTAACAGGTAACACATTGAGTATGAGGAGATTGATGACACCCGGCTTCAGCTGAACGCGTACTATTGCTAAGAAAACGATGTTGTTTTAACTGTCTGAAAAGTTTCAATCATACCTTGTCCCCATATCTGTACCTACCGCGGTATCCGAAGGTACTTAATTATAGATTGTTTACACCGACTTCGACATGGTGAAACTGCAAACACCATTTGACTGCGCCGAGAGACTTGAATTTCGTGCCGCCAGTCGCCACTTCGACATTCCAGAGTGAAATATCAAGGCACGGAAGAAAGAAAATAACCGTCTAAAGTCCCAACCACTGACCAGTAGGGCTGACATAGGTGCGACAGCGAAACACCCAGAGATGGAGAGAGAGCTGTTCAACTTTGTATGCGATCGACAAGATGTCTGCATCGCTGCCAGTACAATAGAATTGCGCGTGCCGGCCATGCAGATCAAGAGAGGTCATAAGGTCACCAACTTTAGGCATCGATGGGATGGGCTGTCCGATTTATGAACAGAACGACAATCGCCCAAAAACTTCCGGACTCATTGAATTCCACAGATACATCATTCAAAATGAGGCAGAAATTCAGACACTACTATAGCCCCGACCAATAGTAAGACCGTCACTATTCGAATGACGGGAAGCGGAAAAAAATAGATTCATGGTAATGCTAGCGTGAATGGCCGATGATTAAAACATTCGAAATTTATTTTATTTTATTTATGTTGTTGTTTTTATCTTCAAACTATCATACAAGACTGACGACTTTTACATTAACTATGTGAAGGGAGGTAATCCAATATGGCGGACGCAGAACTCGGGAATGATAACCCCAAGAATAGCATGTTCCTGCGTATAATGTGCACCCCCTTTTTGACACGACAGTTTTAGCTTGAAAAAGTGTGCACTATACGCGAAAATTTACGGTATACAGAGACACATTAGTGATAATATCAGTGAAAATGTAGTCATTCCAATCATGTACTGATTACATGTTCACCAGTAAAATACCTGCAATAATTAATATCAAATTGACAAAAGTTTGTAAATGTATATAACTGATGAAAAATTTAATACTTTTGCAGACTTACACAAATAAAAACAGAGAACAAAGATTATCTTATAAATCTGATGATCAACAAGAGGCCCAAAGGCATTATTGGTCATCTGAGTCAATGCTTCTTCTAACATGTTATAAATATTATTTCGTTAAAAAAGTACCTACATTGTAAACACAATGCAAATGTAAACTGTGCAAAACATTAACTGCAGGCCAATGCTAAGGCTTCTTACCAAGTCTGAATGAAAAGTTCAATTAAACTCAAAAATTTAATTTTCCTATATAAAATCTTCCAAACTTCAGTCAATTTGACCCATTTTTCGTCCTGCCCATCACCCCTGGGGGTCACAAGTTCAATAGGTGCATCTCAGCTTATACTTATAATTCTAACAAAGTTTGAACTATGTCGTACAGAAAAATAAATTATATTCAAAAATGTGATTTTCCTATATAAATTACAGTTCACTTTATCCCCTCCCCTGGGGGTATTGTTAGACCCTGGGGTCATGAAATTTACAATTTTGATTAAGCTTCTGAATGCCTTTCCACCCATGAAGAGTATTTGATTCTACCATAACTGAGATTTCAGAAGAGGATTTTTTCAAGATTCAATCAATTTTATGCTTTTTGGCCCTGCCCCTCAGCCCCTGGGGATTGGGGACAATATAAGAGTTTTCCAGAAGAAGTCAGTAATGTTAGGTTCCAATGCAAGACGTCGGACATAAGGCGATCGCAATGTGTCACCCTGAGACTTTGTCTCTGGTGACCAAAAACGCAGGATACATAAAAATAAGAATGTAATGCTTCAGTAACACCAAATAATATTTCACATACACAGCAAACTCGGGAAAGACATCAAAAGATTAGCCACATGAGTGAAATATATTTCGTTATTAATGAAGTCATAGTTAAAGAGTATCTATGTTCTAAAACTGCATTTCTCAAGGCTACACTTTATATCCCCAAAATGTAATTCTGTATTTATACACAGAGTTACACCTGACAGGGTGGAGAGATAAACTTCTATAAAGAGTGAAATAACCTGAGGTTTATAACAGAAATCTTCTTACTGTAGTCTGCCTGGGCGGGGTGTGAGAAGCCTGGATGTTTATTGGCTACTGCCGTGGCGATCATCTTTGGCTCTGGGTATGGTTGATAAACTGTTGATGGAGGAGGAGATGGACTTCTGGCTCGCTTCAGGTTCATCTGCTGTAAACCAATTGATGAGCGTGTCAACATTGCTGAGAAATAGTCCAATGGATAGAATCTCACAATATGTCTGGTTGTAAGACCATTAATTAAAATTGATCAGTCAGTAATGTGTTTATTTTTCAAAATGTAATAAGTTTGGTGAGGAAACAGAATAAATGGAATAAGTATATAATGTGAAGTTAGAACAGGATCATCTGAGATCCTCTACACTGAACTACACAGCAATAACATTAAATAAGTATTTGATGTGAAGTTAGAACAGGATCATCTGAGATCCTCTACACTGAACTACACAGCAATAACATTAAATAAGTATTTGATGTGAAGTTAGAACAGGATCATCTGAGATCCTCTACACTGAACTACACAGCAATAACATTAAATAAGTATTTGATGTGAAGTTAGAACAGGATCATCTGAGATCCTCTACACTGAACTACACAGCAATAACATTAAATAAGTATTTGATGTGAAGTTAGAACAGGATCATCTGAGATCCTCTACACTGAACTACACAGCAATAACATTAAATAAGTATTTGATGTGAAGTTAGAACAGGATCATCTGAGATCCTCTACACTGAACTACACAGCAATAACATTAAATAAGTATTTGATGTGAAGTTAGAACAGGATCATCTGAGATCCTCTACACTGAACTACACAGCAATAACATTAAATAAGTATTTGATGTGAAGTTAGAACAGGATCATCTGAGATCCTCTACACTGAACTACACAGCAATAACATTAAATAAATCTCCAGTTTGTATAGAATTCCTATTGTATTATGATGATATAAAAGATCTTAATCTTCCCGATTCTTATCTTAGATATTGTTGAAGAAATTTACTGTTGGTGCTGAGATCACTGGGAAGTTGTTCCATCATTTGACTTTGCGCAGACTATAACATTTTTTCCTGATATCTGGTTTACAAAACTGTGGAAGTAGCTTATTTCTTGTCTTTGGACCAAGTGGTTACAGGGTTAATTATGAGCAAAATAGCTTAAACACAACACCACAAGCCCCTCCTATGTTGGACAACAACAAACCTCAAAATTCATCATAACAGGCTGTGTGGGTCTGTAGACACTGTAGGGACTACAGAACAGGCTGTGTGGGTCTGTAGGGACTACAGAACAGGCTGTGTGGGTCTGTAGACACTGTGGAGACTACAGAACAGACTATGTGGGTCTGTAGACACTGTAGGGACTACAGAACAGGCTGTGTGGGTCTGTAGACACTGTAGGGACTACAGAACAGACTATGTGGGTCTGTAGACACTGTAGGGACTACAGAACAGGCTGTTTGGGTCTGTAGACACTGTAGGGACTACAGAACAGACTATGTGGGTCTGTAGACACTGTAGGGACTACAGAACAGGCTGTTTGGGTCTGTAGACACTGTAGGGACTACAGAACAGACTATGTGGGTCTGTAGACACTGTAGGGACTACAGAACAGGCTGTGTGGGTCTGTAGACACTGTAGGGACTACAGAACTCTTCATTACAAGTGTATTTGTTTGCTATACCTACATGCATCATAGCAGGCTGTGTTGGTCTGTACAAGGTTGGTCGACCGTGCTGCATTAACATCGGGTGGTTGGTGGCCAGGTTGGCATGGTGTGGGTATGCTTGTTGTAGACTCAATAACTCACTGCAATGTACCAAACATTGTTGAATGACAGATCTCTTTTGAAGGGTTTAGTGTCCTATACACCTGGCTAAAAAAACTTTTTTATCCTGTATCTGGTGCTTTCTTTGTTTGAATACCTTTGCATTTTTTAAATATTCAGCAGTTGTATTTTAGAATGTGTCTTTATTCAGATGAATTCTTAATTCTGCTGTATTCATTATCTACGCTTTAATTCTGCTGTATTCATTATCTACGCTTTAATTCTGCTGTATTCATTATCTATGCTTTAATTCTGCTGTATTCATTATCTACGCTTTAATTCTGTGGTCCTCATTATCTACGCTTTAATTCTGCTGTATTCATTATCTACGCTTTAATTCTGTGGTCCTCATTATCTACACTTTAATTCTGCTGTATTCATTATTTAATTCTGTGGTCCTCATCTAATTCTGCTGTATTCATTATCTACGCTTTAATTCTGTGGTCCTCATTATCTACGCTTTAATTCTGCTGTATTCATTATCTACGCTTTAATTCTGCTGTATTCATTATCTACTCTTTAATTCTGTGGTCCTCATTATCTACGCTTTAATTCTGCTGTATTCATTATCTACGCTTTAATTCTGCTGTATTCATTATCTACGCTGTATTCATTATCTACGCTTTAATTCTGCTGTATTCATTATCTACGCTTTAATTCTGCTGTATTCATTATCTACTCTTTAATTCTGCTGTATTCATTATCTACTCTTTAATTCTGCTGTATTCATTATCTACGCTTTAATTCTGCTGTATTCATTATCTACTCTTTAATTCTGTGGTCCTCATTATCTACGCTTTAATTCTGCTGTATTCATTATCTACACTTTAATTCTGCTGTATTCATTATCTACGCTTTAATTCTGCTGTATTCATTATCTACGCTTTAATTCTGCTGTATTCATTATTTATGCTTTAATTCACAATGATGATTCTTTGTCAATTTTGCTTCAATCAGAAAAGACACGAAAGAAAGGTGGTGGACAGCAACAGAATGCCTATAAATTGTACCAAAATGTTGTTGGTAAATATGAACAGTTAAGTATTTTCTAAATCTAATTAACTTCAATAGAAATGCAAGATGCTCTTCTAGTAACATTAGTCTTCCTGGAACTCTAGTACAGATTTCCCAGTAGATTACCTATTGGCTTTCATTACATTCAGAATACATTTTACTATTTTCTTTTTTATGCTGACCTTTGTTCCTTTAGCTGAGCACGTTTCCTTGTCTCATCCTCCTGATGCAGCACTTTCTTTAGCTGGGAGAACAATTCATGTTTCTCTTGTTTTAAGGAGTCCAATTTCTTGTCCATAGTTTGGACCTAAAAAGTGTAGCTAATGTTTAAAAATGTATCATTAATCCTACTCTGAATCCATATATTTTCCATCACTATGTGGGTATCCGAACTGTAGGTCTATGTGTAAAGTGAAATTTTTGTAACTGGTTCAAATTTTCATAAGTTTTCCATAAACTTAATCGCTTAAAAAAAAATAATTTTCAAAATAAAACATTTTCCATGGGGCTCAAAACGGGTTACCTGGTAACTTTTGTCTATGGCTAGTGTTGTGACCCATAAGCAAAATTATTTATCATAATACATCAATCTGACCAGTTTTAACAAATCACATGATTAAGAATATTTCCAATTTTGTTTGCTTTATTTTTGATCATTTCACTAACCACTACCAGTCTTTGAACAACCAGGGCCTGATGTCTTAATATGGATAGAAAGATATTTCCTAGAGAATACCCAACATTATTACACAGATGACCCCATATACTGTTTGATGTCCAAACTCTTAAGTGAACCCTGCCATGACATGTTTCAGGGGTGCAGAGAGCTAAAGTGATTGTAACTAGAGTATCAAGGATGTGCTTTGTGGACTCTATCAATGTTAAAGTATTATGATATTAACATATCCATCCGAAATATTATAATTTCTAGACAAACAATATTTCCCCGTCATCATCACCTGTTCTTTTGTTTGCTCCAATGTCAGACTATCTTCCTGCTCTTTCCTTCTTCTCTGTTCTTGCTCTTTCTTTTGTCTTTCAATTTGGGCATCTTGTTCAAGCTCTGTAATACATTAAAACATTCCTTGAGGTACAATACACACCAATCACATCATATCTTTGGTTCTAGACAGTTTTACCAACAGACTTTATCAATGCTAGATGCTTGTTTGCATAGATTGTAACTCCTTGAATTTTGAGGATAAATGTCTCGTATTTATATGAAAGTTAAGGAATCTTCCTAAAGTTCACTCAAAATGTTGACTCCATCACTAGTTGTACTGATAGTTCACTTCCAACTTGTCAAGTTTGCAATGAGAAGCAAAATACATCCTTAGACAAAAACAGACAGGGGGAGTTAATGTTTGAGGAGTTCAAGATTCACTTAGGGATATGTTTCATACTGTTATAATAGGAAGGATTAAAGAAAAACATCCTACCACTGCTGGGTCTGAACTAGCGACCATTCAGTCTCTAGTCTGACACTCTTCTGCTTGACTTAAGGGAAACTCCTATTAGCCAATGCTAGTAAGACAACCTCTGAACTTTTACACGTTAATATAAATTAACACAGAAACATCACATGACCAACACTATAGTTTTTACCTTGTTTCTTCCTCTCCCGTTCCTTAATAATGTGACGTTTCAGCGCCTGGTACATTGCTTTTGTCATCTTTGGTCTTTCTATTAGTGCTGGCATTTTGACCTCAAAAATGTGTATCCCAATATAAACATAAAACAAATCTGACCAGCAGCTGGCAGGGAAACAAAATTTAACCAGTCACTGGAAAAGAAATAGAAAGAAGCGTGTACTAACCACAAAAATGTTGCTGGTAGTGGCTTATGCAATAGAAACAGCGTAAAATGCAGTGCCTTGCTTATTCTTAGTAAAATAACTTAAATATCACCGATAGCAAATGATTGCCGTTATTATGTTCAATATTGCTCGTGCCTATTTGATCATCTTGATAAATCGTTATCAGTTCCTCTCAATTTACAGATAAATCAAAGGTTACCCCTGTCATTAACTGTCTTCATTCCTTGCGTCAAATAGATGTCTAAATTATTTGCATCCTCCATTTGCAAAGACTCCAGAGATCTTGTGAAACAAACGCTCTTATAACCGTGACGGTGCAAGGTGCCCGTCTTCGTCTTTCAAACGCTCTAATTTCAGTGAAACTTGAAAATGGACGGTAACCAGGTTAGGGGAAAAACGTCGTATCGCCAATTTGAATATTGTTCCTTCTGTCGTACTAACCACAAGAAAGGAAAGAAACATTTGTATTCAACGAAACACCGGACAATTATTCAGAACATTTTGGACAAAACTCGGAAGAAGGTGATTTACTGAACACCGTGAACAATAGTCACGACCATTAATATCGAAAGTTTCTGTTTTTTAAATGATAGTTTAACAGGTTATATTATATATTATTTATATATATTATTTCCGGTGAATTGGTTGAATTTCGTCATTGTTATTTCTTGTTCCGATTGTGAGACATGAAATTTCCTTAATTCATGATTAAAACACATCATATCTCACTTGCTTCCACCACACAATTCTCATCCATAGCAGGTTATTTATATTTTTGGCATGTAAACACCATGCTGAAATCACACTAGTGGCCTAAATCTGCATCAAAGGGATGCTTATCTGCAACCGACACAGTGAGTGAATGACGCAATATTTGTAGTGTAGATTGATGTCATCAGATATGTTGATGGTTTTCAATGTAATTTATTAATCATGATGTTGATGTTTGTAGATAATAGCAGCTACAGATACCCTGACTGCCCCTGAAGTAGAACCCTTAGGAAGATCAGACATGAAGCAGAACTTTTGGTGTTACTTCTGTGTCGCTGAGATTGCCAGACATCAGACACTTGATGTTTGTCTCCTAAAGTTTGGAAGCCTGCTGGAACATATAGCAAGGTTATCTGTTTATCTGTCTGATGATAATATGTTCCTTGTTGTTTGTCTGTTTTCATTTTGATGAACATACTTTAGATATATTTAGAAACTTTCAAGTGTGAACACTGTACTCCAGTGGTCGGATGGCGCGGGTAATAAACTCGCCTTTCAAGGAGGCATCAGGAGTCTGATTCCCAGAACTGACTTGAAAAGATATGGGGTCACCTGTCTGACCATGTGGGTTTTCTGTGGGTACTCTGGTTTCCTCCCACAGTAAGGCCCATCACAACCTTCCATCCGAGCCAACAAAAGTGATTCATATTGGTTGGATAAACTTGTTTCACAATTGTTTAAGATAAAGAAATTTTTACTGTACTCCAGACATGATGTATAAAGAAGCCTTCATTTATCAAAAACCTGATGAAAAAAGCTAAATTTAAATACAGCATTCTTGTTTAAGTTCATTGTGGTTAAAGTATGTCTATATATACAGGCATAACAAAATATTTCCTTAAGATTTTAATTCACGCTAGAAATGTTTACTGGGTATAGAATTTTTCACTTTTTTATTGATTGCAAATATAACAAAACTAAACCCCTCGCAAATAATACCAACTATATAGAAACCAGAAATTTTAATTAAACACACATTATATTTGTGTGTGGCTGCATGTCACACATCAATTAGATTTTAAATATTGTCAAACACAAATTAGTTGATATGTAACATAAGATAATAAATAATATCACACACAGATGAGATAATATGTACCACAGATTACTTTATGGTGTCACAATGGAGACCTTAGTTTGCACACAATCAACAGATACTCAATTCATAAATCTCATATGAAATGGAAACCTATAAAAAAATTCTAGATTTAAGTGTATAATACTGTTAGCTATAGGTATTGTCAAACTTAATGTAACATGTATCAAAGAATTGATACAAATATTTATGACTAACCACAAATTTTAATACAGAAATTTACATATAATAATTGATGTTAATGTTCCTCTTTGCAGTGAGAACCACACGAAGAAAACAGCTGATTTTTTCCGTGCTCACAGAGTAGATGAGTCAGTCTATGGAAGAGATTTGTATTGTTTATCACCAGATAAATTAAAAACGTAAGTTTTTCTAATGTGATATCTCAGAAAATATTTTTTGGATTCTCAAATTTTCTTTGTAGTCTCTGCTTAGTATTGTAGGTTCAATTTTTTGAGTTTGACAAATTCAAAATTATGTAACCCTGGTAAGATACTAGCCGCAATATACCACTCGGCTAGAGAGAACTTCCTTTAAGCTCGATCAGTTGAGCTTCAGCCTAGTAAGTCAGGGGTCCTGGGTTCAATTCCTAGTATAGTCATTTAAATAAATAATGACCTCTGTTACATTGGTGTCCATGTAGGGACTCGGTAATAGTACTTAGTCATGCCCCACCAGCATCGCTGTAACCCCTGGAAACTTGAGGAAGAGTTATTTCCTGGAGGGGGAGTATGTAACCCTGGTAAAATACTAGCCGCAATATACCACTCGGCTAGGGAGAACTTCTCTTTAGCTCTATCAGTTGAGCGTCAGACTAGTAAGCCAGGGGTTTAGGGTTCGATTCCTAGCTGAGGCATTGAAATAAATAATGATCTCTGTTACAATTATGAAGAACTAAAAGAGACTTAGCATAATCATCTTATAAAAATTCCCTGAAATTTTAGAATTTACAATTTGTTTGGAAAAGGTATTGGCCGGAAATTGCTTACAATCAGCTGTAAATGAAACAAAGTACATGAAAGACAGCTTGGCCTTTTTTTGTATCCATTTTCGATAAAGTTTACTTGGTATTTAGCAGATATGAGAGGAGTGAGTCTTTATACCAACCTCTGGTCAGTCGTGGTTCTGTCCATTTGGTACATTGCCAGTGTATAGCCACTTCTCTGAAACAGGCTGAACAATAGAATAACACAGGAGGTCCCTAGGGTTCTCTTAAAGCAGCCATTTTTGTTGTGATGTTTTCGATCCTAAGTTTGTTTTTAGAAATTGCTCCTCTTCTTCATTTAGTGGTTTTTCCTGCCAAATTTATTAAAAATACAATATGAAAGATAAAACTCCTTGGTTGTCTGATTTCAGGTTTCAGATGCTGACAATCCAGGAAGTAAGAAAATTTGAAGAGAGAGACAAACATCTAAATAAATTGGTATGTATTAGTTTTGACAGTACAACAATCAGTTATAACTGTTATGTGTCACTGTCCTCCTCTGCTCTACAATATAATTATCTTTCAGATTGCAAGGAAACTCAGAGATCAAGAAACAAAGAGGAAAATTATCAGCCAATCAGAAGACTGGAAGGTGTGTGATGCTGCAATGCTCATGGTCACATGACAAGTGTATCCAATCAAATTAAGTCATTGTTCATTGTGAAGAGTTTGCAATATAATTTATTCATCCATATTCAAATTGAACATTTTAAAAGCCTCAAGGTATCAGTAAAAGTAATTGATAATTTCTTCATGTTGTCAGAATGATGATTAGGCTGATTGTAGGGTGGGCAATGATATCCCATTAGTTAATGTATCAGTATATTTGTCTAATGACAATATATTTCATTATATCGCAGCGAGTTTTCTACCACTGTTTGATTGATTGAAAATCCAATTTAACTAGTTTGCTGATTTGGTCTTGCATAACTTCAGAACTTTATAATTTTCAATATATCCTTTTGCTCTCTTATGTTTGTTCTTAAAAGAATCATTTAGATATACTAGAATGTATGTCAGATTGATTATTACCATATATGGCAATGCCTTAATTATATTTGTTGTCTGCTGATGTTAACTTACACCTTTTGTTCTTGTAATGTTGTGTTTATATAAAAAACGGAGGAGGAGGAGCATCAAACTATAAGTTATCCCCTAAAAAAGAAAGACTACATTATATTTACTGTGTACTGGAATCTATTTCATAACAGTGTTCACGGTTTAAATTTTCACAGAAGAAATTCATATGAAATGAACCATAAGCAATGATTTTATTCTTTGTAAAGAAAAAATTACAATTTTAAAGTAAAAAAACAAATCATCTATTTATGATGTCCAGTGGCGAGGAAGGTAGATGATATCACATTTATGTACGTCATCTTCTTTCCTTCTTGAAAAATCATCATCATCCATGATCACTTTTTTCCTGAATACACCAAGACTGTCAAACAGGAACAGCAGTTTTCAGAAGCCAGAAATCCAAGTTCTGTGTACACTAGTGATCACCTGACCCATTCTGACCAATCAGGAGTGTCTACTCTCTCGGCCCATGGGGACGGTATGACCTTCATTGGCCCACAGGTAAGATCTCTGTCATAAATATGTATATTACTTTTGCGATTACTAAACTGGTGTCTGACCTTGCTATATTTGAGTCATCTCCCTTGAAGGATTACGATTGTGAGTGGAGCTTCTTTTTAACATAGAATTAGTTTTAAAAAATTCAATTAATGTCCAATATACTGATAGAATTTAAGACATTCATAAAAATATACTTGAAACTGACATTCAAACACTGAACAGATGAAAAAATGGCTAAACAATCAATAATTTTTCATTATATAATTCCAGTATTTCAAGAAGTAAATTGTGATAATCATGAAAACTGTTTAATGACAATTCCAGCTGCCTACCATTTATTGATGACTGTTTATGTTTTACTACTCGCGTACCATGATTGGTGCAGGATTTCATTGTGGAGGAAGGCAATGTCCACACAGGAGGTTTACCCCCGTGGTTACAAGACAACTCCGAGGACACAGACCAGGAAATAGGCCCTACACTGAAAGACTTTCAGAGACACGGTTAGTAATCAGTTTCTGAAAGTAAATTTACCACTATAGGTTAAAATGTAAATAAACCTATTATTGGCTCACTATTGTGGCAAATTGTTAGCTAATGCTGTTTGCCAACACTCTGAATCAAAGTCAGCCTCATTGTCCTTCTTCAGAACTTTTAATATTTATGTTTTGATTTTATTTTGGCAAAAATTCACTTCAAAGTTTTAAAATGTTATTTATCTGTCATCTTTCCTGCTCTGCTCTTTCATGTAATTCAAGGTAGTATGGGGATATAGTCTTAAGTCCATCGGCCTATCCTCTCCTGTCCCATTCACAATCAGTGATGCATCTTGAGAACCTTAGAACAAATTACTTTCATACTTACCTCTCACTATTACAACATAAAGTTCTGCATCTGTACACCATCGCAATATTTGTAATTTTACTGTACAGAATTTATTTGTTGTTAATAAATTGTTGAAATCTAACCTAGCTGTTGGGTTTTAATTGTTGTGCGTTAAATTGCGTAACATAGCAATGGTCATCAGATAAGGTTCAAGGTCAAAGGCCACATTTGGCAACATTTTCAAATTCATCAAATAACACAGGCTCTCGGCACAGTGGTACATCATTCCACTTCCACCAAGGTGTCTAGGTTTCAATTCCCCAAACAGCCAGAAAAGTGTCACTTGTCTGTCCACGCAGGTTTCCTTAAGGTACTCTGGGTTCCTCCTACAGTAAGACCCTTCACGTTTCATGTATCATAGATTTTCTATGTGATATAGACAATTAGACATACAGCTATGTGTAATACGAAGACTAACGCAGCCTCCCACAGAATATTTCTATTTATCATTATTTTTCTACAGTGGCTAATGAACAGAAGAAGAAGCTGCCAAGTTGTCGAGTGGGCGCCTCGTTTGACAGGAACTCTGCTAAATCTGATAGCTGGTTGCCATCCTTTGGACAAGTCTGGAACTCGGGACGTCGCCTCAACTCCAAGTTAGTAAACAGTTTTGGCGCCTGTTTTACGAATCTCGGTCTTGGTAAATAATGTCTAGTGTAATAACTGTATGTAGAGAAATGTTGCCGAAAGTTGTTTTTAACTTTACAATAGTACTGCTCAATATTTTAATTTCTACCGATCGTAAAAAGAAGAATGAAACAGGCAAATGTTTCTACGTATCTTATCAGTGTGTTGTCCTTCATTCTATCATTCCTTTTAGTAATGGATACTGCTGCCAACAGCAAGTATTGTAAATTACTTAGATTCTGGGAAAACTTAATTTCATTAAGCTATCTTTTCTTGAGCACTGCAAACGCCAATCTAGAAATGACTTCAAAATTTGCGAATGATGAATTATTAAGAGACCAAAACTCTTCGAGATTCAGCTATCTGTTACTGAATCAACAAATGATAATGCAAATAATCAAAAGGGATTTGAATTCACATTTAGATGTGAAATAAGTCCTACACCAAATTTAGGTGATTCACGGTACTCCAGGAAGACCACACATTATTATAGCTTGATCACCTCATGATTTATACAAATAATTACAAAATAAATTCATCTTCATCTTTCCTCAGTTTATCAATTTTCTATTACAGAAAATATTTTGAAAGAGAAACAAAAAACTTGACACCTATTGGTAGAAGGTTGATGAGTGGTCCAGAGACAAGTTCTAGTGATGGAAAAGATATACACATAGGACATACTTCACATCAAATGATTCCTACAAACGTGGTACCTTATAGGAGTAAACGGTTAAAGGATGCCAGTGGTCAAGATTTAAACAACACATCACAGAAGGATTTAACTACTGGATGTTTTGGAGCCTTGACACAAAGTGGTCTTGATGATAGTAAGTCTGTGAATAATGGTATTAACAATGATCGGTATGGAGGGAGAAACACCATGCTTACTGTTGGAATTCATTTACCTTCCAGATATATTCCTAAAACAGATAAAAACAATGAGGAATATAAACACAAGGAGGGTACATCTCTTCTACAATATCCATCCCAGCAGGAATACACTGATAGGGGAACTTCTCAATACTATCGTCAAGGTAACCAGGACAGATTACAAGTTGGATACAGTCATAATATAGAAAAACCTTATCAAAACTACAGAAACAACAGCATTGAAGAAAACCATGGAAGCAACAACAGTAAACAATACCATGGAAACGACAACAGTAAACAAAACCATGGAAACGACAGCAGTAAACCATACCATGGAAACAACAATAGAAAACGATACCATGGAAATGACAACAATGGACAAACATCAGATAATTCACAAAACATTGGAAGAGAGTTATCTAATCAAGCTTATAAACGGAAGAGAAGTAGACCAGGACTTCAAGTCTCTGAAACGATAAGTAAATGTGATGGTGCTTTCCAAAATATTGGCTCCTTACCTGTGAAGACCAACTTCATATCAACTCCATTATTAGATAATAAATAAGGAATACAGTACAAAAAATTGATTTTTTTGTTGTTGTTGTTTGTCGTGAAAAAAAAATCAAGTGTTGCAAAATTTAATAGCCAACCATCATTAGATCAAATTGCTCTATGTCTTGTTAGAGCTCTGTCCGTCTGTCCATCCATCCATCTGTCTGTCTGTCCTCCCTTTTGTTTCCATGCAATAACTTGAGTTTCCTTGTGCCAATCAAGCTCAAACTTCATACAGTGTTTCCTTATTAAGGGTGCTTGTGTGGGATTGCTTTTCATCTTCAAAAATCACGATCAATGTAACTATAAATAGAAAATCAGTTTCTATGTGAAAACTAGAGTTTGTTTTGGCCAATCTAATCCAAACTTCATACTGTACTTCCTTATTGAAAGTGTTTGCTTTAAAGTTTTGAAGGTCCAAAGTCAAGGTCACTGTTACTAAAAATAGAAAAATCAGTTTCCCTGCGATAATTCAAGTTTGCTTTGGCCAATCAAACTCAAACCTCCTACAAGGCTTCCTTACTAAAATGTCCCAGGGTCTATGGTCCAGATTACTGTTACTCTGGATAGAAAATGGGTTTCCATAATATAACTTGGGTTCCCTTCGGCCACTCAAAATCAAACTTCATACAATGCTTTCCACTGAAGGTGTTTGTTAGGGATTACTTTTCAGACTCAGAAGTTTAAGGTTGAGGTTGTTGTTGCTATAAAGGAAAATCCATTTTATGGAATAACCTTGAGTTTGCTGTACCCAATTTATCTCAAACTCAGTGCAAGGCTTCTTAACCACAAGTGCTTGTTTGATGTAGATTGCCATTCAGGTCCAAAGGACAAAGATCATCGTAACTTAGCATCAGTTTCTGTGCAATAACTTTGCCCATTTTAAATTTAACTTATTTCAATGTTTCTTGTGGCCCTTGCCGACCTGTCAGTGTCTAAGGTCACACAGTGGGGCCCTTGCCGACCTGTCAGTGTCTAAGGTCACACAGTGGGGCCCTTGCCGACCTGTCAGTGTCTAAGGTCACACAGTGAGGCCCTTGTCGACCTGTCAGTGTCTAAGGTCACGCAATGGGGCCCTTGCCGACCTGTCAGTGTCTAAGGTCACACAGTGGGGCCCTTGCTGACCTGTCAGTGTTCTAGTCTTATCACTATTACTTGCCAAGCTCTAAGGTCACACAGTGGGGCCCTTTGCCGTCCTGTCAGTGTCTAAGGTCACACAGTGGGGCCCTTGCCGACTTGTCAGTATCTAAGGTCACAAAGTGGGGCCCTTGCCGACCTGTCAGTATCTAAGGTCACACAGTGGGGCCCTTGCCGACCTGTCAGTGTTCTAGTTTTATCACTACTACTTGCCAAGCTCTAAGGTCACACAGTGGGGCCCTTGCCGACCTGTCAGTATCTAAGGTCACACAGTGGGGCCCTTGCCGACCTGTCAGTGTTCTAGTTTTATCACTATTACTTGCCAAGCTCTAAGGTCACACAGTGGGACCCTTGCCGACCTGTCAGTATCTAAGGTCACAAAGTGGGGCCCTTGCTGACCTGTCAGTGTCTAAGGTCACACAGTGGGACCTTGCTGACCTGTCAGTGTCTAAGGTCACACAGTGGGGCCCTTGCCGACCTGTCAGTGTCTAAGGTCACACGGTGGGGCCCTTGCCGACCTGTCAGTGTCTAAGGTCACACAGTGGGGCCCTTGCCGACCTGTCAGTGTCTAAGGTCACAAAGTGGGGCCCTTGCCGACCTGTCAGTGTCTAAGGTCACACAGTGGGGCCCTTGTCAACTTGTCAGTGTTCTAGTTATCACTATTTCTTGCCAAGCTCTGGATGGATCTCTTTCATGTTTTGTAAGTTTATTTCTTTTTGTGCCGAGTTGTGTCTTGATTTTCAGACTGATGAAGAGAACAAAAAGGCAAACAGGTGGCTATCTTGAATTTGACACTGAAAGTTTAATACATGTATCAAATTTTAGCTCATCTGGCCAAAGGGCCAAGTGAGCTTATGCCATAGCGCGGCGTCTGTGAAGTCCAAGAAAGTAAAAGAAATGACATTGACCCATAGTCAAGGTCACTGGGGTCAAATGTGTTAAATGTGGAACGTATGCACAGATATAGTAATGTTGGTAATAAAGATCCAGGTGAGCGATACAGGCCCTCTGGGCCTCTTGTTTTAGTCTCCCATCGTCAGATGGTGGGCTATTAAACTCGCCCTACATACGTGGTCTGTCATCTATCTGTCCGGCGTGTATCCATCCGTAAACAGTTTTTAGCCCACCATCATCAGATGTTGTGCCTAGTTGTGCCAGTATGATTTTGGGACCAATAAAAAAACAATATGGCTGACAGGTAAATTTTGTACTTGCTGTTTTTTGAGAACATTTGACCTTGAAACCTTGTTATCACTATTTCTTGAGAACTATTACATAGATCTTTCTCAAATTTCATGTGTGTAGTTTTCCCATTGCCCCTAGTTGTGCCACACTGATTTAAGGATTGATCAGAAAAACAAAATGGAGACAGGTGGCCATTTTGGATTTTTACTATGAAGATTTGTTATCATGTTTAAGTTACTCTTGGTTCTTAGTTGTGCTCATTTTTTGATAAAACAGAAGGTTTACTATCGTGGATTTGGCAGTTAAAGATGATTATCGCTATTTATGCAAAGGATTAAAGTTCAAATTTCTTATTATCAAGAGCAAAAACAGAGAAAAGAATAGAAAAGAAGGAAAACATGAATGGCTTTTAAGGACAAATATAAGGCTGGGTGCCAAAATCCCTCGGGGATCTTTTGTCAAAGTTATCAAGGATAGACATATATCTCGACAAAAACAGTATGTAAAGCAAAGAAGTTGCTGAAATGGTAATTTAATGAGAGACCCGCAGATGAGAAAATCTCAGTAACTTTTATTGCAGACCCTCTGAACCTTTTCTGCCTGTAAATTTTGTGGTCTATACATAAATACTCATTATCTTTCCATGAGGAATTTTGACTGGAGAACTTGGTAGTACAGTTTCATAAGTTGGAGACCACAGAACATGGTAGTAGAGTGTGATAAGGTGGTGACCAGAGAACTTGGTAGTACAGTGTGATAAGGTGGTGACCAGATAACCTATTAGTACAGTGTGATAAGGTTGTGACCAGAGAACTTGTTAGTACAGTGTGATAAGGTGGTGACCAGAGAACTTGTTAGTACAGTGTGATAAGGTGGTGACCACAGAACTTGGTAGTACAGTGTGATAAGGTGGTGACCACAGAACTTGTTAGTACAGTGTGATAAGGTGGTGACCAGAGAACTTGTTAGTACAGTGTGATAAGGTGGTGACCAGAGAACTTGTTAGTACAGTGTGATAAGGTGGTGACCAGAGAACTACTTAGTAAAGTGTGATAAGGTTGTGACCAGAGAACTTGTTAGTACAGTGTGATAAGGTGGTGACCAGAGAACTTGTTAGTACAGTGTGATAAGGTGGTGACCACAGAACTTGTTAGTACAGTGTGATAAGGTGGTGACCAGAGAACTTGTTAGTACAGTGTGATAAGGTGGTGACCACAGAACTTGTTAGTACAGTGTGATAAGGTGGTGACCAGAGAACTTGTTAGTACAGTGTGATAAGGTGGTGACCACAGAACTTGGTAGTACAGTGTGATAAGGTGGTGACCACAGAACTTGGTAGTACAGTGTGATAAGGTGGTGACCACAGAACTAGGTAGTACAGTGTGATAAGGTGGTGACCACAGAACTGTGATAAGGTGGTGACCACAGAACTACAGTATGATAAGGTGGTGACCACAGAACTTGTTAGTACAGTGTGATAAGGTGGTGACCACAGAACTAGTTAGTACAGTGTGATAAGGTGGTGACCACAGAACTTGTTAGTACAGTGTGATAAGGTGGTGACCACAGAACTTGTTAGTACAGTGTGATAAGGTGGTGACCACAGAACTTGGTAGTACAGTGTGATAAGGTGGTGACCACAGAACTTGGTAGTACAGTGTGATAAGGTGGTGACCACAGAACTTGGTAGTACAGTGTGATAAGGTGGTGACCACAGAACTTGGTAGTACAGTGTGATAAGGTGGTGATCAGAGAACTAGTTAGTACAGTGTGATAAGGTGGTGACCACAGAACTTGGAAGTACAGTGTGATAAGGTGGTGACCAGAGAACTTGTTAGTACAGTGTGATAAGGTGGTGACCAGAGAACTTGTTAGTACAGTGTGATAAGGTGGTGACCAGAGAACTTGGTAGTACAGTGTGATAAGGTGGTGACCACAGAACTTGGTAGTACAGTGTGATAAGGTGGTGACCAGAGAACTTGGTAGTACAGTGTGATAAGGTGGTGACCAGAGAACTTGTTAGTACAGTGTGATAAGGTGGTGACCAGAGAACTTGGTAGTACAGTGTGATAAGGTGGTGACCACAGAACTTGGTAGTACAGTGTGATAAGGTGGTGACCACAGAACTTGGTAGTACTGTGTGATAAGGTGGTGACCAGAGAACTTGGTAGTACAGTGTGATAAGGTGGTGACCAGAGAACTTGTTAGTACAGTGTGATAAGGTGGTGACCAGAGAACTTGGTAGTACAGTGTGATAAGGTGGTGACCACAGAACTTGGTAGTACAGTGTGATAAGGTGGTGACCACAGAACTTGGTAGTACAGTGTGATAAGGTGGTGACCAGAGAACTTGGTAGTACAGTGTGATAAGGTGGTGACCAGAGAACTTGTTGGTACAGTGTGATAAGGTGGTGACCACAGAACTTGGTAGTACTGTGTGATAAGGTGGTGACCACAGAACTTGGTAGTACAGTGTGATAAGGTGGTGACCAGAGAACTAGTTAGTACAGTGTGATAAGGTGGTGACCAGAGAACTTGGTAGTACTGTGTGATAAGGTGGTGACCAGAGAACTTGGTAGTACTGTGTGATAAGGTGGTGACCAGAGAACTTGTTAGTACAGTGTGATAAGGTGGTGACCAGAGAACTTGGTAGTACAGTGTGATAAGGTGGTGACCACAGAACTTGATAAGGTGGTGACCAGAGAACTTGTTAG